TACGAAATAATCCCTTCGGAATGCCATTGTGGTAAGGGATAATGGTGATAGTTCTTCTTTTTGAGGTGACTTCGTTACTCCAAGTGAACTTGTGAGTAACAATATACTGTGAGGGATGCGTACCAGACCACAAGAGTACACTTCGCAGAGCTCAGAGTTCGGCTAACAGCTACAAAGGTAGAAGTCTCCAAGGTCTCTTCAGTCAACGTCGAGTATAATTCTCCCTGATCCGATACGGGCCCCGCGAGCTACGTTATCAACAAAGATTCACTAGAGTTAGCGTATAGAATTCGACCGTCTTCGACGTAGTAGTTCAGGTAGAGTTCGAAGTCACGATAGAGTAAAGTAATTCCAAAAGTATAGTCAAATAAAGTTGTAACTCGCGTATCAACGATTTATATTGTTAAGACTCTGATTTCGCCGATGATGGTTTGACTAGTCAGTGAATGACACAGTATTTATATCCCTCGCTTATGTCTCGAGGACCCAGTCTTCTAATAATACAGCATACACTCGGGGCCTGCCCGAGACCCTGAGAAACAACCAAGAACATTTAACTCCTAAGTCCGTAACCCAAACTCCTAAACCCGCTGAAACCCCTCAACCTATTTACCCACTCTAATACATGTTTCCCTGTCGATGTTTCTTAACCATCGGCCGTCTGGTGGATAATCGTCAGCGTCGGCTATTCGGAGGTCTCGGACGGCAAGGCTACCTACTCAGGCCTCTTCCCACATCGCTTTCCCACATAGCAGAGTCCTCTCATGCCCACAGGTACTGCCGACAGGTACTCGGTCGGCTGGCAGCTTGCGCCGATTCGCTCCGAGCGGTCCGATCTTCGATCCAATTGATTCCAGCTGTCCCTCATATATCCACCGGTACCAAAACACTCCCCTCCGGCGGTTTGACGCTCCGGGGGTTATTATTGGGGTCGAAAACGTGTTTTTTAACTAGGAAAACCGCAACTCCGCATTTGGTCGCATATTGATCGCACCGTACCTCGTAGGTGCGAACCGGAGTTGATGGTGGTGTTGCTATTAGTATTAAAGGGTATAGGGATATCTACTAGCCTTTCTCTCACTCCGTAAATGCTTGGCATGCCCGTAACAGGAGGTGATATTGCTGAGAAAATACACCACCTATACCGAGAATGGGCTGATGTGTTCAGTCAAGAGAAGATTGGAGAAATGCCGTCGCATTCCCATAATGATTTGAGGATCAAACTCTTGCCTGGCACCGCTCCCCCATTTGGCCCGCTATACCCATGTTCCGCTCCAGAGTTGAAGGCCCTCCGAGAGTACCTGGACAAAGAATTGGCTTCAGGAAAGATCTCTAGATCTAATAGCCCCGCTGCGGCCCCCATACTGTTCATTCCTAAGAAGGATGGGACATTGCGGATTTGTGTGGACTATAGAGGATTGAACAAGGTCACTGTCAAGGACAAGTACCCGCTGCCTATCATGAGTGAGCTCAGAGACAGGTTGTTCAAGGCCAAGATCTTCACAAAGATCGACCTGAAGAACGGCTTCAATTTGATCAGGATAGCAGAAGGTGATGAGTGGAAGACCGCTTTCAGAACCCGCTATGGACTATATCAGTATAATGTGATGCCGTTCGGTCTATGCAACGCCCCCTCTGCCTTCCAGGCAATGATCAATGATGTGCTAAAGGAACTACTGGATGAAGGAGTGGTTGTCTATATCGACGACATCCTCATCTACTCGGAAACTGAGAAAGAGCATGAGCTACTGGTAAAGAAGGTTCTACAGAAGCTTAGGGAAGCTAAGCTCTGTACCTCGATCAGTAAGACATCCTTCCATGTCCGAGAAGTAGAGTACCTAGGCTATCACATCTCGGAAAATGGAGTATCTATGTCAGAAGACAAGGTGGAGGCAGTTAAGGAATGGCCGGTCCCTGAGAATATCAAGGCAGTACAGGCATTCCTCGGATTTGCAAACTTCTATCGCCGCTTCATTGAAGGCTTTAGTAAGGTTTGCAAACCATTAACTGACCTCTTGCAAAAAGACAAGAAATGGTATTGGACGGCAGCACATGAGCAGGCCTTTGAAGAACTCAAGAGGCTGTTCACAAGCGCTCCAATCCTTCTTCATTTTGACCCTAGTAGGAGAACTGTGGTCGAGACAGATGCCAGTGATTTTGCCAAGGGAGCGGTGCTCTCTCAGTATGGGGATGATGGGAAGCTACATCCGGTGGCATTCTATTCTAAGAAGTTCTCCCCTGCTGAGATCAACTATGACATTCATGATAAGGAAATGGGAGCTATTGTAGCCTCTTTCCGGGAATGGGAACACATGCTCAAATCTTGTGAGCAAGAGATCACGGTTTTTACAGACCACAAGAACTTGGAGTACTTTAATTCTACCAAGGTTCTCACTAGGCGGCAAGCTAGATGGTCTGAAGACCTCGCAGGCTACAATTTTAAAGTTGTCTACAGACCGGGAGAAAAGAATGGCAAGACTGATGTGCTATCTAGGCGCTGGGATCACCGCCTTGGAGAGGGAGGTGAAACTCTGCAGCCGGAGCCACAGATCTTTTTTAGGCCAGGTCAATTGGTTTTGGATCCTGCAAAGCTAGCGGCTGTCAGGGTGAATCAATTGCAGAATACATTCTTAGAGCGCCTATATGCGGCTGCTAAAGAGGATAGTTTCTGGCAGGAACTGCACCACTCCCTGGTTGAAAGGAAACCAAATTTGGACCAGAACTTGTCGGTCAAGAACGGTCTCATCTTCTACAAAAATAGATGGTATATACCCAAAGACAAGAAGCTTCAGATGGAAATACTGTCCGACACCCATGACTCTAAGGTGGCTGGTCATTTTGGCCAATTTAAGACACTAGAGCGGGTGAAAAACAACTTCTTTTGGCCCAACATGGATAAGGATGTTGAGGAATATGTCCGGAGCTGTGACAGCTGCCAGAGGAATAAAACCTCAAGACACAAGAAGTTTGGTATGCTCCAACCGTTGGAAATACCCTATCGGCCATGGACTTCCATCTCTATGGACTTCATTGTGGGATTACCGGAATCTAGCGGGTTTACAAAGATCTGGGTAATAGTGGACCGTTTTTCGAAGATGGCACACTACATCCCTCTTCCTACCCTCAATAAAACGGAAGATTTGGCTAAGTTGTTCTTGAAGGAAGTTTGGAGACTCCATGGGTTACCTGATGACATAGTCTCGGACAGAGATAGCAGGTTCATCTCTCACTTTTGGCAATCTCTCATGAGCCTCCTCAATGTGAAGCTGAAGATGTCCACATCTTTCCACCCTCAAACGGACGGTCAAACAGAAAGAGTTAATCAGACCCTGGAACATTACTTGCGGAGTTATTGTTCATATCAACAGGATGACTGGGCAGAACTCTTGCCTTTGGCAGAGTATGCATATAACTCGGCGGTCTCTGAGTCTACCAAAGTATCGGCTTTTTATGCCAACTATGGATATGAACCCAGGACCAACTGGCCGGCCCCAAGGGAAGGAGTAGAATGGAACAATCCAGCGAGCGAGGTCATGATATCTCAATGGGAATCTATCTGGCAGGCTATGAACGCCAGCTTGGGTAAAGCTAGATTGAGGATGGCCCGGTGGTATGATGCACATGCCCTGGCACCGCCTGAAATCAAGCCCGGAGATGAAGTTATGTTGGACCGGCGCAATGTGCAAACAAAGCGGCCTTTGGGAAAATTGGATCAGAAGAAAATGGGACCGTTTAAGGTCTTAGAAGCTATTGGTACCCGTGCCTACAAGCTCTCTCTTCCCCCCCAGATGGGAATCCACCCGGTCTTTCATGTCTCTCTTCTGGAACCTTACCGAGCACCAGTAGATCCTGAGAGAAGAGTTTCTGTACCAGAGCCCGAAGAGATTGAAGGAGAACAGAACTGGGTTGTCCGAGAGGTAGTTGATAGCCGGGTCAATAAGAAAAGGAGACGAGTGGAATACCTAGTGCTGTGGGAAGGTTATGAAAACGAGGATGCTACATGGGAACCTTGGGAGCATCTCAAGAAGAGTGCTGAAGAAGCCCTTCGGGATTTCCATATGAGGTATCCTAAGAAACCCAAGGACAAACGGATTGTTGGGGTGTAGTTTGTTTTCCTTTAGGTTTTCGTTCCTTGCATATCACGGAGTTTCTTGTCATATAGATTGGATGGTAATAGAATGGTTATAGATCTCGGAGACCAAGATCCAGGAAGAGGGGAGTGGTGTAACGGAGCCATTTCAACTGTCTGGTGTATGAGTACACACAGGGCCCGATTACATGCTGAGAGTTATTGTTAGAAGCCAGTTGCACGGTGATATGCAAGTACCGGCAGTGTGGTTAGCTACCAGCTGTTAGAGTAACTACATTCCGGGCGCTAGGAAGAGGATCTATTCATGGGAGCAATGACTGACGAGTCTATGCCTCGCCAGTGACTAGAAGACCGGCCAGAGTGAAGCTCTGATTGCCCGGTGATCCTCTGTATCCTCCGAGCATTGTAAGTCCGCCGAAGGGCAGAGACTATGCTAGGGAAGTCTACAATAAGCGAAAGCTCTACAGCAATGATTAAGCTTACACCTGAGCGGCAGCTCATTCATGCAGGTCCTCGGTTGTGTGGCAACCAAGGCTGCAGGTGTTACAAAGGCTTTGACTAAGGGTGGTTGCCTTGGGTAATCGGAAACACCTGCTGACGCTTAGAGAAAAGCGGGGTAGCGGTGGTATTGTTTCCGGTACTGAGGGAAGGCCCACCGGAACTTAGTAAAGGAATTAGGAGCGGAGAACAGAGGCCTTCGGAGTATAAGTACTCAGGTTCATTCTCGCCCTTCAGTCCTGTTCTCTCCAGTCTTCATCAGAAAGAAAAACCAAATTCTTATCGGTAGCAGAGCCCTTAAAGATTATTGAGTTCTAGCGATAGTATCTTTGAATAATCTGCAACCTGATTGTCTATCTTGCACGGCCGTCTCTATTCTATACAAATCCATTTCTCTTAGAAAGGACCCCCGTTACATTACTCCAGCATAGATCATAAATAGCACCGGGGACATGGGGCTACCTTGCGGCACTCCAGAATCATAGGGCTGTGGCTCTTCTAGCTCATGGTTGAATTGAAACTGTAGTTTTCTGCCGGTATTGAATTCCTTGCACCATTCTGTTAAGTAGGTAGGGAATTTTTGTTGTTGCATGATTTCCGCGAGGAGTAGGTGGTCGACGCAGTTAAATGCTCCTTGGATATCATTGGTTAGGATCGCTGGTCTGTCTCGCCGAGCGACTCCGGTACTGTTTTTCAGTAGTAGGTTTTGTTGTATTGGCGTTAAGGTTCTCAGCAGGGCGTCGATTGCCGAGATGGTTGGTCTTCCTCCAAATTGATTCGCTGAGAGTGTGCCTAGAATTTCTCCAGCGGTGCAGAGTCTTTGGGCCACTATCTTCTCCAGGATTTTGCTGAAGCATTGTAGAAGGGAAATGGGCCGGTAGGCTTTTGCTTCATGATAGTTTGCTTTACCGGGTTTCGGGATCGGGATACACTTAGCTATTTTCCATTCCGCTGGGTGTACGCCGTGCCGGAGCATGGCGGAGAACATATCTTGGATTAGAGTTGTGTTTGCTTTGACTATTGCTTTAATAAAGGTATAAGGAATGCCATCCGGGCCGGTCGCCGAGTGCGCTGGACAGGAGTCGATTGCTTTATTAAGTTCTTCGGGGGTGACTATGTCGAAGGTGTTGCTAAGGTCAAAAGAAGGGGGTCTAATGTTTAGGGGGGGGTGGTCGGGGGACGTCCGTTTCGAGGGGAAAAGTTGGGCTCTTAGAGCTTGGCACTTCCCCGTGAACGTTTCTTCACCTTGTATGGTTGGTATGATTGTGTCTCTTCTTCTTCCTACGTTTAGGATTCTCCAGACTTCACTACCTTTCGCCTCGTTCATCGTTTTTTCCCGCTGGTCCGCTTTTGCTTTCCGGATCATGACTGTCCATTCTCTGCAAGCCTTCCGGTGTTCCTCCACGTGATTGGGTTTCCTTGTGTTCCTCGCCTTCCTTTCTGCTGCATTTACCTTTGCCTTCATTTGTTTCATTTCATCTGACCACCAAGAGTTGGCTCTTACCCCCTCCTTCGAGAGCGGTGTTACTATGCTGACTGTTGACCTGACCAGATCTAGAAAGAAATCAACAGTCTGTTCCGTAAGTTCCTTGGTTTCCCATGCCTCTGCAGGGATGGAAATGTTTGACATGTGGTTTTCCAATAGCTTCCAGTCTGTTTGTCGCCACATTCGTCTTGGTACAAAATGTGGTTTCTCCAAGTGTAAGTGAACGGAGGTTCTCCCATGGTCTGAGCCCGCTCCGTAGGGTTCAGTGCTCCATCGTAGGTTGTGATCGAGTATTGGGCCTTTTACAAATGTAAGGTCGATGGTTGTGGGCCTTTTCCCTCTGTCTCTGGGGAAGTGCGTAAAGACGCCTGGTTCGTTCAGGAGGGACAGTTTCTGTCGGGTTATCCACCGTTTTAGTCGTGCACCATTGACGCGGTCTGCTCGAATATTGTTTCTGTATTCATATGAATTTACTCCGTACCACATTTGATGGTGGCAGTTGAAGTCTCCCATTATTAGACAATTATCAAGGGTTTGGATTGTACTTGCTATCTGAGCGAAGGGGCCACTTCGGCCTGGGGAGTATATGTTTAGGATTTGGGTTTTTTTGTTCTGGATTTCTACCGTAATCGATACTATGAAATTATCGTGTGTGTAGTGGTGTTTTGGTTTGAGGTTGGCATGTTTGCGGACGTATGTTGCGCATTTTGTATTGGTATTGCTCGCTGTAAAAATATAAAAGAGATTCGATTCTGGTGGGTATCCCTCTGCTGAGGTCCATGGTTCTTGTAATAATAGGAAATAAATACTAGAGTCTGTTTCCGCTTCTTCTACCGCCGCCTTGGTAATAAGTTCGCTCCGTGCACAATTAAGTTGGTGTGCGAGCGCGGTGGTTCGAGGCCTAAGCATTATTTGTCATGGGTTGGTCATCTTCGGGAACGGGTGTGGCTCCGACTGGGGCGGTGGCTGGTACTTGAACTATCGACTCTTGGCCGGGTGCGGCCGGTGGGTCTTGAACGGGTGGGGCGTTTTCTTTTCCTTTGTTAAGGAATCGGCGTTTGACTCTTTCGGGGCATGCTGGGTCGGAGGCCTTATGGATTCCTTTGCAGTTCAGACATCTGATTGGGGTGTGGGTGCATCTGTATCCTCCCTGGCATTGATTGCATTGGTGGAAGCTGGTGAGATGGTCTCCGGCACAGTGACCGCATCTCCCGTTGTTTTTGCATTTCTCCTGGCGGTGGCCATATTCGAGGCACTTCGCGCATTGGGTATCTGGGAAGGTTGGGAGGAAGGCCTCGATGTGGCAGCTTCGGTTAAAGAGGGATAGGAACTTAACTCCTAGTGATTCCATTGTAACTTGTCCTGGGAGCGCGATGACCATTGATGAGTGGGTTTTCTCCATTCGAGTCTCTGCTCTGGAGATCCAGCGGGGAACCTGGGCGAGTTGGAAGTTCTCTCCATAGTTGCTTCTAATTTCGGATGCTACCAGTTGTCCTGCCTCGACACCTTCTCCGACCGTCGTGGGGATTCCGTGAATAAGGAACTTTGACCATTTGGAGTTTGCCCGGATGATAGCGACTGGTACTTGTAGGGTGAGGAGAGCCTCCTCAATTTCTTTGGCATATTCCATTGCCTTCGATGCTGGGGTGACAAATTTTGTTTCCAGGATAAAGTTATCCTTGGGTGTTCTCCTTGCTGAAATGAAGTGGCAGGATTCGTCCTGAATTCTTGAATTGACTAGGGTCCTGATCTCGGAGGGATTGACGTCGGATGGGGCAGTGGTTTCGACAATGATTTCTCTGTTGATTTTGGTATATTCTGGCTTGAAGAGAGGATCCGCTTTTGGTTTTGCAGACTTCTTTCTTCTCTCAACAACCTGGAAATTTCCTTGGGCAGGGCCGGGGGCCGAGGCCACGGCGGCCCAGGTGCCTGCTTTCCATTGGGGGGGTGCGGGTGGGGGGGCCTGAGGAGCTGCCTGAGGCGCTGCTTGGGGAACTGTTTGGGGGACCGCTGGAGGGGGCATTCTCTGTCCCTGCGGTTGTTGTTTTCGCTGTTGTTGCTGTTGTTGCTGTTGTTGTGGTTGTTGTGGTTGCTGCGGTTGCTGCGGTTGTGGTTGTTTGTTGAGGAGAAGGTGGATCGCCGAGTGCATACTGGTGATCATGCTTGTCTGCGCTTCGATTTGGTGTTTCAGTGTATCCACTGTTCTCCGGAGTGTGGTCGTTTGCTCTTCGAGGATTTCCATCCTGTCGGTGGGTGGGCAGATTCGGCTGGTGGTATGTCTAATGGCCCAGGTAATGTAGTTCAGGTCCGTCTGGGTGTGAGTGTCCTGGGGAACGATGCTTGGGTAGAGGTAGTCAATTCTCGGTTGGTATGGGTCGTTGTAGTCGGATTGTGATGCAAAGGTCGAGGAGAATTCTTGTTCCTGAGCTCCGGAAGGGGTTGGATCGGGAACCGGAGTATTCCTGTTCTGCGGAGGGGCTGGCCCTTGCTGGGAAGATTGGGTGAAAAAGGACTGGAGCGAGGCTTGTTGCGACATGATTAAATGTCCAGTTCTTCTGGCGGCGTAGAGTGATGTTTCGGAAAGGTTTCTTTTCCTTCCCTTTGGGAGGTCAAGGCTGGAGAATTCTTCGCTAGAAGCCAGTTTTCTTGGTGTTTCTTTCGCTTGGAACAACAAAACGCGACCGTGCGATCGGGGACAAAGTGGCTCAGCCTGGTATGGTATACCAGGGTAAACCGAAGGGAATAAAATAAAGTGTTTTTGAAGCGAGGTTTGATATCAGGGAGTTCTTTGCGAGCTGGAGGCGAGCAAGTAGAATACAGAGGTTGCGTAAAGAGAAAAGAGAAAGAAAGAGAAACAAGAAATCACGAGACAACGCCCCCCTTATATATCCATACCCTATCCCAATGCTGACTCATACCCTCGTATAACAGAAACAGAAAGAACATAATAGAAACCCACTTCACTAAAACCAACCATACTGTATAATCCTTCTCCCTTATACCCAGACAACTCACATAGCCAACCCGCCTAGCTGCCGTTACAACCTAATCTTAGGTTTTATGGGAAGAGTAAGATATGTAGCGCTGCCTATGTGTACGACACTGACGGCACATCTATGTAGAACACTAGCTCAAAGGCACTGAGTGTTATAGCATTCAGGCTGCATATAATAAATGAAGCATTAATCAATTCATGAGTTATCAATCAATCAATTAATCAAACATGAGCACAAAAGCACTGAAAGTGTCGAGTGATATATAGTGATCCACTTAAATTTTTAATCCATGCTTATCTCAAGGGGGCGAGTGGCGAGTATTCCGCAGGGTACGAAGAGGGTAGTAGAGGTCAGTGTGAGAACTCGCAATAGGGGTCCTGAGGGACTCTAGCGTCGGTGAAGGTCACTGAGGTAGGGAGGCAGCGAAGCGGTAGTCTTCTCGAGTAAAGAAGAGAAAGATAATATTGTATGGTAATAGACAGCGTAGGTCCAGAAGACGTTGCTATAACATGGGTCTATGAACGAGAGACTATAGTGCCAAGGAATACAACCGAGGTGAAGACGTGGTATCGAGGGATTCGGGACTATGGACTATGAGATGGTTCAACCTTGATCAGAGATCCAAGATGAGCCCTATGACGTAGCGTAGAACAAACGTGATATTCGTGGAATAAATACAGAAGAATAAGAAGAAACTTATATTGCTTTGAAGTACAAGACTTATCGCACGCCGAACCAACCGCCTAAAATGAAACCAAATGAACAAGAAAAGAAAAGGAAAAGAAAAACAACGAACACAAACAAACAAGAACAAAACGAACACAAACAAAGGCAAGGAAATTCAAGGGCAACACGCAACCAGAAAAACCCAACGATAAGGAGAAATAACATATCTCAGCGGACTCGGGCGCTGGATCCATCAAAAAACAACAATAAAAACAAAGTAAAGGTAAAGGAAACTACCCTTCCTAATCCCGTCCCTAATCATTTTCTTCCGTCCCCTCTTCCAGCTCCGCCTCCGCCTCCGCCGACTCGTACCATTTCGAGAGTTGAGATTTCTTTCCAAATTGTAGGATGAGGTCCGTTTTCAGGTTTGTAAACATCCAGTTTTCCCAGGTCATCGCTCCGGGGATTTTCTCTATCAGGGGGGCGCGGATTCGAGCCCACGCTGGGCATTCCATAAGTGTATGTTTCGCTGAGTTTTCCATACCACACTGGCATGGTTCGGGGTCTGTATGTACCGCATGTTTGTCGATTTGGGTGGTTTGGCATCGGATTCGAAATACCTTTTTTGCTTCTGTAAGGGTGAGTTCCGCAATCTTAGGAGGGGGGCGGAACTCCCCTCGGTGGTGGTAGTTAGGTATTAGTTGTGTGTTCCATTCTTCTAATAGATGGTCGCGTAATAGTTTGTTTTGGTTCCACTTGTCTCTCATATTTCCGGGAGTTTGATATGGGAGTAAGGGGGAGGCGATTCGGTGCAGGCCTGTCCCTTTGATATTCACTTCTCTGTATGGGAGGAGCTCGATCAGGGATTCATTGTTGGGGTGGGTTGCGTCGGTGCAGAGTATCCTGGTTCCGTACTTTCTTGAGCGATATGTCAGGAGGTGTTCTAGGGGGGGTAGGCCTGCTTCTCGGAGGAGTTTAGCTGTGAGGGATGCGTACCAGACCACAAGAGTACACTACGCAGAGCTCAGAGTTCGGCTAACAGCTACAAAGGTAGAAGTCTCCAAGATCCCTTCAGTCAACGTCGAGTAGGATTCTCCTTGATCCGATACGGGCCCCGCGAGCTACGTTATCAACAAAGATTCACTAGAGTTAGCGTATAGAATTCGACCGTCTTCGACGTAGTAGTTCAGGTAGAGTTCGAAGTCACGATAAAGTAAAGTAATTCCAAAGTATAGTCAAATAAAGTTGTAACTCGCGTATCAACGATTTATATTGTTAAGACTCTGATTTCGCCGATGATGGTTTGGCTAGTCAGTGAATGACACAGTATTTATATCCCTCGCTTATGTCTCGAGGACCCAGTCTTCTAATAATACAGCGTACACTCGGGGCCTGCCCGAGACCCTGAAAAACAACCAACAACTTTTAACTCCTAAGTCCGTAACCCAAACTCCTAAAGCCGCTGAAACCCCTCAACCTATTTATCCACTCTAATGCACGTTTCCCTGTCGATGTTTCTTCCCCATCGGCCGTCTGGTGGATAATCGTCAGCGTCGGCTATTCGGAGGTCTCGGACGGCAAGGCTACCTACTCAGGCCTCTTCCCACATCGCTTTCCCACATAGCAGAGTCCTCTCATGCCCACAGGTACCGCCGATAGGTACTCGGCCGGCTGGCAGCTTGCGCCGATTCGCTCCGAGCGGTCCGATCTTCGATCCGATTGATTCCAGCTGTCCCTCATATATCCACCGGTACCAAAACACTCCCCTCCGGTGGTTTGACGCTCCGGGGGTTATTATTGGGGTCGAAAACGTGTTTTTTAACTAGGAAAACCGCAACTCCGCATTTGATCGCATATTGATCGCACCGTACCTCGTAGGTGCGAACCGGAGTTGATAGTGGTGTTGCCATTAGTATTAAAGGGTATAGGGGTATCTACTAGCCTTTCTCTCACTCCCGTAAATGCTTGGCATGCCCGTAACAGCTTACCCCCCTTCCAGGGTGTCACGTCTCGGGACATCTTCTGACAGACTATGGTTCCAGTAAACCTGCTCCACATATCACCCGCGGTGTCTGTGGAGGGGAAGGACTTAGCCCCGTGGGGTACCTCTATAGTCTCAGGCGTTGGTCCTTCACGGCCTTGGGGTTCCTTCGATGGTAGTCACGGACTAGATCAAGTACGTCCTCGTTCATAGCGTCCATGACTTGATAAGTACAGTCACTCATCGAATAGCCCCGCCATTTCACCAAGTACTCCACTAATCCTCTTCTGCTCTTCCGGCTCCCCACGATACTTTCCACTTCGTACAGCACCTCTCCTTCCTTATCGACCTCTTCGGGAGTTGGGGGACGTTGTTCTCGGCCTGGGATACTGCTCTGTCGATACCGTTCCAAGAGTTCGATATGGAACACATTATGAATTTTGACTTGTGGTGGCAGTTCCAATTCACAGGCTCGTTTTCCGGCTAGTCGGATAATTTTGAACGGGCCAAGTTTCTTGTGATCGAGTTTCTTGGTTGAGCGACGTGTCTTGATATTGGTCGCATTGAGCATAACCATATCTCCCACCTTGAAGTTAGGTGGTTCGTCCCTTTTCCGATCATAGTATTTCCCCATCTTTTCCCTGGTGTCTGTTAAGCGAGCGAGAGCAGAATCATGAACTCCTCGGATGAAATGAGCGTACAGGTCACTGGTTGGATTGACCACTTCGGCTTCCGTCGGCCAGTTGGTTCTTGGGTTGTAGCCGTAATTGGTATAGAACGGAGATTGACCCGTGGCGGTGGTAACCGAGTTGTTGTAAGCATACTCCGCCAACGGGAGTAGCTCTGCCCAATCATCTTGCTCGTAGTTACAAAAGGCCCGTAAGTAGTGCTCGAGGGTTTGGTTGACTCGCTCTGTTTGCCCATCGGTCTGAGGGTGGAAAGCCGTACTCATTCTTATCCTCACGTCCAATAATTCCATAAGGGATGCCCAAAAGCTTGAAGTAAACTTGGCGTCCCTATCGGAAACTATGTCAAGAGGCAGCCCATGAAGTCGCCAGATTTGACCGAGGAATATCTTCGCTAAATCCTGCGCGGTCGTTTCTGCTACTAGGGGGATGAAGTGTGACATCTTCGAGAACCTATCGACTACTACCCAGATTTGGTTGTATCCTTTTGATTCTGGTAATTGCACGACAAAGTCCATTGATATTGATTGCCAGACGGAATGTGGTGTGGACAGTGGAAGAAGCGCCCCGTATTTCTTATGGCGGCTGGGTTTGTTGCGCTGGCATTCGTCGCATGACCGAACGTAGTCATCAATCCACTCGTTCATTTTTGGCCAGTAGAAGTTGCGCGTAATAAGTTCCAAAGTTTTGTCTTGTCCAAAGTGTCCTGCCACCTTCGAATCGTGTTCTGACTGTGCAATCCGGATCTTAATGCGGTCGTCTGCCGGAATGTAGAGTCGATTCTTATAGAAGAGTAGCCCGTCTTTCTCAACGATATCCTTCAATTCCCCCAGCTTCTCCCCTTGCTCAACTCTCTCTTTCAATCCTACCCATGTCGGGTCTCCCGATGCCGCCTGCCTGACATGATCCAGAAAGTTCTTAGACCAGTCAATCACCCCCTTGGAGGCAAGCGACACCGCTGATACCACAAACTCTTCCTCCGCCAACTGTCCGGGCTTAAAGAACTTGTCTATCGGCTGTTTCCCAAGCGTGCCTCCCCCTTCAGGACGGTACTCCGGCCGTCGCGATAGTGCATCTGCCTTCCCATTTTTGGTTCCCGGGCGGTAAATAATTTTAAAGTCAAATTCCGCCAAAGACTCAGCCCACCTTGCCTGTCGTCGGTTAAGAATCTTGGTTGTTGAAAAATATTCCAAGTTCTTGTGATCCGTATAGACGAGAACCGTTCGGCTAGGCCCTTCGAGGTAGTGACGCCATTGCTTGAAGGCCGACACAATTCCTAGCATCTCCTTATCCCAGACGTCGTAGTTGAGTTCCGCTGGGTTAAGTTTTCGAGAATAAAAGGCAACAGGGTGAGTCTTTCCGTCAATAACCTGGGATAGAATTGCGGCAATAGCAAAATCACTTGCGTCCGTTTCCACGATAGTCTGGCGATCTGGAGAGAAGTGTACCAAGATCGGCGCAGACGTAAACAGGGTTTTGAGTTTTTCGAAGGCTGCTTGGGCCGTCATAGACCAGACAAAGTTCTTAGCATCACCCCTGAGACAATCGGTAATAGGTTTACAGACCCCGGAGAAATTGTGGATAAACCTTCTGTAGAAGTTGGCAAAGCCCATGAAGATCTGTACTTCCTTAACGCTGCGCGGGGCTTGCCAATTCGTAACAGACATGACCTTATCCAATACTATGGTGACGCCTGCTGGGGCAAGAATGTATCCGAGGAACTCAATTTCGGTGAGCTCGAAGAATGATTTCTTCGGGTTGGCGACCAGGTTGTATTCTTGTAGCCTGCTAAGTACTTTGCCGACCAGCTCCCTGTGTTCCTCTCGAGACTTGCTATATATTAGGATATCATCAAGGTATACTACTACCCCTTGATCCAAGAATTCTCTCAGCGCATCATTCATCATATTCTGGAAGGTCGCCGGCGCATTTGCCAGCCCAAAAGGCATGACGAGGTACTCAAAATGCCCGTACCGCGTACGGAATGCTGTCTTCCACTCGTCGCCGTCTTTGATCCTGATGAGGTTGTAACCTTCCTTCAGGTCAATCTTCGAGAAGATAACCGCGCCTGCCACTCGATCTCGTAGTTCGTCCATAAGTGGTAACGGATACCTGTTCTTAATGGACACGCGGTTAAGTCCACGGTAGTCAACGCAAAGTCGTATACTACCGTCCTTCTTCTTCACAAATAGGATTGGGGCTCCTGCCGGGGATTTGCTCGGCCTAATCTTTCCCAATCGCAACATTTTGTCCAGGTACTCCCGAAGCACCTTCAGCTCGACTTCGGATAGGGAGTAGACGGGTCCCCATGGTGGCTGCTTCCCTGGTTCGAGATCTATCGCATGGTCGTAGGATCGATGCGGTGGTAATTTGTCTGCTTCCGATGGTAGGAAGACTTTAAGGAACCCATGGAGCCAAGAGGGAAGAGTTTCGCGGAGGTTGACCGTTTCATCTTCCAGAAGACAAATACTACCGATGAATTGGGCCTCCGGATCGTCTAGTACACCCTCGTCCATTTCTATTTGAGGTTCCTTGTCAGTGAAGCATCGACTCTTGCAGTTCTCACCATCGTAGGAAACTTCCCCATTTGTTCCTATAACCGGCTTATGTTCTTTCAACCACCAGTTCGGTAATATTGCATCGATGCCAGACGGGAGAGGGGCGATTTCGAATGATAGTTGCGTTTGATGCCCCCTTGACATTATAATTAATGGTTGTGTAAAGGCGTGTCCCGTGCCCTTCATAACTTCTCCCGTAAATCCAAATACCCGGGCCGGGACGTCTCGTTTCACCTTCGGGACCTCAAAACTATCAACAAAAACAGCAGACAAAACAGGACCAGTTGCACCAGTATCCAACAACACCTTACAAGGTAAACATTTTTCCGCAAAACAAAGGAACTGATTAACGATAGGTCGAGGACCGTGAATTGGTTCCTCCAAAATTTTCTGTTTTTTCTCCGGTTGGGACGCTCTCCCTTCCTGCCTTTTTCTTTTCATATTTTTTTGTTGTTTTCCGTCAGTGATAACATAGCAATCTGGGGATACTCCTGACCTGACTCATCAGAGTCCCCTTTTAAAAATCCTCATCGAAATCCATCTCAGATTCCGATCCGCGTTCTCGCACAAACGCTTGCCCACTGGTGTACCCTGCCGCAGCCGTAGCAGCCGGCTTCTTAGCACGGTGCCTCGTACGCTTCCTCGGAGGTTGGGGTTCCGGTGGTTCCATATCGTGGTCGCCATCGTCATCGCGGGTACGCTTTCGGGAGAAAGAGGAGATAGATGCACTACTGTTAGCATCTGAACGACACCATTTCCAAAGATGACCCTTTCGGCCACATCGCACACAGGCTCCATCGGTCTTTCGCTGTTCTCGGACCGGCTGTGGAACTCCTTTGGTGGCTTCGTCGTAGTCGTGGTATATTGGCTTATTCCCCGACTTGTTCTTGCTGGTGCTCTTCTTATCATGCCCTTTTTCCTTCTCCTCGGTCTGAGCCCTCCCCTTGATCTTAAACCCCTTTTCCTTCGGCCGCGAGTTCCCACCATTGTTCGACTCCCTTCCTCTCGACTCCGCTTTCCCCAACATCTTCATCTGCTCTTGATAAGCTTCATGAGCCTTGCCGGCTCGTTCCAACTGTTGGATGTACTCGGAGTCGTCATCGGTTGGATCGAAGCGTGAGTGGCGCTCCCGGATTTCATTTGGTAGCCCTTGGAGCAGGGCGGCGCGATAGGATGCTCCTTTCATCTGAGCATGCTGGTTCATGATCTCCATTCTCGTCAGATAGTCCCCGATGTTAGCAGAGTACTTAAACTGCTGCATTTTCATCGCGTTTTCCATAGCCTCCTGAGTGCTTAAGAAGCGTTTCCTGATCTCCTGACGGAACCGAGTCCAAGTAGTGTAGTCGGCAGCTGCCGGACCTAGCATCTTGGTCTCGATATACTCCATAAACCATTCCTTTGCCAACCCACAAGTATACGTTCCAGCGAACAGCACCTTGTTTCTGTCCGTTCGGAACTTCTTGGGCTTCTGCTCGAAGTAGATCTCGCACTCCATGAGCCAATGCCGCAGGTTGTGCTTCCTGGCATTATCGAACTCAAAGGGTATTTTGGCAAGCGAGTCTACCATATCGTCATCTTCAGGCGGCGCCGAGTTCCGGTTCCCGCCTCGGTTCATTCTCCAATTCTTCCGACCGTGCGACCATTCGCTGTTATCGTCGTCATCGTCGTCAGAAGGTTCGGGGTCTCCCCCAACGTTTCCTCTTGGCGGGTTCTGGGGAGGTTGATTTCCACCATTCCCGCCGACGGGGCCAGCTCCCACCGGTTTCCTGCCACTATTTCCCTGCACCGGGCCGGCATCCTCCGGTCGCCTGCCTCCATTTCCTCCTACGGGACCAGCATTTCCTCCTACTGGGCCAGCATTTCCTCCTACTGGGCCAACATTTTCGGGTTTCTTGCCATTGCCAACAGGAACCGTTCGGGGCGCGTTAGGGTCTAAGGGAGCACTAGCCACAGAAGGCGCTACTGACAGGTGTTGTCGCAGTAGTTCCTCCATCTCGGCTATCCGTTGATTTCTTATCTCATCGGACTGCTTGAATTGCGCAAACATAGCCCGTTGTTCCCCTTTCTCCTGCTCCCGCTCTTCTCGTACCATCCTCAGCTGTCGCTCCGCTTCCAACAGTTGGTCCTGGGTAATCCGATGGTTACGGTCCAGAACCTCGTGGTCGGCGGCTCGTGCGGTTTCTTGCATTTGTTGGACATGGGTGACGAGGTCAAAGAGCGACTCGAGATGTTGTTTTTGGGCAATGGCTTCTTGCCGTACTTTCTTATCCAGGATTTGTCCACTCCCTTGGACTTGCTCCTGTAGGTTTTGTAGCTGCTGCCAAACGGCCTGTCCAGCTGCACCAAGATACCTCATTTGTGCCTCATGGGTATCCAAAAACTCCTGCATATTCCTCACGAACTGGGCTTGAGCAGAGCGTTTACTCGATTGCCTAGTTGTTGTAGAGGGTCCTCCCGTAAGTAGGGGGTCTGGGCTAGCAGCCCTTGATATCACCATAGAATCTTCTCCTCCGGCCTCCTCAGTTACGGCCGAGGTATCTATGAAGTAATTATCCCTTCGTGTAGTCATTGTGATAGGGGATAACGATGATAGTTTTTTTTTTTTTTGAGGTGACTTCGTTACTCCAAGTGAACTTGTGAGTAACAATATACTGTGAGGGATGCGTACCAGACCACAAGAGTACACTACGCAGAGCTCAGAGTTCGGCTAACAGCTACAAAGGTAGAAGTCTCCAAGATCCCTTCAGTCAACGTCGAGTAGGATTCTCCTTGATCCGATAAGGGCCCCGCGAGCTACGTTATCAACAAAGATTCACTAGAGTTAGCGTATAGAATTCGACCGTCTTCGACGTAGTAGTTCAGGTAGAGTTCGAAGTCACGATAAAGTAAAGTAATTCCAAAGTATAGTCAAATAAAGTTGTAACTCGCGTAACAACGATTTATATTGTTAAGACTCTGATTTCGCCGATGATGGTTTGGCTAGTCAGTGAATGACACAGTATTTATATCCCTCGCTTATGTCTCGAGGACCCAGTCTTTTAACAATACAGCATACACTCGGGGCCTACCCGAGACCCTGAAAAACAACCAAGAACATTTAACTCCTAAATCCGTAACCCAAACTCCTAAAGCCGCTGAAACCCCTCAACCTATTTATCCACTCTAATGCACGTTTCCCTGTCGATGTTTCTTCTCCATCGGCCGTCTGGTGGATAATCGTCAGCGTCGGCTATTCGGAGGTCTCGGACGGCAAGGCTACCTACTCAGGCCTCTTCCCACATCGCTTTCCCACATAGCAGAGTCCTCTCATGCCCACAGGTACCGCCGATAGGTACTCGGTCGGCTGGCAGCTTGCGCCGATTCGCTCCGAGCGGTCCGATCTTCGATCCGATTGATTCCAGCTGTCCCTCATATATCCACCGGTACCAAAACACTCCCCTCCGGCGGTTTGACGCTCCGGGGGTTATTATTGGGGTCGAAAATGTGTTTTTTAACTAGGAAAACCGCAACTCCGCACTTGGTCGCATATTGATCGCACCGCACCTCGTGGGTGCGAACCGGAGTTGATAGTGGTGTTGCCATTAGTATTAGAGGGTATTGGGGTATCTACTAGCCTTTCTTCTTACTCCCGTAAATGCTTGGCATGCCCGTAACAGAGAAAAGGCCAGTAGATACCTCAATACCCTCTGTACGCTAATGTCAACTCTGGTTCGCACCCACGAGGTGCGGTGCGATCAATATGCGACCAAATGCGGAGTTGCGGTTTTCCTAGTTAAAAAACATGTTTTCGACCCCAATAATAACCCCCGGAGCGTCAAACCGCCGGAGGGGAGTGCTTTCGGACCGGTGGATATATGAGGGACAGCTGGAATCAATTGGATCGAAGATCGGACCACCCGGAGCGAATCGGCGCAAGCTGCCAGTCGACCGAGTACCTATCGGCGGTACCTGTGGGCATGAGAGAACTCTGCTATGTGGGAAAGCGATGTGGGAAGAGGCCTGAGTAGGTAGCCTTGTCGTCCGAGACCTCCGAATAGCCGACGCTGACGATTATCCACCAGACGGCCGATGGAGAAGAAACATCGACAGGGAAACGTGCATTAGAGTGGATAAATAGGTTGAGGGGTTTTAGCGGGTTTAGGAGTTTGGGTTACGGACTTAGGAGTTAAATGTTCTTGGTTGTTTTTCAGGGTCTCGGGCATACCCCGAGTGTATTCTGTATTATTAGTAGACTGGGTCCTCGAGGCATAAGCGAGGGATATAAATACTGTGTCATTCACTGACTAGCCAAACCATCATCGGCGAAATCAGAGTCTTAACAATATAAATCGTTGATACGCGAGTTACAACTTTATTTGACTATACTTTTGGAAATACTTTTCTCTATCGTGACTTCGAACTCTACCTGAACTATTACATCGAAGACGGTCGAATACTATACGCTAACTCTAGTGAATCTTTGTTGATAACGTAGCTCGCGGGGCCCGTATCGGATCAAGGAGATTCATACTCGACGTTGACTGAAGAGACCTTGGAGACTTCTACCTTTGTAGCTGTTAGCCGAACTCTGAGCTCTGCGTAGTGTACTCTTGTGGTCTGGTACGCATCCCTCACAGTATATTGTTACTCACAAGTTCACTTGGAGTAACGAAGTCACCTCAAAGAGAAAAACTATCATCATTATCCCCTATTACTGTTACGGGCATGCCAAGCATTTACGGGAGTGAGAGAAAAGGCCAGTAAATACCCCAATACCCTCTGTACGCTAATGTCAACTCTTGACCACACTCGCGGAGTGTGGTGCGACCAATATACGACCAAAACACAGAGTCATAAAAAACACGTTTTCGACCCCAATAATAATCCCCGGAGCGTCAAACCGCCGGAGGAGAGTGTTTTGGTACCGGTGGATATATGAGGGACAGCTGGAATCAATCGGATCGAAGATCGGACCGCTCGGATCGAATCGGCGCAAGCTGCCAGCCGACCGAGTACCTATCGGCGGTACCTGTGGGCATGAGAGGACTCTTCTATGTGGGAAAGCGATGTGGGAAGAGGCCTGAGTAAGCAGCCTTGCCGTCCGAGACCTCCGAATAGCCGACGCTGACGATTATCCACCAGACGGCCGATGGAGAAGAAACATCGACAGGGAAACGTGCATTAGAGTGGATAAATAGGTTGAGGGGTTTTAGCGGCTTTAGGAGTTTGGGTTACGGACTTAGGAGTTAAAATGTTCTTGGTTGTTTTTCAGGGTCTCGGGCAGGCCCCGAGTATATTCTGTATTATTAGTAGACTGGGTCCTCGAGACAGAGCGAGGGATATAAATACTGTGTCATTCACTGACTAGCCAAACCATCATCGGCGAAATCAGAGTCTTAACAATATAAATCGTTGATACGCGAGTTACAACTTTATTTGACTAGACTTTTGGAAATACTTTTCTCTATCGTGACTTCGAACTCTACCTGAACTATTACATCGAAGACGGTCGAATACTATACGCTAACTCTAGTGAATCTTTGTTGATAACGTAGCTCGCGGGGCCCGTATCGGATCAAGGAGATTCATACTCGACGTTGACTGAAGAGACCTTGGAGACTTCTACCTTTGTAGCTGTTAGCCGAACTCTGAGCTCTGCGTAGTGTACTCTTGTGGTCTGGTACGCATCCCTCACAGTATATTGTTACTCACAAGTTCACTTGGAGTAACGAAGTCACCTCAAAAAAGAAGAACTATCATCATTTATCCCTTACCACAATGGCTGGCCGAAGGGATTATTTCGTAGACACCTCGGCCGTAACAGACGAGGCCGCAGAGGACGCTATGGTACTATCTGGGGCTGTTAGCCCCGATCCCCTACTCCAGGGAGGACCCTCTACACAAACTAGGTCAACGAGTAAACGCTCTGCTCAAGTCCAGTTTACGAGGTCCATGCAGGAGTTTTTGGATACCCATGAGGCACAAATGAGGTATCTTGGTACAGCTGGACAGGCCGTTTGGCAGCAGCTACAAAACCTCCAGGAACAAGTGCAAGGGAGTGGGCAGATCCTGGACAAGAAAGTACGACAAGAAGCCATCGCCCAGAAGCAACATCTCGAATCGCTCTTTGAGCTCGTCGAAAATGTTCGACAAGAACAGGAAGCCGCACGAGTCGCCGACCACGAGGTTCTGGACTGCAACTATCGAGTTACCCAGAACCAACTGTTGGAGGCGGAACGACAGCTGAGAATTGCAAGAGAAGAGCGAGAGCAGGAGAAAAGGGAACAGCGGGAACTGTTGGCACAGTTCAAGCAGTCCGACGACGTAAGAAACCAACGAATAGCCGAGATGGAGGAACGTCTACGACAACATTTGTCGGTAGCACCCTCCATGGTGAGTATTCCCTTGGACTCTATTGCACCCCAAACGGTTCCTGTTGGCAATGGCAAGAACCCCGAAAACGCTGGCCCAGTAGGAGGAAACGCTGGTCCCGTAGGAGGAAATGGAGGCAGGCGACCGGAGGATGCCGGCCCAGTGCAGGGAAATAGTGGCAGGAAACCGGTGGGAGCTGCCCCCGTCGGCGGGAATGGTGGAAATCAACCTCCCCAAAACCCACCAAGAGGAAATATTGGGGGAGATCCAGAACCTTCCAACGACGATGACGACGATAACAGCGAATGGTCGCATGGTCGGAAGAATTGGAGAATGAAGCGAGGCGGAAACCGGAATTCGGCGCCGCCTGAAGACGATGATATGGTAGATTCGCTCGCCAAAATACCCTTTGAGTTCGATAATGCCAGAAAGCATAACCTGCGGCATTGGCTCATGGAGTGCGAGATCTACTTCGAGCAGAAACCCAAGAAGTTCCGAACGGACAGGAACAAGGTACTGTTCGCTGGGACGTATACGTGTGGGTTGGCAAAGGAATGGTTTATGGAATATATCGAGACCAAGATGCTAGGACCGGCAGCCGCGGACTATGCTACTTGGACTCGGTTCCGTCAGGAGATCAGAAAACGTTTCCTAAGCACTCAGGAAGCTATGGAAAACGCGATGAAGATGCAGCAGTTTAAGTACTCCGCGAACATCGGGGACTACCTGACGAGGATGGAGATCATGAACCAGCATGCTCAGATGAAAGGAGCATCCTATCGCGCCGCCCTGCTCCAAGGGCTACCAAATGAAATCCGGGAGCGCCACTCACGCTTCGATCCAACCGATGACGACTCCGAGTACATCCAACAGTTGGAACGAGCCGGCAAAGCTCACGAGGCTTATCAAGAGCAGATGAAGATGTTGGGGAAAGCGGAGTCAAGGGGAAGGGAGTCGAACAACGGTGGGAACTCGCGGCAAAAGGAGAAGGGGTTTAAGATCAAGGGGAGGGCTCAGACTGAGGAAAAAGAAAAGGGGCAAGATAAGAAGAGCACCAGCAAGAACAAGTCGGGGAATAAGCCAATATACCACGACTACGACGAAGCCACCAAAGGAGTTCCGCAGCCGGTCCGAGAACAGCGAAAGACCGATGGAGCCTGTGTGCGATGTGGCCGAAAGGGTCACCTTTGGAAGTGGTGTCGTTCAGATGCTAACAGCAGTGCATCTATCTCCTCTTTCTCCCGAAAGCGTACCCGCGATGACGATGGCGACCACGATATGGAACCACCGGAACCCCAACCTCAGAAGAAGCGTATGAGGCACCGTGCTAGGAAGCCGGCTGCTACGGCTGCTGCGGAGTACACCAGTGGGCAAGCGTTTGTGCGAGAACGCGGATCGGAATCTGAGATGGATTTCGATGAGGATTTTTAAAAGGGGACTCTGATGAGTCAGGTCAGGAGTATCCCCAGATTGCTATGTTATCACTGACGGAAAACAACAAAAAAAATATGAAAAGAAAAAGGCAGGAAGGGAGAGCGTCCCAACCGGAGAAAAAGCAGAAAATTTTGGAGGAACCAATTCACGGTCCTCGACCTATCGTTAATCAGTTCCTTTGTTTTGCGGAAAAATGTTTACCTTGTAAGGTGTTGTTGGATACTGGTGCAACTGGTCCTGTTTTGTCTGCTGTTTTTGTTGATAGTTTTGAGGTCCCGAAGGTGAAACGAGACGTCCCGGCCCGGGTATTTGGATTTACGGGAGAAGTTATGAAGGGCACGGGACACGCCTTTACACAACCATTAATTATAATGTCAAGGGGGCATCAGACGCAACTATCATTCGAGATCGCCCCTCTCCCACTTGGCATCGATGCAATATTACCGAACTGGTGGTTGAAAGAACACAAACCGGTTATAGGGGTAAATGGGGAAGTTTCCTACGATGGCGAAAACTGTAAGAGTCGATGCTTCACTGACAAGGAACCTCAAATAGAGATGGACGAGGGTGTATTGGACGATCCGGAGGCCCAATTCATCGGTAGTATTTGTCTTTTGGAAGATGAATCGGTCAACCTCCGTGAGACTCTTCCCTCTTGGCTCCATGGGTTCCTTAAAGTCTTCCTACCATCGGAAGCAGACAAATTACCACCGCATCGATCTTACGACCATGCGATAGATCTCGAACCAGGGAAGCAGCCACCATGGGGTCCCGTTTACTCCCTATCCGAAGTCGAGCTGAAGGTGCTTCGGGAGTACCTAGACAAAATGTTGCGATTGGGAAAGATTAGGCCAAGCAAATCCCCAGCAGGAGCCCCAATCCTATTTGTGAAGAAGAAGGACGGTAGTCTGCGACTTTGCGTTGACTACCGTGGACTTAACCGTGTGTCCATTAAGAACAGGTATCCGTTACCGCTTATGGACGAGCTGCGAGATCGAGTGGCAGGCGCGGTTATCTTCTCGAAGATTGACCTGAAGGAAGGTTACAACCTCATCAGGATCAGAGACGGCGACGAGTGGAAGACAGCCTTTCGTACGCGGTACGGGCATTTTGAGTACCTCGTCATGCCTTTTGGGCTGGCAAATGCGCCGGCGACCTTCCAGAACATGATGAATGATGCGTTGAGGGAATTTTTGGATCAAGGTGTAGTAGTATACCTTGATGATATCCTAATATATAGCAAGTCTCGAGAGGAACACAGGGAGCTGGTCGGCAAAGTACTTAGCAGGCTACAAGAATACAACCTGGTCGCCAACCCGAAGAAATCGTTCTTCGAGCTCACCGAAATCGAGTTCCTAGGATACATCCTTGCCCCAGCAGGCGTCACCATGGCACTGGATAAGGTCATGTCTGTTACGAATTGGCAAGCCCCGCGCAGTGTTAAGGAAGTACAGATCTTCATGGGCTTTGCCAATTTCTACAGAAGGTTTATCCACAATTTTTCCGGGGTCTGTAAACCCATTACCGATTGTCTCAGGGGTGATGCTAAGAACTTTGTCTGGTCTATGACGGCCCAAGCAGCCTTCGAAAAACTCAAAACCCTGTTTACGTCTGCGCCGATCTTGGTTCACTTCTCTCCAGATCGCCAGACTATCGTGGAAACGGACGCAAGTGATTTTGCTATTGCCGAATTCTATCCCAGGTTATTGACGGAAAGACTCACCCTGTTGCCTTTTATTCTCGAAAGCTTAACCCAGCGGAACTTAACTACGACGTCTGGGATAAGGAGATGCTAGGAATTGTTTCAGCCTTTAAGCAATGGCGTCACTACCTCGAAGGACCTAGCAAAACGGTCCTAGTCTACACGGATCATAAGAACTTGGAATATTTCTCAACAACCAAGGTTCTTAACCGACGACAGGCAAGGTGGGCTGAGTCTTTGGCGGAATTTGACTTTAAGATTATTTACCGCCCGGGAACCAAAAATGGGAAGGCAGATGCACTATCGCGACGGCCGGAGTACCGTCCTGAAGGGGGAGGCACGCTTGGGAAGCAGCCGATAGACAGGTTCTTTAAGCCCGGACAGTTGGCGGAGGAAGAGTTTGTGGCATCAGCGGTGTCGCTTGCCTCCAAGGGGGTGATTGACTGGTCTAAGAATTTTCTGGATCATGTCAGGCAGGCGGCATCGGGAGACCCGACATGGGTAGGAATGAAAGAGAAAATTGAGCAAGGGGAGAAGCTAGGGGAACTGAAGGATATTGCTGAAAAAGACGGGCTACTCTTCTATAAGAACCGACTCTGCATTCCGGCAGATGACCATATTAAGATCCGAATCGCATAGGCAGAACACGATTCGAAGGTGGCAGGACACTTTGGACAAGACAAAACTTTGGAACTCATCACGCGTAACTTTTATTGGCCAAAAATGAACGAGTGGATTGATGATTACGTTCGGTCATGTGACGAGTGCCAGCGCAACAAACCCAGCCGCCATAAGAAATACGGTGCGTTTCTTCCACTGTCCACACCACATTCTGTCTGGCAATCGATATCAATGGACTTTGTCGTGCAGTTACCGGAATCAAAAGGATATAACCAAATCTGGGTAGTAGTCGATAGGTTCTCGAAGATGTCGCACTTCATCCCCCTAGTAGCAGAAACGACCGCGCAGGATTTAGCGAAGATATTCCTCGGTCAAATCTGGCGTCTTCATGGGCTGCCTCTCGATATAGTTTGCGACAGAGATGCAAAGTTTACTTCAAGCTTTTGGGCATCCCTTATGGAATTGTTGGACGTGAGGATAAGAATGAGTACAGCTTTCCACCCTCAGACCGATGGGCAAACAGAGCGGGTCAACCAAACCCTCGAGCACTACTTACGAGCGTTCTGCAACTACGAGCAAGATGATTGGGCAGAGCTACTCCCGTTGGCGGAGTATGCTTACAACAACTCGGTTACCACCGCCACGGGCCAATCTCCGTTCTATACCAATTACGGTTACAACCCAAGAACCAACTGGCCGACGGAAGCCGAAGTGGTCAACCCAACCAGTGACCTGTACGCCCACTTCATCCGAGGAGTTCACGACTCTGCTCTCGCTCGCTTAACTGTCACCAGGGAGAAGATGGGGAAATACTATGATCGGAAAAGGGACGAACCGCCGAACTTCAAGATAGGCGACATGGTCATGCTCAATGCGACCAATATTAAGACCCGTCGCTCCACCAAAAAGCTCGATCATAAGAAACTCGGTCCGTTCAAGATCATCCGACTAGCGGGAAAACGAGCCTGTGAATTGGAACTGCCACCACAAATCAAAATCCATAACGTGTTCCACATTGAACTTTTGGAACGTTACCGACAGAGCAGTATCCCAGGCCGCGAACAACGTCCCCCGACTCCCGAGGAGGTCGATAAGGAAGGAGAGGTTCTATATGAAGTAGAAAGTATTGTGGGAAGTCGGAAGAGTAGGAGAGGATTAGTGGAATACCTGGTGAAATGGCGGGGCTATTCGATGAGTGACTGTACGTACCAAGTCATGGACGCTATGGATGAAGAGGTACTTGATCTTGTCCGCGACTTCCATCGAAGGAACCCCAAGGCCGTGAAGGACCAACGCCTGAGACTATAGAGGTACCCTACGGGGCTAAGTCCTTCCCCTCCACAGACACCGCGGGTGATATGTGGAGCAGGTTTACTGGAACCATAGTCTGTCAGAAGATGTCCCGAGACGTGACACCCTGGAAGGGGGGTAAGCTGTTACGGGCATGCCAAGCATTTACGGGAGTGAGAGAAAAGGCCAGTAAATACCCCAATACCCTCTGTACGCTAATGTCAACTCTTGACCACACTCGCGGAGTGTAGTGCGACCAATATACGACCAAAACACAGAGTCATAAAAAGCACGTTTTCGACCCCAATAATAACCCCCGGAGCATCAAACCGCCGGAGGAGAGTGTTTTGGTACCGGTGGATATATGAGGGACAGCTGGAATCAATCGGATCGAAGATCGGACCGCTCGGAGCGAATCGGCGCAAGCTGCCAGCCGACCGAGTACCTATCGGCGGTACATGTGGGCATGAGAGGACTCTGCTATGTGGGAAAGCGATGTGGGAAGAGGCCTGAGTAAGCAGCCTTGCCGTCCGAGACCTCCGAATAGCCGACGCTGACGATTATCCACCAGACGGCCGATGGAGAAGAAACATCGACAGGGAAACGTGCATTAGAGTGGATAAATAGGTTGAAGGGTTTTAGCGGCTTTAGGAGTTTGGGTTACGGACTTAGGAGTTAAAATGTTCTTGGTTGTTTTTCAGGGTCTCGGGCAGGCCCCGAGTATATTCTGTATTATTAGTAGACTGGGTCCTCGAGACAGAGCGAGGGATATAAATACTGTGTCATTCACTGACTAGCCAAACCATCATCGGCGAAATCAGAGTCTTAACAATATAAATCGTTGATACGCGAGTTACAACTTTATTTGACTATACTTTTGGAAATACTTTACTCTATCGTGACTTCGAACTCTACCCGAACTATTACGTCGAAGACGGTCGAACATCACACGCTAACTCTAGTGAATCTTTGTTGATCACGTAGCTCGCGGGGCCCGTATCGGATCAAGGAGAATCATACTCAACGTTGACTGAAGAGACCTTGGAGACTTCTACCTTTGTAGTTGTTAGCCGAACTCTGAGCTCTGCGTAGTGTACTCTTGTGGTCTGGTACGCATCCCTCACAATTACAATGACTACCCGAAGGGATAATTATTTTATAGATACCTCGGCCGTAACTGAGGAGGCCGGAGGGGAAGACTCTTTGGTAATATCAAGGGCTGCTAGCCCAGACCCTCTACTTACGGGAGGACCCTCTACACAAACTAGGCAATCGAGTAAACGCTCTGCTCAAGCCCAGTTCGTGAGGAATATGCAGGAGTTTTTGGATACCCATGAGGCACAAATGAGGTATCTTGGTTCAGCTGGACAGGCCGTTTGGCAGCAGCTACAAAACCTCCAGGAACAAGTCTAAGGGAGTGGGCAAATCCTGGATAAGAAAGCACGGCAAGAAGCCATTGCCCAAAAGCAACATCTCGAATCGCTCTTTGAGCTCGTCGCCAATGTCCAACAAGTACAAGAAGCCGCACGAGCCACCGACCACGAGGTTCTGGATCGCAACTATTGGATTACCCAGAACCAACTGTTGGAGGCGGAGCGACAACTGAGGATGGTACGAGAAGAGCGGGAGCAGGAGAAAGGGGAACAACGGGCTTTGTTTGCCCAATTTAAGCAGTCCGATGAGATAAGAAACCAACGGATAGCCGAGATGGAGGAACTACTGCGACAACATCTATCAGTAGCACCTTCCGTGGCTAGTGCTCCCTTAGACCCTAATGCACCCCGAACGGTTCCTGTTGGCAATGGCAAGAACCCCCAAAATGCTGGCCCCCAAACATCAGGGAATGGCAAGCAACCAGAAGAAGCTGGCCCAGTTGGTGGAAATGGAGGCAAGCAACCGGAAGATGCCGGCCCAGTGCAGGGAAATAGTGGCAGAAGACCGGTAGGGGCTGCTCCAGTGGGAGGGAATGGTGGAAATCTACCTCCCCGAAATCTACCAAGAGGAAACGTTGGGGGGATCCAGAGCCTTCCGAAGACGATGACGACGATAACAGTGAATGGTCGCATGGTCGGAAGAATTGGAGAATGAACCGAGGCGGGAACCGGAATTCGGCGCCGCCTGAGGACGAAGATATGGTAGATTCGCTCGCCAAAATACCTTTTGAGTTCGATAATGCCCGGAAGCATAACCTGCGGCATTGGCTCATGGAGTGCGAGATCTACTTCGAGCAGAAGCCAAATAAGTTCCGAACGGACAGAAATAAGGTACTGTTCGCTGGAACGTATACGTGTGGGTTGGCAAAGGAATGGTTTATGGAATATATCGAGACCAAGATGCTAGGACCGGCAGCCGCGGACTACGCTACTTGGACTCGGTTCCGTCAGGAGATCAGAAAACGCTTCCTAAGCACTCAGGAAGCCATGGAGAACGCGATGAAGATGCAGCAGTTTAAGTACTCTGCTAACATCGGGGACTACCTGACGAGAATGGAGATTATGAACCAGCATGCTCAGATGAAAGGAGCATCCTATCGCGCCGCCTTGCTCCAAGGGCTACCGAATGAAATTCGAGAGCGCCACTCACCCTTCGATCCAACCGATGACGACTCCGAGTACATCCAACGGTTGGAACGAGCCGGTAAGGCCCATGAGGCTTATCAGGAGCAGATGAAGATGTTGGGAAAAGCAGAGTCGAGAGGAAAGGAGTCGAACCATGGTGGGAACTCCAGCAGAAGGAGAAGGGGTTTAAGATCAAGGGAAGGGCTCAGACCGAGAAGAAAGAAAAGGGGCAAGATAAGAAGAGCACCAGCGAGAACAAGTCGGGGAATAAGCCAATATACCACGACTACGACGAAGCCACCAAAGGAGTTCCACAGCCGGTCCGGGACCAGCGGAAGACCGATGGTGTCTGCGTGCGATGTGGCCGAAAGGGTCATCTTTGGAAATGGTGTCGTTCAGATGCTAACAGCAGTGCATCTATCTCCTCTTTCTCCCGAAAGCGTACCCGCGATGACAATGGTGACCACGATATGGAACCACCGGAACCCCAACCTCAGAGGAAGCGTATGAGGCACCGTGCTAGGAAGCCGGCTGCTACGGCTGCTGCGGAGTACACCAGTGGGCAAGCGTTTGTGCGAGAACGCGGATCGGAATCTGAGATGGATTTCGATGAGGATTTTTAAAAGGGGACTCTGATGAGTCAGGTCAGGAGTATCCCCAGATTGCTATGTTATCACTGACGGAAAACAACAAAAAAAATATGAAAAGAAAAAGGCAGGAAGGGAGAGCGTCCCAACCGGAGAAAAAGCAGAAAATTTTGGAGGAACCAATTCACGGTCCTCGACCTATCGTTAATCAGTTCCTTTGTTTTGCGGAAAAATGTTTACCTTGTAAGGTGTTGTTGGATACTGGTGCAACTGGTCCTGTTTTGTCTGCTGTTTTTGTTGATAGCTTTGAGGTCCCGAAGGTGAAACGAGACGTCCCGGCCCGGGTATTTGGATTTACGGGAGAAGTTATGAAGGGCACGGGACACGCCTTTACACAACCATTAATTATAATGTCAAGGGGGCATCAGACGCAACTATCATTCGAGATCGCCCCTCTCCCACCTGGCATCGATGCGATACTACCGAATTGGTGGTTGAAAGAACACAAACCAGTTATAGGAGCAAATGGGGAAGTTTCCTACGATGGCGATAACTGTAAGAGTCGATGCTTCACTGACAAGGAACCTCAAATAGAAATGGACGAGAGTGTACTGGATGATCCGGAGGCCCAATTCATCGGTAGTATTTGTCTTATGGAAGATGAATCGGTCAACCTCCGCGAGACTCTTCCCTCTTGGCTCCATGGGTTCCTTAAAGTCTTCCTACCATTGGAAGCAGATAAATTACCACCGCATCGATCTTACGATCATGCGATAGATCTTGAACCAGGGAAGCAGCCACCATGGGGACCCGTTTACTCCCTATCCGAAGTCGAGCTGAAGGTGCTTCGGGAGTGTTACGGGCATGCCAAGCATTTACGGGAGTGAGAGAAAGACTAAGTAGATACCCCAATACCCTCTGATACTAATGGCAACACCACTATCGACTCCGGTTCGCACCCACGAGGTGCGGTGCGATCAATATGAGACCAAATGCGGAGTTGCGGTTTTCCTAGTTAAAAAACACGTTTTCGACCCCAATAATAACCCCCGGAGCGTCAAACCGCCGGAGGGGAGTGTTTTGGTACCGGTGGATATATGAGGGACAGCTGGAATCAATCGGATCGAAGATCGGACCGCTCGGAGCGAATCGGCGCAAGCTGCCAGCCGACCGAGTACCTATCGGCGGTACCTGTGGGCATGAGAGGACTCTGCTATGTGGGAAAGCGATGTGGGAAGAGGCCTGAGTAGGTAGCCTTGCCGTCCGAGACCTCCGAATAGCCGACGCTGACGATTATCCACCAGACGGCCGATGGAGAAGAAACATCGACAGGGAAACGTGCATTAGAGTGGATAAATAGGTTGAGGGGTTTCAGCGGATTTAGGAGTTTGGGTTACGGATTTAGGAGTTAAATGTTCTTGGTTGTTTCTCAGGGTCTCGGGCATGCCCCGAGTGTATTCTGTATTATTAGTAGATGGGGTCCTCGAGACATAAGCGAGGGATATAAATACTGTGTCATTCACTGACTAGCCAAACCATCATCGGCGAAATCAGAGTCTTAACAATATAAATCGTTGATACGCGAGTTACAACTTTATTTGACTATACTTTTGGAATTACTTTACTCTATCGTGACTTCGAACTCTACCTGAACTATTACGTCGAAGACGGTCGAACATTAAACGCTAACTCTAGTGAATCTTTGTTGATAACGTAGCTCGCGGGGCCCGTATCGGATCAAGGAGAATCATACTCGACGTTGACTGAAGAGACCTTGGAGACTTCTACCTTTGTAGCTGTTAGCCGAACTCTGAGCTCTGCGTAGTGTACTCTTGTGGTCTGGTACGCATCCCTCACAGGGAGTACCTGGACAAAATGTTGCGATTGGGAAAGATTAGGCCGAGCAAATCCCCAGCAGGAGCCCCAATCGTATTTGTGAAGAAGAAGGACGGTATTCTGCGACTTTGCGTTGACTACCGTGGACTTAACCGTGTGTCCATTAAGAATAGGTATCCGTTACCGCTTATGGACGAACTGCGAGATCGAGTGGCAGGCGCGGTTATCTTCTCGAAGATTGACCTGAAGGAAGGTTACAACCTCATCAGGACCAAAGACGGCGACAAGTGGAAGACAGCATTCCGTACGCGGTACGGGCATTTTGAGTACCTCGTCATGCCTTTTGGGCTGGCAAATGCGCCGGCGACCTTCCAGAACATGATGAATGATGCGCTGAGGGAATTCTTGGATCAGGGTGTAGTAGTATACCTTGATGATATCCTAATATATAGCAAGTCTCGAGAGGAACACAGAGAGCTGGTTGGCAAAGTACTTAGTAGGCTACAAAAATACATCCTGGTCGCCAACCCGAAGAAATCGTTCTTCGAGCTCACCGAAATCGAGTTCCTCGGATACATCCTTGCCCCAGCAGGCGTCACCATGGCACTAGATAAGGTTATGTCTGTTACGAATTGGCAAGCCCCGCGTAGCGTTAAGGAAGTACAAATCTTCATGGGCTTTGCCAACTTCTACAGAAGGTTTATCCACAATTTCTCCGGGGTCTGTAAACCCATTACCGATTGTCTCAGGGGTGATGCTAAGAACTTTGTCTGGTCTATGACGGCCCAAGCAGCCTTCGAAAAACTCAAAACCCTGTTTACGTCTGCGCCGATCTTGGTACACTTCTCTCCAGATCGCCAGACTATCGTGGAAATGGACGCAAGTGATTTTGCTATCGCCGCAATTCTATCCCAGGTTATTGACGGAAAGACTCACCCCGTTGCCTTGTATTCCCGAAAGCTTAACCCAGCGGAACTCAACTACGACGTCTGGGATAAGGAGATGTTAGGAATTGTGTCAGCCTTCAAGCAATGGCGTCACTACCTCGAAGGACCTAGCCGAACGGTCCTCGTTTATACGTATCACAAGAACTTAGAGTACTTTTCTACAACTAAGGTTCTGAACCGACGACAGGCAAGGTGGGCTGAGTCTTTGGCGGAATTTTACTTTAAGAATATTTACCGCCCGGAAACCAAAAATGGGAAGGCAGATGCACTATCGCGACGGCCGGAGTACCGTCCTGAAGGGGGAGGCACGCTTGGGAAACAGCCGATAGACAAGTTCTTTAAGCCCGGACAGTTGGCGGAGGAAGAGTTTGTGGTATCAGCGGTGTCGCTTGCCTCCAAGGGGGTGATTGACTGGGCTAAGAATTTTCTAGATCATGTCAGGCAGGCGGCATCGGGAGACCCGACATGGGTAGGAATGAAAGAGAGAGTTGAGCAAGGAGAGAAGCTGGGGGAACTAAAGGATATCGCTGAAAAAGACGGGCTACTCTTCTATAAGAACCGACTCTGCATTCCGGCAGATGACCGTATTAAGATCCGAATCGCACAGGCAGAACACGATTCGAAGGCGGCAGGACACTTTGGACAAGACAAAACTTTGGAACTCATCACGCGTAACTTTTATTGGCCAAAAATGAACGAGTGGATTGATGATTACGTTCGGTCATGTGACGAGTGCCAGCGCAACAAACCCAGCCGCCACAAGAAATACGGTGCGCTTCTTCCACTGTCCACACCAAATTCCGTCTGGCAATCGATATCAATGGACTTTGTCGTGCAGTTACCGGAATCGAAGGGATACAACCAAATCTGGGTAGTAGTCGATAGGTTCTCGAAGATGTCGCCCTTTATCCCTCTAGTAGCAGAAACGACCGCGCAGGATTTAGCGAAGATATTCCTCGGTCAAATCTGGCGACTCCATGGGCTGCCTCTTGATATAGTTTCCGACAGAGACGCCAAATTCACTTCAAGCTTTTGGGCATCTCTTATGGAATTATTGGACGTGAGAATAAGAATGAGTACGGCTTTCCACCCTCAGACCGATGGGCAAACAGAGCGGGTTAATCAAACCCTCGAGCACTACCTACGAGCATTCTGCAACTACGAGCAAGATGATTGGGCAGAGCTACTCCCGTTGGCGGAGTATGCTTACAACAACTCGGTTACCACCGCCACGGGTCAATCTCCGTTCTATACCAATTACGGTTACAACTGTAAAAATATGGCATTGCGACATCGGTTATGTATGGTAATTACTCATGTATAAGGGATGACTCATAGTTGGAACAAGGAGGCTTAGCGCTAGGATTATGTAATCAGGGGATCACGTGGTACTAAGAACTATCTGTATATAAGGAGTAAGAAACTCCCATAGTTGTCGCTGGAACTCAGCGGCGCAATAGTATCTTCTTTGCACTATAAACATATTCCTCACAAAGGTCACGTGTTCAAACCCTCCTCAAGTCGTCTATTCTCCCACACTCCAATTCACAGGTTATGAGCCCGGGTTCTGCCAAATAGAATCCGCACTACACCATCGCCACCTCGCTTAACTCAACAACACTTCATACAACATCATGCCTTCAGAAGGAGAATCGTCATCCAAGGCTGCTGAGATCAAACCCTCAGAGACAACAGCTACCAGTAACATTCGTCTCAAGTTTGATGGACTCCCTAAATTACAAGGGCAATCCAACTATCAAACTTGGGCGAGTGCCTGGAGGATAACATTCGACGCTGTAGACTGGTGGGAAGCGTTGAGCATCGAGAACCCTGACGAGAATGACACCGAACTCAGCAAAACCGAGATAAAGAAGGCTCGCAAACAAATGCACAGCCTTCTCATCTCTGCTGTATGCGAAGAAATACAACCAACAGTCGTCTCCGCCGAAAATGCATTCTACGCATGGAAGGCGCTCAAAGACCTCTACGATCGTGTCTCACCCAACACCACGATCACCCTCCTCAGCCGCGTCCTAGACACGAAGATGCAAGAAGGCGGATCACTGACCGAGCATCTCGCGACCTTCGATGCGAACTGGAATACTCTCAAGTCCAGATGCCAAAGCGCAGACCACAAACTCGCTCAGGCTCTTCTACCCCTCACCAAATCCAACGAAGCCATGGCGGCATTCCTCCTAAGTTCGCTACCAAAATCGATGAGCAACGTCGTCGATAACATCCAGACCAAACAGGATGTTACCTACGAAGACGTACGCCAACGACTACAGAACCTGGACGAGGTAGCCCCTCAAACAGGGAACAAAGTACTCCATACCAGGAGTACCACAAGCGACAAGGAATGCACCTGGTGCAAGAAAAGGGGGCAGCCTTACAAAGGCCACGAGTACACGGAGTGCAGAAAGCTCAAAGAACAGAACAAGAACAGGAAAGGAAGGAGAAAGGACAACTCGGCATCGGTTGTAGTAAATGACTCTACAACCACTATCTGTATGGTACGCCACGACATCTCCCAACCCCTTACTTGGATCCTTGATTCTGGAGCGACCTCTCACGTCCCACCCTTCCAAGACCAACTCATCAACATCCGACCTCACACCGGCAATGTCCGAACAGCTGATGGAACCAACCACGCTGTCACCGGAATGGGAAGCGCTAGTTTCAGCTGCCACCTTCCCGATGGAAGTAGATCTTCCATACTCCTCACCGATGTGCTGTTGGTCCCAACCTTGGGAAATGTGGGATTGGTCTCAGAAACCGTGCTCGACAAAAAGGGATTTAGAACGGAGTCAGGAGGAGGAAGCAAGTTGGTTACAAAAGAAAAGAAAGGAATAATTTGGGCAAAATTGGAGAAGGGACTTTGGAATGTACAAGTAGTTAGCAATACAGTTCGTTTGACCTCTTACGATGAATGGCATCAAGCGTTAGGCCACCCTGCGACACTAGAAAACTTGTATCACGACATTCAAAGGCTGCCTCCCAAACCAGAAAGTTTCCACTGCAGTCAATGTGCACTATCAAAAAGCGTACACAAGAAACCTGCACCAATTAGTACTAGATCCAAACGACCATTCGAACTAATCCACTCAGACCTATCTGGAAAGTTCAGTATACAGTCACAAGGGAAAGCTCAGTACTATATGTCCTTCATCGATGATTACACCCGCTTCGCATGGATATATCTCCTGAAACAGAAAGAAGACGCAAAGAAGGCCATCAAGGACTACGTTACAAGGATCGAAAAACAGTATAGCACAACAATACTGAGATTCAGAACGGATGGTGGTGGTGAATACATCAACAAGGACATAACGAACTACTTCGATTCACAAGGAATAGTTCATGAACAGACTCCCCCATACACTCCTGAATCTAATGGAGTTGCAGAACGATTCAACAGGACGGTAACCACAATGGTCAGGTGCATGATCATGGACCATCCTAAGTCGTTATGGGGAGAAGCATACGCAACAGCTGTCTACCTTAAAAACAGGCTACCTCACAGTACGCTTAAGGGAAAAACCCCCTTTGAAGCCCTGAAAGGAACTAAGCCAAGTATACAACACCTTCAACCATTCGGCAAAAAATGCTATGTCCACATCCCAGAAAACTCTAGGCCAGCAGGAAGCAAACTAGCACCCCGAGCGTATGAAGGAATCATAGTTGGATACTCAGACAGTGATAAAATATACCGTATCTGGATAGGAACACAACATAGGGTAATTGAAAGTCGGGACATCACATTCCCCCCTCCTGAATCAGGGGAAGTCTCAGTGGAACTCGACTTCATCCCCAGCCTGAAACCAGAAACGGCAAATGCACCATCAGACGACGGATACGAATCAGAAGACAGGTCTGATCCAGAACCCGAGTCAAATGCAATCGAAGAGAACCGTACAGAAATGCCAGGATTGTTCCCGGAATCACCGGAACTGGTTAGAAAACCACCACCGGCTACACCAGACAAGGGAAAACAACCTGCCGTACCTATGGGACAACCGCGAGACCCAAGAGACAACTGGGAGAAAATTCCAGCACCAGTCGTACCATTCAAAGGCTTCAAAGGAAAACCACTTGCGTCAACGACACCCAAAGGTACACCACCACAACCTCCAAAACGATCAGATCGAATACGCCAGCGAAAAAATAGAGAAATTGAAATGGAAGTACGAAGGAAAGAGTATGATGAGAAGGTAGTAGAACAACAGAAGTTACTTACGAGTTATATCGAAGATGTGAAAGAACATGGCCCAGGAGACAAAGCCACTGAACAAGAATTAATCGATCAATTCAAAGAAGACTTCAGACGTTATCGGGCTGAGTTAGACTTGGAATATCAAGACATATCCAAACTCCCCCCGAACTACCAAATATACCTCGTAACAGAACCTTCCACCTTCAATCAAGCTATGCAGAGCGACGATCAACACCTATGGAAAAAGGCGATACAGACTGAGAAAGACGCCCTTGACAAAGCCCATACCTGGGATATTGTCAACAGACCATCCAACCGAGCAGTAGTCAAAGGAAAATGGGTATTCAAAGTGAAACACAACGCGGACGGAACAATCGAGCGGTACAAAGCAAGGTACGTTGCTAAAGGCTTCACCCAAGTACAGTACCAAGACTACGATGAGACCTTCGCCCCCGTTGCACGATATGATTCTCTACGACTCCTACTGGCACTAGCTGCACACAACGGTTGGATACCACAACAAATGGACGTCAAGTCAGCCTTCCTGTATGGTGTACTCAAGGAGGAAATCTACATGGAACTGCCTGAAGGCTACAGGCAGGACAACAAGGTTTGTAAACTTCGAAAATGCATATACGGACTAAAGCAATCACCCCGTGAATGGTATGCTTGCCTAGCAGACTCCCTTCAACGGAAAGGATTCGTCCCAGCCAAATTCGACCCATGTGTCTTCATACATAAGAACCACCATCTATACATATCGGTGTATGTAGATGACATCATGATATTCGGACCCGACTCCCCATTCAGAAAAGAAATCAGACAACTACTCAAGGCAGATTTCGAATGTACGGATCTCGGTAACTCGAAGTTCATACTGGGAATAGAAATAACGGTAACCAACAACGGTATCACACTATCACAACGCGCATACATCAACAAGATCCTGGATAAATTTGGAATGAGTAACTGCAAACCAGTTGGCACACCACTCGAACCGAACCTCAACCTCCACAAAGGTGAACCGGAAGACCAAATCGAGAAACCAACTGAGTACCAATCCATAATAGGATCACTGATGTACGCGAGTATAGCTACCAGACCTGATATCACACATGCCGTTACCGCTCTCTCCCAGTACTCCTCATGTCCAACCGAGGACCACCTACGAGCAGCCAAGCGAACTCTCCGTTACCTCAATGGAACCAAAGACTGGAACCTGTTCTACCCGAAGGGGAATACTAGAACACTCGACGGATTCTCAGACAGTTCCTACGCTTCAGACCTAGATGACAGAAAATCGTTCTCAGGATACGTGTTCAGACTAGGGAAGTCAGCCATCAGCTGGAGAAGCCGGAAGCAGAAATCAGTCGCAGTCTCAACAACAGAAGCCGAATACATGGCCCTGTCTCTCGCAGCTCGACAACTGGTATGGATTCGTAATGCCTTGCTCGAACTCCAACAACAATACCAGTACTTCATCCACGCCGACAACACAGGTTCTATTGAACTCTGTCGGAACCCACGCATCCACGACCGGTCCAAGCACATCGACGTTCACTACCACTACACACGTGAACAACTCGAAGCCGGAACCTTCGAAATCCTCTACGTCCCTACCGAAGACAATGTCGCGGACATAATGACCAAAGGACTACCAAAACCAGCTCACCAAAAATTGTCAGAATTGATACGATGTGGCAAGTGAGGGGAAGTGTAAAAATATGGCATTGCGACATCGGTTATGTATGGTAATTACTCATGTATAAGGGATGACTCATAGTTGGAACAAGGAGGCTTAGCGCTAGGATTATGTAATCAGGGGATCACGTGGTACTAAGAACTATCTGTATATAAGGAGTAAGAAACTCCCATAGTTGTCGCTGGAACTCAGCGGCGCAATAGTATCTTCTTTGCACTATAAACATATTCCTCACAAAGGTCACGTGTTCAAACCCTCCTCAAGTCGTCTATTCTCCCACACTCCAATTCACAACAACCCAAGAACCAACTGGCCGACGGAAGCCGAAGTGGTCAACCCAACCAGTGACCTGTATGCTCACTTCATCCGAGGAGTTCATGACTCTGCTCTCACTCGCTTAATAGATACCAGGGAGAAGATGGGGAAATACTATGATCGGAAAAGGGACGAACCACCTAACTTCAAGGTGGGAGACATGGTTATGCTCAACGCGACCAATATCAAGACACGTCGCTCCACCAAGAAACTCGATCATAGGAAACTCAGCCCGTTCAAAATTATCCGACTAGCAGGAAAACGAGCCTGCCAATTGGAACTGCCACCACAAGTCAAGATCCATAACGTGTTCCACATTGAACTCCTGGAACGTTATCGACAGAGCGGTATCCCAGGCCGCGAACAACGTCCCCCGACTCCCGAAGAGGTCGATAAGGAAGGAGAGGTTTTGTACGAAGTGGAAAGTATTGTGGGAAGCCGGAAGAGTAGAAGACGATTAGTGGAATACCTGGTGAAATGGCGGGGCTATTCGATGAGCGACTGTACTTACCAAGTCATGGACGTTATGAACGAAGACGTACTTGATCTAGTCCGCGACTTTCATCAAAGGAACCCCAAGGCCGTGAAGGACCAACGCCTGAGACTATAGAGGTACCCCACGGGGCTAAGTCCTTCCCCTCCACAGACACCGCGGGTGATATGTGGAGCAGGTTTACTGGAACCATAGTCTGTCAGAAGTTATCCCGAGACTTGACACCCTGGAAGGGGGGTAAGCTGTTACGGGCATGCCAAGCATTTATGAGAAAAGGCTAGTAGATACCCCAATACCCTCCGCACGCTAACGTCAAATCTGGACCGCACCCGCGGGGTGTGGTGCGACCAATATACGACCAAAATACGGAGTCGTAAAAAACACCTTTTCGACCCCAATAATAACCCCCGGAGCGTCAAACAGCCGGAGGGGAGTGTTTTTGTACCGGTGGATATATGAGGGACAGCTGGAATCAATCGGATAAAAGATCGGACCACCCGGAGTGAATCGGCGCAAGCTACCAGCCGACCGAGTACCTATCGGCGGTACCTGTGGGCATGAGAGGACTCTGCTATGTGGGAAAGTGATGTGGGAAGAGGCCTGAGTAGGTAGCCTTGCCGTCCGAGACCTCCGAACAGCCGACGCTGACGATTATCCACCAGACGACCGATGGAGAAGAAACATCGACAGGGAAACGTGCATTAGAATGGATAAATAGGTTGAAGGGTTTTAGCGGATTTAGGAGTTTGGGTTACGGACTTAGGAGTTAAATGTTCTTGGTTGTTTTTCAGGGTCTCGGGCAGGCCCCGAGTGTATGCTGTATTATTAGAAGACTGGGTCCTCGAGACATAAGCGAGGGATATAAATACTGTGTCATTCACTGACTAGCCAAACCATCATCGGCGAAATCAGAGTCTTAACAATATAAATCGTTGATACGCGAGTTACAACTTTATTTGACTATACTTTTGGAAATACTTTTCTCTATCGTGACTTCGAACTCTACCTGAACTATTACGTCGAAGACGGTCGAATACTATACGCTAACTCTAGTGAATCTTTGTTGATAACGTAGCTCGCGGGGCCCGTATCGGATCAAGGAGATTCATACTCGACGTTGACTGAAGAGACCTTGGAGACTTCTACCTTTGTAGCTGTTAGCCGAACTCTGAGCTCTGCGTAGTGTACTCTAGTGGTCTGGTACGCATCCCTCACACAAACTTAGCTTGGTATCCAAATTTTTTAGCTTCAAAATCACTTGACTCTGATGCGTCAACCGTTCATCCCCCTCTTTAGGTAGGTCACCTGACCTCCTAGTCAATGCATCTGGTTTCGTTCCTTGTTTTCCTGGCCGAAATTGTATAATGAAATCGAAGCGTGAAAGAAATTCGGACCAACGGGCTTGTCGACGATTTAACAATTTTGTTGTCATAAAATATTCAAGGTTCCGATGATCACTAAGAACTTCAATTGGGAATTGAGCTCCCTCCAGGTGATGTCGCCATTCTTCGAAGCATCGTATAATTGCTAAAAGTTCTTTATCATAGATTTCGTAGTTATATTCTGCAGGAGAGTGTTTCTTTGAAAAGAAAGCGATTGGATGTAGGATTCCTTCATCATCACGTTGAGATAGGATTCCTGCTGAAACGTAATCAGATGCATCGGTTTCTATAATAATCCCTCGATCTGGATTAAAATGAGCTAGTATCGGTGCCGTTGTAAACATCTTTTTCAAAGTTTGAAATGCTTCCTCCCTTTCATCTGTCCATTCGAATTTAACATTTTTCATTGTCAGGGCTGTAAGTGGAGCAACAATTTTCGAATATCCCAAAATAAACCGTCGATAGAAATTTGCAAATCCTAGGAATACTTGAACATCACGAAGGTTTGTTGGTGTAGTCCATTCCAAAACATCGACAACTTTCTTTGGGTCCATTCTATTCCCATCCGGAGTAAGGATTAAACCAAGATATTTCGTTTCCTGAACCATGAATTCACATTTTTCAGGCTTAAGGTGAACATGATTCTCATCAAGTACCTTTAGGACCTTTTGAATGTGTTCTTTATGTTCTGATAGAGTCTCGGAATAGATAAGGATATCATCTAAGTATGCCGTTACGAATTGATCGAGGTATGGACGTAGAATATCATTGATCCAATGTTGAAATGTGGCAGGGGCATTAGCTAATCCAAACGGCATTACTGTATATTCGAAATGTCCATATCGAGTCCGGAATGCTGTTTTCCATTCATCTCCCTCCGCTATCCTAATTTGGTTATATCCCCATCGTAAATCTAACTTAGTATAGTATCGTGCTCTTGACAGCTTAGCCAGGGTTTCTTTCAACAATGGTAACGGATATCGATTTTTGATTGTAATTACATTTAGACCTCGATAATCAACACAGAGTCGAAGGGTTCCATCGCTTTTCTTCACGAATAGTATGGGTGCTCCTGCTGGTGATTCACTGGCTCGAATAAATCCTTTGGGTAAATTTTCATCAAGATATTCTCGTAGTGCTTTTAACTCAATTTGAGATAGCCCATATATGGGTTCATAGGGTGGTCGTTTGCCTTCTTCCAATACTATCTCGATATCATGGGATGGTCGATGTGGTGGGAGAATTGAAGCATCGTATTCTTTGAACATATGGAGACGATGATAAAATTCCTTCGGTACTAATTGTTCAATATCGACAGTGGATTTTTCAGTTATGGAAACGATGACTGTATGGTGTTCCGGTAAGGGAATCGAGATACCATGAACAATAACTGCAGTTCCACTGAGTGAACAGTATTGACAACAGCTTCGAGAGTCAAAAACAAGTAGATTTTCTTTCGGTCGAATCGTAACATCATGTCGTCGCATCCAAGGTATCCCCATCACAATTGGATAATGTCCTAACTTCGTTACAAAACATGGCGCAACTTCCCGATGACCATGAATGTCTAGCGAGACATCGACAATATGGGTAATTTTTCCTGATTTGATAGGTCTTCCATCTATAACGTCTACATGGCGAGGTATTTTGAGGGGGGTCATTTTAAGATTGTTGTGGTGTGCAAAAGATTCATCAATAAAAGCGTATCCTGATGCTCCGGTATCAATAAGGGCGTAGGTAGGTATGAAAGAATTTTTATTTTGTGAAATCGAACAAGTTACTACAAGTTGATTTCCATTCATTTCCTCCTCTGATACCGAAAAACCAGAAATACACATCCTAGAAAAATCCTTAAATGGTCCCTGGGCTAAGCCACTTAGTGCAGGGACAAATCTTTTGCCGACTCATTATCGCTTCCGGCATTTTCTTCCACCGTCAATGCCGCTCCTCTCATCACAGGCCTCCTTGATTGATTTCCTGTTGCCCTCGCTTGGGGGCAATCTCTAACCATATGTCTAACACCTCCGCAATAGAAACATCGGCCCTCAACTAAGCCGGCATTTCTTTCAGCAGGGGTGGGTCGACGACGACCTCCAGATAGATCCATGGGTATATCACCTCCTGGACGGAACGAGGGATGATTTTCAGTAGTAGGTGCATTGGCGACTGGGGCGGCAGCACGAGGAGCAGGAACAGGATTCGCTGGTGGGGGACAAGGAGCCGGGGTAGTAGTAGTAGTAGTAGTCCAAGGTTTTTTATTTCCTCGTTTAGCTTCTGCCGCTCGACGACGATTATCCAATCGTTGCAAAAGTGTCGCACAGGCATCTACCGTCGCGGGAGTGTCATGGTGTATCATTGATTCGTCGAGTTCCCCATTAATACCTTCCATCAAAGCCTCAATCCGAGAGACTTCATCCATACCCGACTCAGCAGCATACCGTTGAAATTCAGCGAAGTAGTCAGCGAAAGTTCGAGTGCGTTGTCTGATATTCCGGAGATTTCTCCTAGCCGTACGCATTCGATCGGGGTCCCCAAAAGCTGTATCCAGAATTTCATAAAACCGTGTCATAGAAGGTAAGGCAATACCTTCTTCTCCTATGTACTGTAAGAACTGATTGGCAGCAGCGCCTTCCAATCTGCTGAATGCATATGATAACTTAGACTGTAGTGTAGGATAACGATCGGTATTTCCTAGTAGCTTGAGTTTCATTTGTTGCTTGAATAAGTGTAACCTTTCTCGATCACGATCCCCCCTGAACACGTCGGGATCTGGGAGTTTCTCCGACCGATAGATTGTGCCTGTAGCTGGTGGTGGTGGGGGTGCAGGTAGAGCATTGTTTCCAATAGGTTCTACGTCAGGGCCCACAACCTCAACAGCAGTTCGTTGAGCTCGGGCAGCAGTAAGATCTCGTTCAAACATTCTTCTTGCCCTCTCAGCCTCCACTTCTACCTCCTGTAAATCCGTTGCATATTGAGTAAGATCATTTTGACACTGTTGAAGAAGCAGATAAGCTTCAGCTCCGACAACGTTGTCGACCTGTGGATGCGCTTGAAAAAATCTTTGGAGGTTATCGTTGAGTTGCTGATAATCGACATGGACATGTTCCGACATTGTAGACTATGGTGTTGTATTGGTTGGTGATAGAGGATGCAACCTACGTATAACGTGGGTCTATGGACGAGAAACTATGGTGCCAAGGAATACAACCGAGGCGAGAACGTAGTAGAGTATATTCGTGACTATGGACTATGGGATGGTTCACTCCTGATCGGAGATCCAAGATAAGCCCTATGACGTAGCGTAGAACAAAAGTAATATTTGTGGAGTAGAATACAGAAGAAGAAGAAGAAACTTATATTGCTTTGAAGTACAAGACTTATCGCAAGCCGAACCAACCGCCTAAAATAAAACCGAACAGAACAGAAAAGAAAAGAAAAGAAAAGAAAAGGAAAAACAACGAACACGAACAAACAAGAACAAAACAAACTCAAACAAAGGCAAGGAAATTCAAGGGCAACACGCAACCAGAAAAACCCAACGATAAGGAGAAATAACATATCTCAGCGGACTCGGGCGCTGGATCCATCAAAAAACAACAATAAAAACAAAGTAAAGGTAAAGGAAACTACCCTTCCTAATCCCGTCCCTAATCATTTTCTTCCGTCCCCTCTTCCAGGTCCGCCTCCGCCTCCGCCGACTCGTACCATTTCGAGAGTTGAGATTTCTTTCCAAATTGTAGGATGAGGTCCGTTTTCAGGTTTGTAAACATCCAGTTTTCCCAGGTCATCGCTCCGGGGATTTTCTCTATCAGGGGGGCGCGGATTCGAGCCCACGCTGGGCATTCCATAAGTGTATGTTTCGCTGAGTTTTCCATACCACACTGGCATGGTTCGGGGTCTGTATGTACCGCATGTTTGTCGATTCGGGTGGTTTGGCATCGGATTCGAAATACCTTTTTTGCTTCTGTAAGGGTGAGTTTCGCAATCTTGGGAGGGGGGCGGAGTTCCCCCCGATAGTGGTAGTTAGGTATTGGTTGTATATTCCATTCTTCTGACAGATGGTCGCGTAATAGTTTGTTTTGGTTCCCCTTTTCTCTCATATTTCCGGGGGTTTGGTATGGGAGTAAGTGCAGGCCTGTCCCTTTGATATTTGATTCTCTGTATGGGAGGAGTTCGATCAGGGATTCGTTGTTGGGGTGGGTTGCATCGGTGCAGAGTATTCTGGTTCCGTACTTTCTTGAATAGTACATCAGGAGGTGTTCTAGGGGGGGTAGGCCTGCTTCTCGGAGGAGTTTAGCTCTCTTGATCCATCGTGGTAGGCCTGTGATGACCCGGGTAGCTTCATTGTATAGTGGTTCGAGGGATCTTATAATGTGGTCTGCACCAGTCCACCAAGCCTCGGATCCGTAGAGCAGACTTGGAAGGAAGCCTTGTGTTATTAGGTGGTGGATTGTCTTAACTGTTATGCCTGGCAGGCGGGCAGTATTTCAGATTTGGTGGAGGGCTTTCAGGCCTTTTGCGATCGCTGCTCCGATATGGGGCCGGAAGGAGAGGGTCGGATCTATCCAGACTCCTACATATTTCAGCCTCTCCTTGGGATATATATCGGTGTTGTTGATTTTGACTGAAAGTTGTGGTTGTTGTATGGATGATGTGGTGGGGCGGAAGAAGATCAGGTCGGATTTATCCGGGTCGTATTTAATTTGGAGTGGCTTGGCTTTTATTAGTCTTTCTCTCATTCGTTCCTCCATTCTTTTGATTATGAAGCCTGGCGTTTTGGATATTTGCACCAGCGCATCATCATCGATGTATGTAGTGTCCATCTCTTTCGGGCTGCTTGTTGGGTCCAGGATTACTCCGGCATAGATCATAAATAGTACCGGGGACATGGGGCTACCTTGCGGCACTCCAGATTCATAGGGCTGTGGTTCCTCTAGCTCGTGGTTAAATTGGAACTGTAGTTTTCTGCCGGTGTTAAATTCCTTGCACCATTCTGTTAGATAGGTGGGGAATTTTTGTTGGTGCATGATTTCCGCGAGGAGTAGGTGGTCGACGCAGTTAAATGCTCCTTGGATATCATTGGTTAGGATCGCTGGTCTGTCTCGCCGAGCGACTCCGGTACTGTTTTTCAGTAGTAGGTTTTGTTGTATTGGCGTTAAGGTTCTCAGCAGGGCGTCGATTGCCGAGATGGTTGGTCTTCCTCCAAATTGATTCGCTGAGAGTGTGCCTAGAATTTCTCCAGCGGTGCAGAGTCTTTGGGCCACTATCTTCTCCAGGATCTTGCTGAAGCATTGTAGAAGGGAAATGGGCCGGTAGGCTTTTGCTTCATGATAGTTTGCTTTGCCGGGTTTCGGGATCGGGATACACTTAGCTATTTTCCATTCCGCTGGGTGTACGCCGTGCCGGAGCATGGCGGAGAACATGTCTTGGATTAGAGTTGTGTTTGCTTTGACTATTGCTTTAATAAAGGTATAAGGAATGCCATCCGGGCCGGTCGCCGAGTGCGCTGGACAGGAGTCGATTGCTTTATTGAGTTCTTCGGGGGTGACTATGTCGAAGGTGTTGCTAAGGTCAAAAGAAGGGGGTCTAATGTTTAGGGGGGGGTGGTCGGGGGACGTCCGTTTCGAGGGGAAAAGTTGGGCTCTTAGAGCTTGGCACTTCCCCGTGAACGTTTCTTCACCTTGTATGGTTGGTATGATTGTGTCTCTTCTTCTTCCTACGTTTAGGATTCTCCAGACTTCACTACCTTTCGCCTCGTTCATCGTTTTTTCCCGCTGGTCCGCTTTTGCTTTCCGGATCATGACTGTCCATTCTCTGCAAGCCTTCCGGTGTTCCTCCACGTGATTGGGATTCCTTGTGTTCCTCGCCTTCCTTTCTGCTGCATTTACCTTTGCCTTCATTTGTTTCATTTCATCTGACCACCAGGAGTTGGCTCTTACCCCCTCCTTCGAGAGCGGTGTTACTATGCTGACTGTTGACCTGACCAGTTCAAGAAAGAAATCAACAGTCTGTTCCGTAAGTTCCTTGGTTTCCCATGCCTCTGCAGGGATGGAAATGTTTGACATGTGGTTTTCCAATAGCTTCCAGTCTGTTTGTCGCCACATTCGTCTTGGTACAAAAGGTGGTTTCTCCAAGTGTAAGTGAACGGAGGTTCTCCCATGGTCTGAGCCCGCTCCGTAGGGTTCAGTGCTCCATCGTAGGTTGTGATCGAGTATTGGGCCTTTTACAAATGTAAGGTCGATGGTTGTGGGCCTTTTCCCTCTGTCTCTGGGGAAATGCGTAAAGACGCCTGGTTCGTTCAGGAGGGACAGTTTCTGTCGGGTTATCCACCGTTTTAGTCGTGCACCATTGACGCGGTCTGCTCGGATATTGTTTCTGTATTCATGTGAATTTACTCCGTACCACATTTGATGGTGGCAGTTGAAGTCTCCCATTACTAGACAATTATCAAGGGTTTGGATTGTACTTGCTATCTGAGCGAAGGGGCCACTTCGGCCTGGGGAGTATATGTTTAGGATTTGGGTTTTCTTGTTCTGGATTTCTACCGTAATCGATACTATGAAATTATCGTGTGTGTTGTGGTGTTTTGGTTTGAGGTTGGCATGTTTGCGGACGTATGTTGCGCATTTTGTATTGTTATTGCTGGCTGTAAAAATATAAAAGAGGTTCGATTCTGGTGTGTATCCCTCTGCTGAGGTCCATGGTTCTTGTAATAATAGGAAATAAATAATAGAGTCTGTTTCCGCTTCTTCTACCGCCGCCTTGGTAATGAGTTCGCTCCGTGCACAATTGAGTTGGTGTGCGAGCGCGGTGGTTCGAGGCCTAAGCATTATTTGTCATGGGTTGGTCATCTTCGGGAACGGGTGTGGCTCCGACTGGGGTGGTGGCTGGTACTTGAACTATCGACTCTTGGACGGGTGCGGCCGGTGAGTCTTGAACGGGTTTTCCTTTGTTAAGGAATCGGCGTTTGACTCTTTCGGGGCATGCTGGGTCGGAGGCCTTATGGATTCCTTTGCAGTTCAGGCATCTGATTGGGGTGTGGGTGCATCTATATCCTCCCTGGCATTGATTGCATGGGTGGAAGCTGGTGAGATGGTCTCCGGCACAGTGACCGCATCTCCCGTTGTTTTTGCATTTCTCCTGGCGGTGACCATATTCGAGGCACTTCGCGCATTGGGTGTCTGGGAAGGTTGGGAGGAAGGCCTCGATGTGGCAGCTTCGGTTAAAGAGGGATAGGAACTTAACTCCTAGTGATTCCATTGTAACTTGTCCTGGGAGCGCGATGACCATTGATGAGTGGGTTTTCTCCATTCGAGTCTCTGCTCTGGAGATCCAGCGGAGAACCTGGGCAAGTTGGAAGTTCTCTCCATAGTTGATTCTAATTTCGGATGCTACCAGTTGTCCTGCCTCGACGCCTTCTCCGACCGTCGTGGGGATTCCGTGAATAAGGAACTTTGACCATTTGGAGTTTGCCCGGATGGTGGCGACTGGTACTTGTAGGGTGAGGAGAGCCTCCTCAATTTCTTTGGCATACTCCATTGCCTTTGTTGCTGGGGTTACAAACTTTGTTTCCAGGATAAAGTTGTCCTTGGGTGTTCTCCTTGCTGAAATAAAGTGGCAGGATTCGTCCTGAATTCTTGCATTAACTAGGGTCCTGATCTCGGAGGGGTTGACGTCGGATGGGGCAGTGGTCTCAACAATGATTTCTCTGTTGATTTTGGTATATTCTGGCTTGAAGAGAGGGTCCGCTTTTGGCTTTGCGGACTTCTTTCTTCTCTCTACAACCTGGAAATTTCCTTGAGCAGGACCGGGTGCCGAGGCCACGGCGGCCCAGGTGCCTGCTTTCCATCCACGGGGAGGGGCTTGTTGGGGGGGTGCGGGTTGGGGGGCCTGAGGAGCTGCCTGAGGCGCTGCTTGGGGAACTGTTTGGGGGACCGCTGGAGGGGGCATTCTCTGTCCCTGCGGTTGTTGTGGTTTTCGCTGTTGTTGCTGCTGTTGCTGTTGTTGGTTTAGTTGTGGTTGCTGCGGTTGCTGCGGTTGTGGTTGTGGTTGTTTGTTGAGGAGAAGATGGATCGCCGAGTGCATGCTGGTGATCATAGTTGTTTGCGCCTCGATTTGGTGCCTCAGTGTGTCCTCTGTTCTCCGGAGTGTGGTCGTTTGCTCTTCGAGGATTTCCATCCTGTCGGTGGGTGGGCAGATTCGGCTGGTGGCATGTCTAATGGCCCAGGTAATGTAGTTCAGGTCCGTCTGGGTGTGAGTGTCCAGGGGAACGATGCTTGGGTAGAGGTAGTCAATTCTCGGTTGGTATGGGTCATTGTAGTCGGATTGTGTTGCAAAGGTCGAGGAGAATTCTTGTTCCTGAGCTCCGGATGGGGTTGGATCGGGAACCGGAGTATTCCTGTTCTGCGGAGGGGCTGTCCCTTGCTGGGAAGACTGGGTGAAAAAGAACTGGAGCGAGGCTTGTTGCGACATGATTGAATGTCCAGTTCTTCTGGCGGCGTAGAGTGATGTTTCGGAAAGGTTTCTTTTCCTTCCCTTTGGGAGGTCAAGGCTGGAGAATTCTTCGCTAGAAGCCAGTTTTCTTGGTGTTTCTTTCGCTTGGAACAACAAAACGCGACCGTACGATCGGGGACAAAGTGGCTCAACCTGGTATGGTATACCAGGGTAAACCGAGGGGAATAAAATAAGATGTTTTTGAAGCGAGGTTTGTTATCAGGGAGTTCTTTGCGAGCCTTAGCGAGCAAGTAAAGTACAGAGGTTGCGTAAAGAAAGAAGGAAAGAAGGAAAACAAATAAAAGCACAAAACAACGCCCCCTTATATATCCACCATAGTCCAATGATGACTAATATCTTCGCGTAACAGAAACTAAAAGAACATAACAGAAATCCCCATTACAAATCCTAATTCCACTGCCCAATACCCCCTTTCCTCGTTCCAATTTATCACCTAGCCAAAATACATAGCTGCCATTACAGCTATTGGGTTTGATATTAAGCTTTGTCTTTCTTTCCTGTCATGATATGGCCAGGTATTTGGATTTCTTTCTTTGTATGCCATACACGGATTCGGGTGCAAGCAGTATGCATTATAAATAAATAAATAAATAAATAAAGAAGATAATAATATGATTAATTAAAAATAATATCTAAGATATGTGCCAACCTACATTAGGAAATTCTTTACAAAAGCACTTTAGGCATGTTTCACTCCTGTACAAAATTTCTACACGGATAGTTTTAGTATGTTTAATAAATAATAGTGAAAACCTGGCAGGACCGGTGCCAAAGGGTGAAGGGGAAAAGGCTACACAGACAAGAACCATTTGTTTATTTTGTAAGACTTTCATGTGCGAGAGCTGCTTTGATCTATACTATAAGAAACTATAGACTTAATACTACGCTCAGTCCCCGTTACTTACTTTCACTACCCGCTATCATTGACATGTGGTTCCGGTTGCCAATAGCCCATCTTGCAGTGCAGAGTACTCGCGGTAGGCATGAAGAACCTGAACATCGTTTTTCTGGTAACAACCACTTTGACCCCTGCTAGCGCGTTTTTATGTTCAGGTTCTTGTTACCTGCCCCGAGTAGTAGGGTGGGCACGTGAATACAAGGAATAACGCTACGCGTCTCCCCATCGTGTAGACGAGAGCTATGTACTTTTGACTGCGACCTTGATCCACGACTCCACAAACATGAAGTTTAAAATAGAGTTTGTGATTCCCGTCCCTTCAGAATGTTGATGGGTTTTGTCTAAAGGGCTTTGCAGTGAACTTGAAGTTATCTTCCCTTACCCACGAATTTACCCAGGTGATTGTTTCAAATCCCGCAAATTGCTCATGCTTCGCTAATTCTCATAAGAGCAATATGCGTACGTTGTGCGGCCACTACCACCAGCTTGAGTGCAATGCAAGCTCTACTAACATCTATTCATGAAGTTATATGACAGATCTGAAAAGTATTGACCTTGGTTATCTAGCTCGTTTATGTTGATCAAGCTAACCGCGTATCTGACAGGAACTCTCGATGCCGGTGGACATTGTGTTCTTGAGATGCCTTCGGGTACAGGGAAAACTGTATCGTTACTCTCGCTGATTGTCGCATACCAGCAATCATTTCCGGAACCCCGAAAGCTTATATACTGCTCTCGTACTATGTCTGAGATTGAAAAGGCGCTTGCTGAGCTGAAGGCTTTAATGGAATATAGGGAAAAAGAGCTTGGTTATCCGGAAGATTTCAGAGCGCTTGGTTTGACAAGCAGGAAAAATCTTTGTTTACACCCTACTGTGAAAAGAGAAAAGAGCGGAAATGTCGTCGATGCAAAATGTCGCAGTCTTACGGCAGGATTTGTGAAGGCAAAGAAAGAACGTGGTGAAGAGGTGGAAGTTTGTGTTTACCATGATGTAGGCCCTTTACAGAGAGCTAATATTCTTGTCATGTGCTGATAACTCCTTTCCAGAACTTAGACCTCCTAGAACCACATAATCTAGTGCCACCGGGTGTCTATACGCTTGATGGTCTCTTGAGGTACGGGGAGAAGCATACGCAATGCCCTTACTTCTCTGCTAGAAGAATGGTACAGTAGTCTCCAGCACAGCGTCCTGACCCTAATCAATTTGCTCATGTGTGGGATTAGATGCCGTTTTGTAACGTGATTATTTATTCATATCACTATCTGCTAGACCCAAAGATCGCAGAAAGAGTCTCTAAGGAACTCTCGAAAGACTGTATCGTTGTCTTCGATGAGGCTCATAATATTGGTAAGTTCACCTTTTCAGCATGATATATTTGAGATTTATTATACTAATTTTCTGGCACTGACTAGATAATGTGTGCATCGAATCCTTGAGCATTGACTTAACGGAGGATTCACTTCGAAGAGCTGCTCGTGGTGCACAAAATCTAGAGAAAAAGATTGGGGAAATGAAATCTAGTGATGCAGCAAAGCTACAGAGCGAGTACCAGAAGCTTGTTGAGGGTCTGAGAGATGTCGATGAAGGGAGAGAGGAAGACTCATTTATGGCCAATCCAGTCCTTCCTGATGATTTATTGAAGGAAGCCGTGCCTGGAAATATTCGAAGGGCGGAGCATTTTGTGGCGTTTCTCAAACGCTTTGTTGAATACCTAAAGGTATTTATTCTTCTATTCAGCTTCTATTACAAGCTTATCGCTAATCCCTTCTAGACAAGGATGAAAGTCACAAATACTATCTCTGAGACTCCTGCCTCCTTTTTACAGCATCTAAAAGACTTGACTTTCATTGAAAGAAAGCCGCTCAGGTTAGCCTTGAAACCTAAAATTTGGCGTTGTCTAACATGATTAGGTTTTGTGCTGAGCGATTGACCTCTCTGGTTAGAACGCTTGAGCTCGCGAACATTGAAGACTATCATCCACTCCAAGAGGTTGCTACTTTTGCGACTTTGGTGGCCACTTACGAAAAAGGCTTCCTTCTCATCCTAGAGCCCTACGACTTCGATGGTGCGCAAGTCCCAAATCCCGTCCTCCACTTGGCTTGTTTAGATGCTTCAATTGCAATTAAGCCAGTCTTCGACCGCTTTTCCTCCGTCGTCATTACTTCAGGAACAATTTCTCCTCTGGAAATGTACCCCAAAATGCTCCAATTCAACACAGTTGTGCAAGAATCATATGCAATGACCTTGGCTAGAAAGAGCTTTCTACCGATGATCGTAACGAGGGGTAGTGATCAGGTTGCTATCAGCAGTAGATTTGAGATAAGAAACGATCCTAGTGTCGTTAGAAATTATGGAAGTCTACTGATCGAGTTTTCAAAAATAACGCCGGATGGCATGGTGGTTTTCTTTCCAAGTTATCTCTACATGGAAAGTATCATCAGTATGTGGCAGGGAATGGTAGGGTTATTCGCAATAATTGATATCAAAGTGCCCAACTAATTTATCTTAGGGAATCTTGGATGAAGTTTGGAAATACAAGTTGATACTTGTCGAGACACCAGATAGCCAAGAAACAAGCCTGGCTCTAGAAACTTATAGAACTGCTTGTTGCAATGGTAGGGGCGCTGTTATGTTATGTGTTGCTCGAGGGAAGGTTTCAGAGGGCATCGATTTCGATCACCATTATGGGCGCACTGTGCTCTGTATAGGTATATTTTTCATCCTCAATCGTCCATGTTCCTTGATTCTCATTTATCATTCCTGCAGGTGTCCCATTTCAGTATACCGAGTCCAGGATACTGAAAGCAAGGTTGGAATTCTTGCGAGAAAACTACCACATCAAGGAAAATGACTTCCTATCTTTTGACGCCATGAGGCACGCAGCACAGTGTCTGGGACGTGTACTTCGTGGTAAGGATGACTATGGGATTATGGTACTAGCCGACAAGAGATTTGCTCGCAAACGAGGACAGTTGCCTAAATGGATCAACAATGCGATACTTGAATCCGATACGAATTTATCTACCGACATGGCTGTCGCAGTTGCAAAAAAATTTCTGAGGACGATGGCTCAACCTTTCACCGCCAGGGATCAGGACGGAATATCAACATGGAGTATTGCGGATCTAGAAAACCACAAGAGAAAACTCTTAGAAGAAGATCCCTCCAGTTCCATGATGGTGGATTGAGAAAATTGATTTACACTCGTTCTAAAGTAGACACCACATATATAATACCTACATGTAACTATTGGTATATCTAGCAGGTATAAGCATATAAGCTATGTGCACTGTACCTACTCTTTTAGTAATTTTCTTGGTTCACTTAAGGAAGGTGTACTTTTTCACTCAAAACAAATATGGATAGATTAACTTGGTGTTATTCTGTGTGGCACTGGTGATGGTTTAGCTATCTAAATGTATTATCAAGATTAATTCAAACACTCTTCCCTACTATACATAAACTGGTTTTAAGCATATTTCATAGACCTGTCGGTCCACTTGTATATTATCCCTATAAATTGAGTTGGAATAGTACATATCTTTTCATTACTCAGTATTTATTATACTCTAACGGGGTCTAAATTAATGATATCTTAGCAGAGGATAGGTCTGACGGTCTTCGTAGAATGAATTGGTCTCATAGATCAAGGATATTATAGAGAAAAACAGTATCGTGGAGTGCATAGAAGCATACATCTAGAGTATCATAACAATTTGAACAAATACAAGACTCCTGGTTTGGGCACTGGTTGTATTAGGCACCGGGATTGAGAGTTCAGAGTTCAGGATAAATTCAATATCCCAACTGCCGATATATTTTGCCCTCGTTCAAGTCTAGTACAACGTCGTTTTTCAATCAAAAGGTTCTCCGTTATTTTTTGACTGATCCAACAATATTTATGGCTGTTTCTTCAAAGCGCTCTCTAGCTTTGGTCAAGTCCCAATCTTGAACCCATCTGACCATTGACTCAACTTCCCAGTTCCAAGCATCTTTAAGGGTTTCTACAAGATTTGGTCTCTCAATTCTCGGTTCGGGAAGCCTCGGGACTTGAGCAGGTGCAAGGAGTGAATCTGAGAGTTTTCGAGAGGAGCGGAGCGATTGTGAGATGTATGTTCGGTGTTGCCGGAAATGCTCGAGACTCAGGTAAGCAATTGAGCTTGTTAAGATAGTACCACCGAGCTAATTTCGAGATATCTCTTAGTTAGCCACTTGCCTTAAAATTGAGGAGAGTATCTATCACTCACGAAACCAAAGATTCTGCCCATTTTGAGTATTCTTGTTGGTGGTGTCTTGTTTGGATGTCCAGGTATTATCCGATGAGATTGACGAAAGAGGGATGTGACTAGATATTCTTCTTGGGCGTGGTATTGATCACTGCCAAACAAAAATCTGGACACCCCACCAGACTCCCGAAACGCAACCAAACGATCAACTTACCCACGTTTAGTTCACCACAGAATCAATTCTACCTAGAACGCTGTATCCGTGAATACGGTCGTTTCCGTCTTCGAAATGGCCAAATATACTATGCAGCGTAGACTCAACCGATCAACGGCGCATCGGGCGGCTCTATTGCGAAACCTCGTAACTTCTTTATTCGAGCACGAATCAATTTCAACCACTTGGCATAAAGCGAAAGAGGCCCAAAGGTTGGCCGAGAAGTGCGTGACTTTGGCTAAAAAGGGCACAGAGGCTGCCAAAGTCCAAGCGGGTGGCACCCTCTACGTATGAATGGCCGTTCGCATTCAAGTTCGCCGTACTAATACAATTGGTCTGCGCAGAAACGAGATATAATTCCGAAGCTATTTGGTCCCATTGCGGAAAGATATAGGGACCGCCCTGGAGGCTATACTCGTGTGCTGCGGATAGAACCCCTCGCGACTGACCAGGCACCCTCTGCTATCCTCGAGTTGGTCGACGGCCCAAAAGACATGCGATTTGCCATGACAGCAGCCACTATCGCGAGGTGTTCTTCGGAGGATAAGGAACTTAATGAGATCACTCTCAAGAATATCAAAAAGGTTACACGGTTTAGAAAGGATGGAGAAAGGAAATTGAGCGAAATGGTGGAAAAGTTTAGTAAATGCTAACGGGCATGAGGAGTAAAAGAAAAATGAAAATTACCATGTTACTTGCCTCCTTTTCTTCCATCGTACATACGTACCAAATAACATTTACATATTGACGGCTGAAGGTGTTGCATCCCAGACAACGGGGAAATAGCATATTACTTGTAAGGATCTATAACTACATGTACACCGCCGCATCATGTGAAATCACTCGGTGTGAATCAATCGTTTTAGGGGATGACTATATCTATCCGTGGTTATAGCTGGGAATAATCATTGAATAGAGAATTTAATAAAGATGAAGCTCTTATCCAGGAGCTGTGATTTCAAGTTACTCGGTAGCCGTAAGCTTCCTGTTGGGGTAGTCTCTGGATTTTGTATATCGCTGGTCTACAACTTTATTTGAAACCTAAAATTGTCATACCTATGGAGATATGTAGATTCTGGCCGGCATAGCGAAAATAAACAGTGCGCTAATTATAAACCAAACAAAATAAAAAGAGGAAGAAAATTCGATTGATCTTTCCGAGATCTATGGTGTACAGGTCCCTTTTGTCGAAAATCCGCAATCCCAGCGCAATGTCTAGTCTAGTTTGACCCCTTCGCAGAAGAAGTCGGACGTTGCTCCCTACCACCATAACCACCTCTCCCGGGATCATAATCCTCTCGGTAGTAATCACGAACTTGTCCGCCAGTTGGTCCTAAAGATGGAAAGAGTATTAGAGATATCCACGAAATGAATAGAAATATCGTACCTCGACCGTATTGTCTGCCCTCCTTAAAACCAGGATCCAAATCAGTCCTGATGATGCGCTCGTCAAGTTTCGTCCCGCCAATGTACTTCATGGCGTCTAGTGTGTCTTCATGAGTGTAGTACTCGACGAAACAGAACCCACAGGGGGTTTTACTGAATCTATCTAAGCCCATAACCAGCCGCTTGATTTCTCCGCATTTCGAAAAGAGCTCGTGAATTTGTTCTTCGGTGGTGTAAAATGACCTTTTCTTTTGAAAGCTAACTGTCAGCTCCGTTTCTTAAGCGGAAGACCACTTCCGGTAAAATGCGATGAAACTGACAAATTCCCAACATATAATGTTGTAGCACCAGCTAAGGGATCTTCCTTTGGCGAATCTTCGCGGCGTTGCCGTTTATGCTGGGGTCGAGCAGGAGAATGTCAGAACTCGGACGATCAGATGGGCAAAGCAAGAATGGGGTTTTGCAGACATACATCGCGCTTTTCGAAGTAAGTTGAAGGAGCATCCAGTCGCTGGACAGTTGATATTATATAGGGCGCCATATTCACTGTTTTAGCTTTAGGTTGTCTGTTGCGTTGAGCTTTGCTAGGTCTCGCGTTTTGAGTGTCAAGCAACAAGATACCGTTACCCTACTTTAAGCTTTCCATCCATTCACGGAGAAACCCGCAAGACCGAAAAAAAATCTTTACATCCCAGTGTTGAAGCGAACTTCCATACAACAGCAATGATGGCAGCCGGAGGTAAAAAAAAGAGGGCAGCCCCCCCTACGACAAATTCAGTACCACTGAAACGTCTCAAAAAATCCACTACTAACAGTCATGCTGTATCCATTGACAAGTTGGGTTGGCAAAAGGTTTCCATGCCAGATCGCTTGGACGATGTCGAAGGTTTCATGGGAATGGAAGAGGTTGAGGGCGTTGAGATCTTTCGAAAAAGTGACGGCAGTTTTGAGTACAAGGTATATTCTGAGATCTCCATCTAGGCAGAAATTAAGGTATCTGATTATGGCTTTTTCTTTATCTAGGTTACAAACGAGTCGGAGAAAAATTCGAAGAAGAAAACTGCAGGAATGCCCGCAAACTCAACAGAAGAAGAGGAATGGAAAGGAATTGTTGAGGTCGGTGGACATGTGAAAGAAAAAGTAAAGCTCAAGAAGCCGAAGGGGAAAAAAAAGATTGTCAAGGAAATCGCAAAGAACGAGGATTCAGTGGGAAATGCGTTTGCAGTGTTATCCGATGATGATGAAGATGGTACTGGCAATTGGCCCTTCTGTTTGTGTCTTTTATTCTAATAAGCTGGCACAGTATCTTTACCAGCGTGGGACCCGCTAAACCTCTCATTACCCGTTCTTCGGGCTCTATCTCAAATGTCATTTACATCGCCGACCCCCATACAGTCGGCTGCTATACCAGAAATCGCCAATGGCCGCGATTTTATTGGGAAAGCCAGTACTGGATCTGGAAAGACCTTGGCCTTTGGAATCCCAATCATGGAGTATTACTTAAAAAAATACGGTCACGAAATTGACGGAGAAGTTGAGAAACCGGAGGGGTTACCTATAGCCTTAGTTCTTTCACCCACAAGAGAGTTAGCGTATCAGCTTCATTCTCATCTAACTTCTCTTGCCGCCTTCATTCCTGAAATTAGGATTGTTTCTGTGACCGGAGGCCTGTCTATACAGAAGCAGTTAAGGCAACTAACTGAAAATGGAGGTGCCGATGTGATTGTCGCTACGCCGGGCAGGTTATGGGAGGTTATCAGCGAAGGTCAGGGTTGGATTGAGAAGTTGAGAAAAGGCCTGAAATTTTTGGTTGTGGACGAGGCAGATAGATTACTACAGGAGGGCCATTACAAAGAAGTGATTGAAGTTCTTCATTTGCTTGCTAAACGCACTGAAAATCCTGATGAAGGAGAGAGAGACGAGGCAGGCAGTGATATAGAATCATCGGACGAAAAGTCGGTCAAGTCTAACAATAAAAGCAAGACCGGGGAGATTGAGAAGGTTGAACGACAGACATTGGTATTCTCTGCGACTTTTCATAGGGGATTACAGCAGAAGCTAGCTGGAAAGAGCTCTAAGAAGCCTATAGGTGGAGATCTAATGGATGAAAAAGAAAGTATGGAATATCTGCTCAAAAAGCTTCATTTCAGAGAGAAGTCGCCTAAGTTTGTGGACGTTAATCCAACCGGTCAACTGGCCGAAAGATTGAGTGAAGGAATCATAGAGTGTGGGGCGATGGAAAAGGTACTTATGACGCTACATTTCACCAGTGATATGTCACTATAAACACCATAACAGACTTCTAAGCTCAAATTTTAGGACCTCTACCTCTATTTCCTACTACTCCGATACCCTTCACGCACGTTGGTATTTACAAACTCAATCTCGTCTGTAAAGCGCCTTGCCCCGTTTTTGGCTATGCTTCAGCTCCCGGCCTATCCGCTTCATTCTGGGATGATTCAAAAGGCTCGTCTCAGATCACTTGAGCGATTTTCCTCGTCATCCAATCCAAATTCAATTCTCATCGCCACAGATGTGGCCGCTCGAGGTCTTGATATCAAAAATGTGGATATGATAATCCACTATCACCTGCCCCGTACTGCGGACATGTACGTTCACCGGTCAGGAAGAACAGCAAGAGGCATCAATGCTAGAGGTGTCAGTGTACTTTTGTGTTCCCCCGACGAAGTTTTGAGTGTGAGAAGACTTGTCGGGAAGGTTCATGAAAGCGATCCAACTGTCAAGAGTACCGGGCGTTACCTCATGAAGGGATTTAACGTCGATCGCAAGCTCGTAAACCGACTAAAACCACGGATTGATCTCGCAAAAAAGATCGCCGATAGCAGCATTGAGAAGCAGAAGAAGGGCCATGAAGATGAGTGGCTGAAGACGGCAGCCCAGGAATTAGGTGTTGATTATGATAGTGATGAGTTCAGTAAAAACGGCAACGCAAGAAGAGGTCGTCAGGGAAGTAAAATAAAGAAGGACAAGGCAGCTAGTGCAACGAAAGGAGACCTTACCTCGTGGAAAGCCCAACTGAACGAGCTTCTGAAACACAAGGTCAATAGTGGGTTTTCTGAACTTTATCTGACTAGCGGAACTGTAAATTTGGCGCACTCCCTGTTTCAAGCCCAACTTGAGGGTAAATCGCGCGACGGGTTCTTGGGCTTAGAAGAGCGATCTGCATTAGAAGAGGTTGGTGGTTAGTCCACTATTTCGTTTGGCAGCCGCAATGCAGGCAATATAGTATGTAAAGTAAAGCTTTCACCTTCGCATACATGTAATTTTTATTTCACATCAATAAGAATCTCCATATGCATTAGCCCGATGTATAGTACAGTTGGCCATGAATACTACGCAGCATGAGGAACAAAAATTTGGAAGTTCAAGAAAATAGTAAAAACAGAAGAACCAGTGCTACATAAAACATAATAAGCCTAAATTAACCCAGGACGCTGAAGCAAAAGAAAAAAAAAAGTTTCCATAGGCGGGTGTTTTTGTCTTAAAACACACTAATGTAATTGCCAATCCTCTCCTTCTGATTCTGAGCTATACATTCGGCAATCCAGGTAATGTTTCGTATTTCCTGAGGGTTTAGCCTATGTCAGTCTGGTGAAGAAAACATCCGCGTTAAAAGGATTACAAACCTGTTCTCTCAATTTAACCCATGCAAAGACAACAGTGTAGGTGAACTGTTGTGTAAAAGCTGACTTCGCAACTTCCATTTCTTTCTGATAAAATAAGTCCTCTAAGCTCTTTTGTTGTCCCCCTGCCATGCCGCCACCCTGGGCACTCATCCCTTGTTCAAAGAAAGCTTTATACTCGCCCACACCTTCAACCGCAGCTCTTACAGAATCTACATCATCTGCCTTGCTTAGCATATAGGTTCCCTCTGGATAAAGCTGCCCGAAGCTTGGATACAACTTCTTTCTGTCCTGCTTACTCAGTTCCGTTCCAAAGGAGTTGAGTGTGATGTTAATCGCCCTGCGATCCGCCTCAAAACTCAACATTTCACTCATAAGCTCACTAGTAGGGGTTCCTGCGAGTCCTGGCTCACTTATACAGAATTGATGAAAATCCTCTAGGTAGCTTTTGTAGAGGGTATTTCTGATAATTTCAATATTGAGTTCGTCAAGGTCTGCGCTGGAGAGTGTATTTTTAAAGTATGGCGCCAGTGGTGTTTCGACCAGAACTGAGTTGTATAGCTCCTCGACATTGGTTGCGACGCAAAGCACTGGCATGGTCTCGAAGACGCCAAGTGGATGGCAACGCTCGAGAAGTTCTCTCGTGTCCCGCTCGTGTAATGTGCCGGTAATCAACAGGGCAACGTTATCAATCATGTACCCGTATGTCAAGTAATCCATAAATTTTGCTAAGGAGCCGACCGCTTGAGCCCGAATGTACCGGAACTCAGCAATCAACTTTTCGGTTGCTTTCGAGGCAATAACGGAGGTGGAAAGCGGTGATGGTACATTGGCAAGATAGTCACCATAAGCAGGTGCGAGCTGTAGCTTCAGATCTATCAAAAGTATATTAGCGGCTTGTAAAGTGATATTCAAGATGGGGAAGCTTGCCATCGAGCGTCTCGCATTGGGTTAGATTGGCGTAGTTCTGGCTAGTAAGTAGACCATTACGGTACCCACGAACGAGGCCCTCGATATAGCCGTTGTTGACATTGAAGAAAAGGCCCTCCATTACGAACGATTGAAGAAATTATAGGCCCTTCTCGTTGGATAATTGGGGATGTTTGACTGATAGTTTGAGCGGGTTGGTTGGCTCACATCGCCAGGTAGTTCGCTCTCGGACAGGTACGGTGTTGGTGGAAATGTTACCCGGCCTGAAGAGCTCAACTAGTACTACATATACTAGGGGTGTGCCAACTCGCGACCGCGAGTTATGGGTATCAAATAAAATTTAATTCTCCCTCTACAATCATGAGGGGCCTTCGGCCCATCCTCCTCCTCTCGTGAGTGCTCAGTACTTTGATGTGTCGTGCTTACGAAACACCCCTGTCACTGTCGACCAATCAGACTGCAAGGACTTTAGAAAAACCATAACCCAGTACATAGTAGACATATAACCTAGTTTCGGAGATAGTTAATGATTTATTCTTGCAGAATATCTGGTTCCAGGCCAATAAATTGTCAAGAACCCTGGTTTGTGGTAGGCGTTTCAAAGTGGTTTTTGGGCCAGTCAGAAAACTAACCTGTGTTGATACTTTATTTCAAAAGTTCAACCAGGTAAGGTTTACAAAAAGTGGTATGTACTTGTAGTTAGACTGAGCCAGGAACGGGCTAGAGCCATAGTTAGAAACGATTTGATTGGTTGGCCGACAAAAAGTGTTCCCGGCTCCATCCATCACTGTTACACTCCGTTCGGCAACACGATATTTTTTCTAGTGGTAGTGTTTTGGCAACCACAAAATATCAACTTTCTCAATCTGCTATCTGCCCAATATCACGATAAAAAATATTCAACTCCAACCTAAATATTTGAAATAGCACCACTAGAATTAGCGGCTCAACCCATGGCCACCAAGTACACCCGAACGTCCCCAACTTGTGGTTGCAGCCGAACACGCCAATTGTAACCACAATATTCACAAATATACTAGATCACAAAAATCACATATTTGGTTGTAATCTTTTCAGGTTGCAACCTCGCCATATTCATATCGTAGTTTTGCCGAACGGAGTAAAGAATTCCAGCTTTTCAACCCAGCGGCCTTCTGTCCTTTTATTGGCCAAGAAAATATCTTGGCTTTCGTTCTGGATCTGGTTCTGGCTCAGTCTGACTACATACCATTAAATATGTAGGTTTGGGTGCTTCTTTTGGAGTGGGTTGAACTTTTTAGATCTATTTACATACTTAAATCGAGATACTAAAAACCTCAACTCAACTCAATTAGTACTGCACTTTGATTACCCTTATTACCACTAATTTTAGACCCCAACTTATAAACCTACAGTACTGTATTTACTCCTTATTGTTGGGGATTTAGCGCGAGAGAGTTTCTGTGAGGATAATACAGTAAGTTTACGTGATCAGATCAATATTTGTGTAGTAAATATAGCTAAATACATGTATAGATACAGTTACACATAGGACATGGACGTCCTCTAGGTACATACATGTATGTAGGTACATGCATGTCAAATAGCGATATTAGAGCGTATTTGCCAACCGTCAATTTCAAGAATTTACAAATTGTGGGGCTCCGAAATGGCAACCGGGGCTGTTAATTTTGAATTTCGGTGGGGCGACGTGCTGTGAGATATACCAGGAGGATCACAAGTACCCAGTTTTGTTACTACCGAAGCTAGTATCATGGGTATGAATTTTCAGTTCCAACAGCGTACTTCACAGGTAGCGTGATGGGTTGTCTGGTTTTCGGGGTTTATTCTGTCATACCGTTAACCAGATCGATTTTGGCCACTGCGGGGAACTGTCAATTTTGCCTCCCGAAACTGTCAAGTTTGAAGTGTCAATAGTTGAAATTGACGGTTGGCAAATACGCTCTATTCTACTCCCATTGCAATTGTGAGACACTGATTTTGCTTACTAACACCTACAAATTACGTGCCAAGAATGGGAAAAGTACCGGGTGTTGAGGGTAAGTGATCAGAATCTGATAAGTGAATGTTGCGGTGAATACGTGTATTTGTCTTATCAGATTCTGATCACTTTTCGCTACACCCTAGTACATTTTTTGACCATACAAGCGACATTGTCCCTGCGAAAATATTTTTATAACTCAACAACGAAGAATGATTTTACAAATCGGAGCAGATAGAATGATAGAGCAGGTGAAACTGAGTAGATCTATCCAATAAAATTAAAAATATGTGTTGTGGTTGATGAGCTATAAGCGGGCGGTCAAAGTTGAGGTGTCCAAACTACTCCGTGACAAGGCTTCCCCCACCATATGTATTTGTAAATCATATAATATCACCTCAGAGAATAAGCTTGTGACATCTTTTTAGACGACACTTATGAACCTCATCGTCCTCAATGATGTGACTTAGTATTTTCCCTTAATTCATTAAATATTATATACACTATCCCTTCGTCTGTACTACAGTCTCTCCATTATAACGAAGCTGCATATTATTCCAAGATTTCCTATTCGATAGCAGATTATTCGGCGTATCTACATACCGAGCTCTTCGTGGGCCAATTGTCAAACCTAATTTCAGATAAACACTTACATAAATATCAACGCGCCCTAACTCAAGTATTCGAATATGTGTAGGTACGCTATGTATCTCTTAATCGGACTAGAATGGGGAGCTCGATTAACGAGACTACATGTACGTACTGGTATAGTTGGTCACCATATGATGAGTAGCCCACTGTGAGAGCATGACTCCAGTAGTCTCTTATAGTGGTTATACATCCGTCTTACCATATAGTTAGTATAAACGCATGCAGCTTCTTTTCATTTCTTTTTTCTTTCCTCTCACCAAGTAGAGTATGAACATATGGATACAAATTCGCTCTTTCCTAAAACCCTACTCGAACCTAACTACATGTACTTCTTATTAAAATCCAGAACAGGTCGCTCGTATAGAATCATCAATCAATAGTACATACTATACCAAAGCCTCTCACATCGCAACTAACAATATAAATAAAACTAGGACTTCAGATTACAAGGGATACGACGCAAACGTTTTATCAGAAGTCCAATAACAATACGGTTAGAAGACACCAAACATCTTCTTCTTCTTCTTCTTATCTTCCTCGTAATAACGCCCAGGTTGGTGATGATGAACCTTTAACCCTCCCATTTCTTTCACAGGTGGTGCTGGACTAGGTGCCTTCTTTGGAGGAGCCTGCTGAGGCTTTTGTTGTACTGGGGCAACCGGCTTTGGAACCTGATCAGGCTCTAGAAGGTGTTTAGGGATTTCCTTCTCTGGTCTATCAGCCGGGAGATCAAGAAGCCTTCTACTTTCCCTTGCGTTTCGGAGTTGGCTAAGCCATAAGTTGGGGGTGAGGAGATGTGTCGACCCCAAGAACACATCGCGAGCAGATGCTTTGGAAACTTCATAACACGCACGGGACTCAGAATACGTTGCACCCCCAGCCATGAAGACTATTACACGCTGCCTTGGTTCTACCACAGACATTCGAGATTTGGCCCATGTAGGCTTTGCCGATCGAAGGGATGCCTGAGAAACGTTTTCCTGTCCACCCATAGGGCCGCCAGGGACCAGTTCAGGCTTCGTATAAGGAAATATGGCGGGATCCAAAGCGCCCTTAGTATGATCATCAAGCATTATTTTCAGGGCTGTTACAAATCGAGAGAAATCGGAACCATCCTCATCATCATCCATTGTTTTGGAAATAGGCCTCTTCGGCTTTTGTGCGGAATTTCGGCTCTGAGAATTGTCTTTCAAATCTCGGGTCACACGAGCGCCAAAAAGATCAAGATTGCGGAGAACACGTTCATCCTGCCGCTGAAGCTGGGAGTGTCGCATGAGTTTCTCGATATCTCCCGCCAACAGACCATCTTTCCACAGAAGATAGAGAGTAATGAGCCGGAGCCGATCAGGTGCACTACAAAACATCAGAAATAGGGTCTTTGAAAAATTTAGCAGATAACTCACGCCAAAGCAGGATCATCCAGTAACCTAATTAAGGACTCAGTTGGATTTTTCGTGGGTCGATTATTTTCATCCATCCCAGTTGCCAATGACTACGAAGCCAATTAACGAAAAACGACATAAAGAGCAAATAAGATTTGTCCTTACCTGTTCTAGCAGTGCAACATCAGGCAAATTCTTTTTCTCGAATATTCCCATGCATTCTTGAGCCATCGTCAGGTGGAGAGAATACATATCCTTTTGCCCCTGATATTGAGGCAAACTTGCCATCATATCTCTTATTGCGTACAAACTTGTTGAGGAACCACTACATAATGTTTCTTAGTATTATCTTAACCCAAAAATGATTTAGGACACTAACCTATCGACAAAGTTTTTGTTGTCGCCGAGAAATTTCTGAAAGTCGGCCATCAATCTCTCAATGGTATCCTTCATATGTTTGTGTCTATTCGCAACCCAAACTTGATCTTCGTCCCCAATCTCCATTTCTTTCTCCTCCTCCTCCCCACTAGAAGTTGCTAATTTGACGTTGTATGTGACTTTGTCGCCTTCCTTTATCGGTAACAGATCATGGGCCATAGCTTGGTATGTAAACTCATGCAAGGCAGGGGCGAAAAGATCCATTGCTCTATCCACGATAAAAAGGACACCACGTGGCCTATTTGACGGGGGTGGGAATTCTCGATGATTTTGTGCGTACAAATCCAACTCAGATTGCACATTCTTTGCAAGAACTTCTGATAAGACTCGAGCTTCGTGTAGCAAATTTGGGGCACGAAAGTACCGAATTGTTGGGTACTCGCCTAGGCTTACGCAAACGCATACTATTTTTTTAGCCAATTCCTCTAAGTGGACCCTAACCAGACCCCGACACTCTGGGTTGTACAAAGTGAAGAAGGAGGAGGGGTCACGGAATGTAAAAAGATGCGATTCACGAGGGAAGTAGTCAACAGACAGAACCTTCTCTCCTGCGATAAACCCACGAGCAGGAGAGTTCAGGATCATTTGACGCAGACTATCCGGGAGGTCTATTCTTGCCCAGTAAGTTGAGGCCCCGCCGTTTCCCAAGGGGGAGGCAGAACTAACCCGATGTCCACAGTAAATGTGCACAAGTATATCTTGGTTTTGGACGGGCGTAGTCCGAAATCAGACATTCTACAACATGTTTTTCGGGCGTGAGAATATAAACACATTCCATCTGTTGTGGTGGGCGCTTGTTCTCGATGAGTGATACATCTAGTGGAAAATAAGTTTCTCGGCACCAGTTCAAAACTAAGGTAGACGGTGGTTAGCATACCTGATATACTTTCATCCAATATATGGTGTATTTGCATGACATTTGTTATCAGCTTATGGCTTGTCTCGTCGGTGACAACACATCTCCACTAATAGGAAAACAGGTCAGCCCCGTGACTTATTGTAGGGAGGCGCTTGGGGTATAAACCGTGCCCTTGGGCTCTATAGCCTTGATAGCTTCTAGGATCGCTGTAGAAAAGTAGTGTGAGTAGGGTGGACGAAATAGAGGTCACTATGGAGCTCACCTTGTTTTTGGAGTTCGATCAGGTTGACCATGACGGGCAACAGGAGCAACAAGCGTGATATGAGTTGGTTCTGGTGTGAATGTAGGAGCTAGATAGGAGTTCAATTTCAAAAATAAGACAGGGAGGCTAGGTAGGGTCTTGTATTTAGGAAAAATCTCTAGGAGTCAATTGTATGGGTTCCAGTATGTGGGGTGTTGAGCTCGGGGTGTTGATGGTGGAGGATGCAACGAATGGAGAAACCTAACCCTCTCAGCTGCCACAGTCGCTAAGCGCTAGTAAAGTTACAGATTTATACACAGAAGGTGTTGAGGTGCAAAATGTATGAGGTACATGTACTTCATGCCAAATTTCTTTCCGAGTGCCGAAACGTGTAAAGTGAATAGGCCACTACAATAGTGTAACTACATGTAACTATACGTACATGTACATATAGTACCTAGGCCTTAGTGGCTGGAGTACCTACTCGGATGTAGAGTAGCATGTATAACTACACGTATGTTCTTCATACTTGCACCTTACAAAAAACAAAGCGAAAAAAAAAAAAAAAATACCGACCTGGTCAGAAATTGAACGCGATCCCATCCTTCCCTTTATCCTGTGCTTTGCTTCTCTATCCCCTCATCTTCAACGCACACGTAGTTGGACCACAGCAGATGGGAATCCTTTTTCAATTACAATGGACTCAAATCCCTCAACCCACAAACCTTCGGAGTATGAAGGAATAGCTGCACAATTTGCCGCTGCAAAGAAAGCACAGGCTGAGCAACTTGCCACATCTCGTTCCAGGGACTCCATGGTTCGAAAACGGAATCTTCAACAAAAGAGCGCCTTCAAATACTCACATGGCCTGCTTGTGTCATTGTTGCTCTTCTTCGTTTATCTCCACGGCGTTGGAATCTTTTTATTCACCAAAGGATTCTTATTGACTCGTCTGATGCTTGGGCAGCAGTCATCTTGTGAAATATCACCTCTACAAGAATATGCTCGACACGGGTCATTATGGGCTGGAAATATCGATGGCGCAGGTTGTTGGCATCCTAAGACTTTTGATAAAGCCATCATCATCGTGATTGACGCCTTGCGCTACGATTTCACAATACCCTTCGAACCAAAAGACAATTCCACCCCGGCTTTTCTCTTCCATAATGCTTTCACGACACCCTACACAGTTGCTTCCCAGACTCCAAAAAATGCCGTCTTATTGCCTTTCATTGCCGATCCTCCCACCACCACTCTCCAGCGATTGAAAGGGCTCACCACTGGAACACTGCCCACCTTTATTGATGCAGGAAGTAATTTCGCCGGTACCTCTATCGAAGAAGATAATCTGATTTCTCAAATGAAATCACTTGGCAAAAGAATGGCATTCATGGGGGATGACACCTGGATGGCTCTTTTCCCTGGAATGTTTGAGCCAGAAATGGAGCACCCTTATGAATCACTTAACGTTTGGGACCTGCATACTGTGGACAACGGGGTTACTGAGCATATCTTCCCTTTACTTCACCCATCAAACCAAACAAAGTGGGATATCGCTATCGGTCACTACCTTGGTGTTGACCACGCTGGTCACCGCTATGGACCTGATCATCCCGCAATGGCGGAGAAGCTGAAACAGATGGACAGCATTGTTCAAAGGCTCATGGAGAGTATTGATGATAAAACCTTATTAGTTGTAATGGGTGATCATGGCATGGATCCAAAGGGTGATCATGGGGGAGAGTCTCAGGGAGAGGTCGAGGCTGCACTGTGGCTATATTCAAAAAAGCCAATTTGGGGGGAATTTCCAAAAGAGCTCTCACCTAATGGCGGCGGCCGTGGAGCAGGGAGTGATGGGGTAAGGTCTGTTGCCCAAATAGATCTTGTTCCAACCTTGTCTCTTCTTCTAGGACTACCTATACCATTCAACAATTTGGGTGCACCAATTGTGGAGGCATTCATCGGCAACGGTGATATGCAAGGCCTGCAAAATTTGGCTCAGGTTTCACGTTTGACCGCGGCGCAAATCAAAAGATACCAGCAGGAGTATACAGTAGAAGGTGGCGATGTGGAAACAGATGATTCAATTTTGGCTCGGTGGAGTGCAGGGCAGGAGAAATGGGAGGCATCTCAAACAAACTCGAAGAAAACTACTCGATTGGAATGGATCTCAGTCTTTGCGGATTTCTCTTCCTATCAAGAACAAACTTTGAAGGCTTGTCGTGATGTCTGGGCTAGTTTTGACCTAATCAGTATGGCAGCTGGTATTATCGTTTTGGTAGGAAGTGTCGTTACCCTTGCTGTATATGCCAGAGGCTTCTCAGGGGATCCAGCAGAGCTTACAGACACTATAATCACACGAATGCTCAAAGGTCTTAGTGTAGGTGCTGTTAGCTCGGTTATTGCTGGGTTTTTGCTTGAGGAGCAGACTCTGGGCTTGTCGAGAATCAGAATGATGCTGTTCAGCACCAGTATTGGAGTTATACTTGGGTTCTTTTCAGCCGCGATACACGTCCACAAAAGATTAAAAAATGTTTTGCCGACCTCGGGCTGGGGGATACTATCGGCCGTCTTCACAGTCGCTCATTCGCTTATATTTGCCTCCAATTCCTTCACGATTTGGGAAGATCATATTCTTATTTACTTCCTGTGTACCTTTGCCATTGGCGGTCTTATCACATCACAAAGGAGGGAGGATCTCGCTCAACGAATGCTGGGGAGCTATCACTCCGTGGTATTTTTCATTCTCACAAGGATCGCGGCCTTTTCTAAGCTTTGTAGAGAAGAGCAAATGCCACACTGCGAGTCTACTTTCTATGCTTCAGCAACGTCTTCCGTTTCGGCTCCCTGGAGCCTGGCACTTTTGTTTGTTATGGCTGTGATTCTTCCTTCCATCGTAAAATCCTTTTACAGCGGCTCTAACTCCTATCACGGACCCGCATCGATTACTATTGGATGGGCCTTCCGGGCAGGACTTTTTCTAAACGCCCTCTACTGGCTACTAGACTCCGCGGATAACGGTCGATGGCTGGAGGTTCCGGAGGCATTGTTCAAATTGTCAAAAATAACGATCGCTCAGATTGTGTTGCTTATGGGGTTTATCGCTGGAAGTGTTGGATATGCTTGGGCGACTCTTTGTCTTAGTGTTGAAATTGAAGATAAGAAATCTGAGACGATCACTGACGCTCACGGAAAAATCACGTCCGAGAGTGGTAAAAGTGTCCTTCTTCTCGGATACGCCAACGTTCATGGGTCCCGATATCTTCTCCTCGTGGTTCCTTGGTCTCTGTCTCTGATACTCCTCCAGAAACCTATGGGTGGAGCGTCCATGGGAATTCTTCTCTGGCAAATCCTCAGCCTCTTGGAAATTATCGACTGTAACGACCTTTCAGACTCCGCTATCGGACCAATCGTTTTGGGTCTTTTGGGCAATTCACACTTCTTCTCCACTGGGCACCAAGCAACGTTGTCCTCTATTCAATGGGACTCCGCTTTTATTCCTTTTGCATCCACTAGATACCCTTGGGCTCCTCTTCTCGTTATCGGCAATACCATTGGGCCGCAAGTGCTCACAGCGCTAGCTGTCCCTCTTATAGCACTGTGGAAGGCGTCACCGAAGAAAGCCGGGCTGTTGGGTAGTGTGGGTGTTGCTGGAGCAACGCACATGCTCTACCATGCAGTCATAACTTTGAGTTCTGTTGTGTGTGCCGGACATTTGAGGAGGCACCTCATGCTATATCGTATCTTTAGCCCAAGGTTTATGCTGGGGGCCCTTGTACTACTCGGTGTTGATATCATCGTTTCATTGGTTGCTGTTGGCGGCGTTCGATGGAACACTTTGGCTGTCGCAGATATATTTGGTATTTAAAAGTTTCGTTAAATTTACTTCAGTGTAAATAATATTTCATTCTCTTCTTTATACATCGTCCTGTTTATCAAGAGATGTTACGTGCTGTAATGGTTGTTTCTTCTTTTTTCTTTTTTCTTTTTCTCCTTCAATTTGTGGATATGTGAATATTTAGTTACCTGCAAATTTCTTATTGTGTTGCGTCGTGGGTGTTATCATTGACTTTTATGCCTTTTAGGATTGGTTGATAACCTGTAGATCTTTGGTTCCTGCATGTCTGCATAAGTGGCTTTGTTGATCCGAATCATGAACAAGCACTCTGATAAACAAACCCATGGAGCCTCAAGCCTTGGCAAACGCGGGGCAACATCAAGAGTAAAATCCATCTTACAAAGCATAAGAGTGTATGCAGCCGTGGAAATTTGGGTGTGTGGTAATTCCTCTTATATGCGATCTCATGTTCATATCGAGATTAATAGAGCCAATCTCGTATACTATACGTGTATTTAATTATTCTAAGCCGACACATATTTTTTTCCACAACCCCTCCAAGTTCCTTGCAGTCCTGAGTCAACCTTAACAATTTCTACACCGCAACACAACAATCTTCGATTCCCCTTTGCACATTTCTTTCTAACAAAAATCATGTCTACTTTCGGGTCCCAATTTCGTGTTACCACGTTTGTCCTCATATTTTTTCATGAATCTTCGATTGTTATGCTGATCGCTCTCTAGCTACGGCGAATCTCATTGTCGTTCTGTTGGTTGTATTGTCGATGGTTGTCCCCCAGGAATGGCCTTGACGGAGGCCGACATCCAACCTCAAATGACCCGACGTCGTCCTGGACAGTCTGCACTGGCAACTCCTCGCAATGAAAAAGACGCTGTCAAGATTCAGTCCGGCACTGAATTCGGATACACTCTTGGAACACCAATTGGTCTCATGGTCCAGAACGAGGATCAAAGGCCACATGATTACTCCGACATGGACTTGTATCCAAGACCAAGTCACGCGGATTACACCTACTTGGCCAAGTATGGTGTAAAGGCGAGCTCAGGTGGTGGAAGGAGTAGCGCAAGAGAGACAATTGGTATGTGCATCTTTGCTTACAGAACTTCCAAACCTAGCCGAATATATTGTGGTGAGATTTTCGAGAACGGGGACTGGGAGCACTTCAATATGACTCATCGCCCTCAGTCATGAAGATCTTACATCCTCAGTTTGGATATTTCTCCCCTTCTTTACAGTTCATAGAATTGTTGCATCTAACATTTGGTATTAGGCCGTGTGGCTGCTGGTGCAATTGCCGAAAAATACCTTTCATTGGCCTATGGCGTCGAGATTGTCTCATTTGTGTCTAGTGTTGGTCCTATTCACCTTCCAGGATCCGTAGATTCAACACCCGAGTACATGTCTCTGCTTTCTACGGCCACCCGAGAAAAGGTCGATGCCTTTCTCCCGGTTCGTTGTCCAGAGGCAGAATCGAATAGCAAGATGGCACAGTTGATTGCTGAGTACCGTGACAAAAAAGACTCAATTGGAGGAACAGTCACTTGCGTTATCAAGAATGTTCCCATTGGTCTTGGAGAACCATGCTTTGATAAGCTTGAAGCTAAACTCGCACACGCAATGCTTTCCATACCAGCAACGAAGGGGTTTGAGATTGGTTCAGGATTCCGTGGGACTGAAGTTCCTGGTTCAAAGCACAATGACGCCTTCATCCGCTCAGAGAATGGAAAGCTTTCTACCGTCACCAACAACTCTGGTGGTATCCAAGGGGGTATTACTAATGGTGAAAACATCTATTTCAAAGTTGCTTTCAAGTCTCCGGCTACCATTGGTCATGCTCAGGAAACGAGTAAGTATGATGGTGAGGCCGGCATCTTAGAAGCAAAGGGCAGACACGACCCTTGTGTTGTCCCCAGAGCGGTTCCTATTGTAGAAGCTATGGCGGCACTTGTGATCATGGATGCAGTCATGATTCAGCAGGTGAGGATCCCCTGTTTTATACCTAGGTTAGACATTGGCGTTTATAGTCGTACAGGCTCGTGAGGCGTCCCGCTCCCTTCTTCCACCTCTTCCTCAAAATCTCGGAATCAAAACCCCCACTGCCCTCGACGGGAGAGAAAAGAATGTGGATCCTACGAAGGCCCCAAAGGCTGAACAGGATAAGCTAGTTATTGATTCGGAGGGACGAAAGATCGCTGGGGGCTCCGAAGGAAAGGTATTTGGTGACGAATAAGTTGAAAGGAATCTTAGCCCAATGCAATCCAAGGCTTGATGAGGTTTCCAAAGGTGATGCTATCAATTAAAATTGGGTTTACTGGTAAAAGACTAAAATCTTAGTACTATTTCTTGCCCATGCAAAGCTTGTATATGCATGTAATAGTGAGTTTTGATGATTACAAAACGAAGTATATACATGTAGTCAGATTGAATTCTGTGATCAGTAGTTGAAGTTCACTATTTACACCAATGCAGCTGTTGAATCAAGAAATTGTTTTAAATAGATTATCATAATCGAGAAAGATCGGCTCACCACGAGATGTAACCTACATGTTTTGCCGTTCAATGAGGTTGACTTGTCTGTATCGAGGCGGCCCGGCTGGCAGGAAACATACATGCACCTACTGCTTGTCATAATCAAATCCCCCACATGGTGGGCCATGGATTTTAGGGCCAGACACACGCGCCTAAGATACATGTACCTATACCTGACTGTACTAGCACCAAAAGGACTGTCATTGATTGAAAGTATTAGACCGCATTATTCTGTTGGCCCCGAAAGCAACTGTAACCCGAAACTGTGTTCTCTAAATCAGAAATCAAAAAGTATCTACATACCTGTAGACAAGAGCTTTAATGTTTTTGTACCAACATAAATACATATAAGGGGTACATTATATTCACTTCTAGAAATATCTGCCTTTATAACGCTGTATTACATGCAACGCCGCTTATATGGCACTGATCGTTTAATTCAAAAATCCGAATACCTCTGAAGTGCACATGCTATATTGTGGGAGAAAGTCTGTTACCATATTAATTTAGCGTCTAACTAGTCAATCACTTTATATGATACACATATATGGTTAATATTCTGGACAATAAGGCCGTACATGTAGGTTGGTGATGCTTACATGTATTTTCTCCTCATACATACATGTACATGTATTTCAGAATACGGGACTGCCGATTATTTTAAGCGGTTCATATAAGCACATCCCTATAAGAGCACGTATTGTGGCAAGTGATTAATACCCTACAATTTCTTCCTTGATTTTAAGCATGTGTATCCGGACGATGTAGGGCTTCCGCCTCCATTCAAGAAAAATAGCCGCAACTGTTTTAGCTTCATTGATTATCACTCGGTCCAATTACGTAAGGGTTTATAATTAGTCTATTATGTACTGGATTACTCGTCTGTTCATAGCGTTTCCGAACACGACCAATATTGCATGACATACAAAAAGGTGGATTTGGCGCTTTTTTATATGGTATGCAATAGCAGTCGTGTCCGGAAACGTCATGAATTTACGAGTATGGTTTTGCGGAACGCTTGGACATATGATTGGTCGAGAGCGAGGAACCCTAACCCTGTATAGCAACCACCCATCAAAAATTCGAACTCATTAACAGGATGGCATTGGAGGTGGAATTAACTGGAGGTGGCATCAACTGGAACTGGAATTAATTGGAGGCGGTATTGGAATTGGTACCTTATTATTAACTGAAGGAACTGGATCACTATGGAGGAGGTGGGCATTTGTGGGAGCTGGCAATGAGTGACTATGCATGAGAGCGGGCTTTGGCAAACGTGGGAGCTGGCCATGGGCAACTATGTACTGTAGATGGCTAAGGGAAACATTAATTAATTACTGGAGCCGGCCAACTACTATGGGTGCACTGTATATGGGAAATACTACAGAGGTGGCAGAGATTCCTGAGCAGAAGCAAGGCCTCGCGGTCGCGAGGTGGGCCACTACTAGTAGGGTAGTACTATGTAGTACTTGTAACCATGCCATAGTCACTGACTGCATGCAGAGTTTTGTACCTAGAATTAATAAACTACATGAATTAAAAAAAAAGAAAACTAGTACTTGTAACCACACTTATTTCATCTAACGATTTTACTAATTTGTTACATATCCGGCCGCTCGGGTCTATGGGAATATGCCAAATAACATTTTCTCAGGAATTAATTCAAGTGTACATGTAGTTCTCATATGGCTGGCGTTAATATGCAAATATCTTTAACAGCCCATTCTGCAAAACTATGGCGATGTTGCAACTTGGCATAACCGGATATGTGATGTTTGTGATCTAGTATGCATGTTCGGCTGCAACCATTAGCTGGGGCGTGAGTTGAGCCGCTGCTAGTGGTGCCAGTTCAAATATTTAGATTAGAGCAATTGGACAGATCGACAGCAGATTGAGAATGTTGACATTTTGTGGTTGCTACTTCAGTTATTTTTACAGGAGGTGAAACCTTTCGGCTACGGTTGAGTAGTTAGCAGTCTGGGTATAATGGTAGCTCCTACGGCGGCGCGCAGCAAGCTACTCGTAGATTCAAGCTTGGTTAATTTATGTATAGTACTAGGACAGAAGTTTTGGTAATATATCTTTTTTACAGCCAAAGTAGCCATGTTGTATCTATGGATTTATTCACCGTGGTTCAACCCTATTCATGGTCCTATTTGCTTGGGATAGGTAGGAAACTACAAGAAACCTTTGGTTACTTGTCTATTTCGGATTCCGAATCTCGATACAGAGATAAAATTAAAGAGGGGGGGGGGGTAACCTCTCTTTCAGATTAGAAATTAGAAATTTGAAATTCAAGTTAGTACTTATTATACCCGGCCGGGCCCCGATTCTTAACTGAACCTTCCAGGCCTAGGCCTTGCGAGAAGGCATGCACTAAATATTCAGATATTTCAAATATATATATCAGCTGCAAATTCAATTGAGCAATTGCGCAATATTTGAAGATAGCTGAGGGAATTAATTCAGGTAGAAATAGTAGAACATGATGCTATCTAATATCATATTGATAAAACCTAATTAAGTATGTACTTGTAATCTCTACACAGTACATTGTGATATATATGTGTTCATGCATGTCAGCTCGGAAGGTGGCGGGTGTAACATTGAACTTAATGATTCGAGAAGTTTACATGTATGTATAATTATAATTTATGCACGATAACCGAACATTTCTGCCAGCATCCTAGCATGCTCCTGAATAGAATTGACACCAGGTCAGATTTATCTATATATATCATTACATATACTACCAAGAAAACCACCTCTCTATCCTTCCCCTCTGCGCTGTGACAGGTCAACCCACGGATCCACGAGAAGAAAAAAGAACACAGAGACATACTTGGCTTATTTTAATAGCCACTTACACATTACTTCATAATATAATATATTCAAAGCACATAAAGGTTAACTTACAATTCATCATCATCTAATATCACTCAAATGGATTGCTTGGTTGATCAAGTGAGACCGCATCAGTCCGCGTACGGAATTGCAATTGTCAAGGACTACAGTAGTAATTTCACCCACATTACCAGTGTCAATTAATAAATAAAACCGAAGATACGGGTAGCGCTGTATACATATATACCATATAATTATAGATGTATATATGGATGCATGCCCTGAACGAAGTGAAGGCCTTATGGGGGTAAGAGTACCAACAACCCTAACCCAAAATATCATATGTATGTCCTCTCCTCGGTATTCCGTTGGCTGCACTGCCTTGCTGTGGATATGCGGCTAAGTTACCTGCGTGTGTTCTCTCACCGGCCCCCGAGCTAGAGTACTAACAGTATATGTATGTAGTATATAGCTATATAGGGAGAGGTAGAATTATTATAGAAATAGGGGTCTGAAGACAGGGTTTACAATAATCTCATCATTCGCTGTAGAGATAATTAAGGCACTGATCATAATACCATGCCTGTATACGTGTACATGTCAGTTAGTTTCTGCGCCCACAGTAAAATTTAATTTGATCATTTGTCAGCGCCTCAGCTTAAACGCCTCCACACAGCTTTTATACCTCTGTATAAACATCTCTGTTAATCCTCTATGGATTCGGCACAGCAAAGACTCGAAGAAGATCAACTGAGCTATGTCCCTCCCAAAGAATGCAACTATCGCAGCAAAGCCATTTAAGATCTCCATACCGGACTTGCAGTTAGATGACTTGTGGACACTGATACGGCTCTCGAAACTTCCACCCGCAACATATGAGGGTACTAAAGAAGAATATGGAGTAACTAGCAAATGGATGTCTGAAATGAAAACTTACTGGGAAAACGATTTTAACTGGTTTGCGGCCCCTCGTAACTCAGATATTTGGGCGAGCTAAATAAAATACGTGGTGTTTTTATGTTTTTATAGGAGAGAGCATGAATCCGAAATCAACAAACTTCCACAATATACCGCACCGGTCAGATCAAAAGATGGAAAAGAAAACACACTTCACTTCATCGGTATATTCTCTACATTTGAGAATGCAATTCCTCTCGTCTTATTACACGGGTGGCCTGGTTAGCTGATAAAATCCCTGACTTTATATTACCGCAATGCACGGTTACTAACGAACACCAATTGAACCGTAGGTTCGTTCGTTGAATTTCTCGACTTGATTCCGATCCTCGCAGCATCCACCTCCCCTCATTTCCATATAATTGTACCTTCGTTGCCCGGCTATGCATTCTCCTCCGCACCACCATTGGAAAGTGACTTTACCCTCCAGGATTGCGCGTACCTTGTCAATGAATTAATGTTAGGGCTTGGGTTAAAACAATATGTAGCACAAGGAGGAGATATTGGAAGTTTCATCGCAGAAGCATTAGCAGTTGGATACCCGGAGTGCCTAGGTAAGCACATTGTAGCCCATTCTTGTCATGCACCTTCTAATAGAAATGATTGATAGGCTGTCATGGTATGCTAGCTCAGGATTAACTGTCATCCAAGATAGGTTATCTAACAAGCACTATAGTAAACATGCTCCAAATTTTCAGCCCTCCACCTAATCATCCTGTTTCCACCCTTTCCCTAAAGGAGAAAGCAGGAGTCCACCGCGGCCAAAGATTCAACACAACCGGCAATGCATACGCGCTCGAACATGCTACGCGCCCCAGCACCATCGGGCATATCCTTTCTAGCAGCCCTCTTGCGCTCCTTGCTTGGATTGGTGAAAAGCTTCGAGACTGGACTGATGAAACCCCACCAATTGAGAAGATATTGGAGATCGTGACACTGTGGTGGTTTACAGAGACAATGCCTAGAAGCATTTATGCGTACCGTCAGATTTTTATCGAGGAAACAAGGAATATGGACGGCATCGCGTTAACGAACACCAAGTTTGGGTATTCAAATTTCCCGATGGAGCTTATGCCGGTTCCAAAAGTATGGGTGGAGACCCTGGGGGAGATGGTGTTTTTTAGGGATCATGACAGGGGAGGTCATTTTGCGGCGATGGAAGTGCCGGAATTGTTGGCAGATGATGTGAAAGAGTTTGTCAAAATTCTTATCAATAGGAACTAATGGCAAAATTTGGAATAATGAACTGTACCTAGATCTGGATCTATAGGTCCAAACTGTACGCGGCCCTTACTCCGCATTTCGCCGAGTGATATTCTATGAACCTAATAGTGATATAGCTTCGACAAAAAAAAATCATATGTGGGAATAATGTTAGACTAGGTCTTCTATTATTTTGCCTAGGGTGCCATTGATACTCCGTATTTTGGACTTGTATGTTGCTAAAGCATCTGTCGTATCTCTTTTAGAAGCACGCTCTCATGTATGTACGTCTGCTGAATTAGCCGGCCTGGCAGGGCAACTATATGTACATACAGGGCAATGTCTAGTGCGTAGTTACGTTCGTACGGGTGACTCAACTAGATTACGCCTAATCAATCCCCCCCCCCCCCAAAGAAAAGTAGATATATGCTGTAGAAATATTGCGAGTTACCAAGTACCTACAGCCGATACAAGTGCGCTGAGATAAAGATTTAAAAATTCAAAAACGAATAAAATAAAATAAAACCAATCAACGGGAAAGGGAAAAAAAGTAACAAAAAGCATAGACACTAGAAAAGAAAATGATAAGAGCCGTTTGAACACCCAAAGCGTACCGAACCAAATCAGCAACCACAACACTGATTTTCTTGGCGCCTTTCTCCAGTTCCCCTTAAATTCACATCTTACAAACCAAAAGATTAACTTTAGTGAGCCGGAGCCTCGTCGTTGTTCCACGAGAGGTAAGTATGATCACCAAGTTTCCTAGTGAGATATCAGAATCATCTTTCCTTATACATCCAATTACAGGGGAAATACCTCGGCTTATAAAGATGTCTCGCCGTAAATACCGCACCTAACACCACGCAAATCCCAGCCACGACCACATACGCAATCCCTAAAAATGGATTCTTCCCGCCCATGACGGTTCTTGTGGAGATGACGATACTCTTTGTTCCCGCATATTCACTGACCGGAAAATTATACTCGATATCCACCTGATACCTGCCCGCGCCCATAACATCCTTGTCATTCCTCAGCGCCAACTTTGAAAATGTCGGTAGACCGGCTGTACGCATCCACACGTGGAACTCTTCCCAGTCGGTTAGATCAGGAAGTTCTTCGTACTTCTCGCCATATTTCTTTACCCAGTTCGGAGGGGGGACGACATCGTTGACGGTGTACTTGGTTTTACCATAGCGCTTTCTGTCGGAGCTCCAGGCAATGCCTCTATTCGTCATGTTATATGGCCTGGGTTCGTTGCTGGATTGCGAATTGAGGAGTGCAGGTGATTTGAAGGTATCGTTAAACATGCTGTTTGCGATGAGACCACAGGGATAGTATGGTTTCTTATCCTTGTTTACGATGAGAGGAGAGCAGTCATCGGAGCTAACTAGATCATTCCTTGTCCTAGCATCGCCTTTAAGCTGCTGCTCGTCAAGACTCTGCACGTAGCGTCTATGGTTCTGGTAGAAGTTTGTGAGGCGGTAGTAGAACAGTACCGGGGGGTTGAAATCGCTGGGAAGCGTAAATTGGATCTTACAGGTTGTTCCGTTTTGCATAGACCATTTAGGGATACCGGCTTCTGGGAGTGGTTTATTGAATGAGACTGAGTAGTGGCTCGAGGGGATGACTTCAAATTCCGAGCTAGCACTTGTGCATTTTGTGTAATCGATAACTATCTCTTGAACTTGGGCAGAAGCCCAGAGAAGGAGGCCACCGAGGGGACCAAAGACGATACCGAGGGCAAAAAAAAGCGGAAGAACTGTTTTTGGTGTTAGAATTGGCCTAAAGATTTATTTAGTTAGTAAATGTGTTAACTCGGTCATTTGTAATGCAAGTCATTTAAAATACGGAGTAATACATACTGCCAGGCCTTTAATCGCTGTTGTCTAAAGGCAGTATCTGCGAGAAGTCAGTAAATTTGCAGAGGAAAGCTAATCGGGGAAACAAACTTCCGGGTCTTCTGCTCTTCTCCTTCTTACCGCCTGACGGGCGGTCTTCGTCTCCAGAGCTAGGCATAGTAAAATGGTGTCAAGACAATAGTAGTTGTGAAGTTTGGTTGGTCGGAATATGTGTGTAGCGAATATTGATGGGGTGGTGAGGGGTGTATCCTCTGTCTGAGAAAAGATGTCGCGATGGTGCACGGGGGGGGGAGACGATGGGACGTTGCAGCAGGTGTTGCTATCTTAAGGTCCAGGATGTCACCCAGAGTTTACTGGCCGGAAGAGGCTATACGCTACGGACAGATGAATAAGTTTAGAACAGACAGGGGCGCGGTAGGTGTACTGCACACTGCGCTGACCGTGAATGGGATTACGCTGGTGGTCGAGAAGAATGGATCGTAGAAGGCAGCTAAGCACTACGCTGTTGTTGAAGGACAAGCGCCACCCGGTGAAGAAGTCAACATTATCACTCGGCTTCCGGGGCCGTTTGTTATATGGAACTACATGTACCTGTATATACATGCATCCAACGTAGTGCGATATGATATTTTCTTTATCGATACATCGCGGGCTTTTTTCCCTGCATACATGTTATCCTCTAGTCTAGAGTAGAGCTCTGGTTCGGTTCGGATACGGAAAGGGAGCTCTTCCAGAATAATTCCACGCGTCACGTGACCCTTTCAAAGCTCCTCATTACAAAGCCTGTCGAAGCCCTTTCTAATATTACATGTACGTATATTTATTCAAGTAGATATAGGATACCTAAATGTATATACAAATACATGTAGTTCCAGTCAACATACTATTCACGTGTCTTTGCAGCTGTTCAAATATGACTTTAAGTAGCACCGCGCGCTAAAGGCACTGTGACAGTGTAACGTGATTTGTCGACAGGGTAATCGGGGAAGCTCACAAGACTTCGTGAATCCAGCGCGCAACTTTAGGAAGCTGTTGCAATCGGTAGACACGCCTTTCCCATCACTTGATTCAACTCACAATCCCTACTACACCCTTCAAGCATCATACAATGGCTTCCCAAGGCCCTCCTCCAGCTTCCGGGGGTGGTACTGCTGCTGCCGGCTCCCCCCAGGCACTCAACCAGATTGTTATCGAATACCTTTCGAAAAAAGGTTACTCAAAAACAGAGGCCATGTTGCGGGTCGAGTCTGCCCACACAGATCACGAAGGAAGGCCAATTCTGAGCAGCTTGGACGACCAACCTGAACTGAAATACGAAAAGAGCTACTGTGGGTTTATACTCTAGTGGTGGCAGAGATAAGCCTGCTGATTCGCGCGCATATTGTAGCACATTTGAAACATTGGATCGATAATTCTTTAGATCTCTATAAGCCCGAGTTGCGTCGCCTTCTCTACCCAGTATTTGTACACTCCTTTCTGGAGCTTGTCAAAAGTGGCTATGTGGTTCCCTCGCAGTCGTTCTACAAGGAGCACGCCCACGAACATGAGAGCACTCACGGTCACGATCTCAAGAACCTCAAAGCGCTCAGTCTTCCACAGCATATCGAGGATGACCAACTCGCAAAGCTTTACCGCGAGAACAAGTACCGCGTTATCCTCTCGAAGACTACATTTACTCTCCTGATGCACTTCCTTGAAGAAACAAAAGATGCCGGCGGCAGCGTGATCCTGAGATTTATCAATCAGCGCATTGATATCAAGACAATTTCCGGTCGACCGACCATGTTTTCCACCGCAGGTGACGACGAGGGCATGCTCGGTGAAGAAGAGGGCATTCAAGGGCACACCTCCGGCCATCTCAACCGCGGGGGTGTTCTCCCAAACATAAAACTCGGTCATCTACCCATGGATAAAGAGCTCATGTCTGATGTTGAAGAGGAGCTTCGTGAAGAGGACGCCCGAATGAAAGACAGCACTAGAAATGAGGAATTAGGTGTCTCTACCGGAGGTACCCTTATTGAGGAATTCCAAAAAATCAAACGAGAAGAATCCGAGGATTCGCCAATGCGCGATACTATCCCACTCCCTCCGTACACGGGTGTCGATGTTGAGCGTGAAGTGCGCCTGGTGAAGGAGTCTCGCGACAAGGTCCGCCTCGCCGGTGTGCCCGCTCCTGCATTACCCAGTGTTTGCATGTATACTTTTCACAACACCCACGATGGCCTCAATTGCGTCGATTTTTCCGAGGATTCCACTCTGGCAGCTGGTGGGTTTGCCGAGTCTTATGTCCGCATCTTCTCTCTAAAAGGCGCCGCATTACCGTCTATTATTCCTGCAGAAAATCTTCCCTCTATTCCCAAAACCAGACGTCTAATTGGCCACTCTGGCCCTGTGTATGGCGTTTCGTTCTCACCAGACAACAAGTACCTCCTTTCCTGTAGTGAGGACAAAAGTGCACGCTTGTGGTCCCTCGATACCTTCACTGGACTTGTTGTCTATAAAGGTCATGATAATCCAATCTGGGACATCAAATTTGGCCCCTTTGGTCACTATTTTGCAACCGCCTCCCACGATCACACTGCAAGACTCTGGAGCTGCGACCATATCTACCCCCTTAGAATCTTTGCCGGCCATCTGAATGATGTGGACACGGTTGAGTTCCATCCCAACAGTGCCTACGTCTTCACAGGCTCTTCCGATAAAACCATACGCATGTGGGATATTCAAACTGGAAATTCAGTGCGCCTATTTACTGGACACACGGCGCCCGTTACTGCGCTTGCTGTCTCTCCAGATGGAAAGTGGCTTGCGTCTGCGGGTGAGGATTCCGTGATCAATATGTGGGATCTTGCATCTGGGAAGCGACTTAAGACTATGCGTGGCCACGGGAAGACCAGTATCTACTCTTTGAGCTTCTCTGTCGAAGGTAACGTATTGGTCTCTGGAGGCGCAGATATGACCGTGCGCACCTGGGATGTTGCCTATGGCACTGGAGCGCCGACTGCGGACGCGCCAGAGGGAACTGGTGGGGTGAGTGTAGGCGATGGGACGACCAAAGTGGATGGCGTTACGAATGGAGCCGGCAAGATAAGGAAGGGTGGGAAAGATGTGGTTGCTACGTAAGTATCTTTTTTTCCTTATGATAAATCATATACTGACGGACTGCAGCCCTGATCATCTGTCTGTCTTTTACACAAAGAAGGCACCAGTGTACAAAGTCCAGTTTACAAGGAAGAATATGGTTCTCGCTGCTTCAGGGTTTTTGCCTTGATTAATATAACTACGGCTTTCTTGATGATGTTGGATCACCTCGCCATCATTTCAACATCACCTCAATACATTGATTAAGGACTGGAGTTTATGCAAAAAGTGTATTTTACTTTTCTACCGGACATGGTGTTTTTAACTATTTTTTCTCGGGATTTCTTTTTGGTTGATTGGCTAGCTGCTCTGTTTATTTCCTTTCCGTTCCAATTGGGCCTGGGTGTGAGGGTGTGACTATTTCTTGTTATGTAAATAATACCGGTGGATATGGTGGTGTATGATTGTTTTTTTTAGTTTTTTTTTACATCTATAATACAGGCTATACCATTACCCTGGTACCGATAAATCTGGCATGTACGTAGCTATCAGTTGTTTAATTTCCCTCTCATGAAGATCTGGGAGTTTCTGGCTCTTCGGGCTTTTTCCGAGCTACAAGGATTTCATCTATTATACCCATCTCCTTTGCTTCTTCAGCACCCATAAACAGGTCTCGCTCCATGATTTTCTCTGCGCAAACTGTAAGTATAACTCTTCAAATTGGGACGGTCAAGATACATACCAATCTCCTCAAGCGTATGCGGCTTCGTTAGATGCTTTTGGTAGATCATATTCAGCCTCTCTCTGACCCTCAGTATCTCCTTTGCATGTATCGCAATATCTGTTGCCTGCCCCGCATACCCGCCACTCGGCTGGTGCACCATAACGCTCGAATGTGGTAGGCAATACCTCCTCCCCTTTGCTCCTCCCGCCAACAACAAACTTCCCATGCTGGCTGCCTGTCCAATGCATATTGTACTGACGGGCGCCTGGATATAGTTCATTGTGTCATAAATTGCCAGCCCAGCGGTGACGGAGCCACCCGGGGAGTTGATGTAAAGGTTTATGGGCTTTTCTGGGTTCTCAGCTTCAAGGAAAAGAAGCTGGGCTACGATAACGGAGGAGAGTCCATCGTGCACAGGACCGTTGAGCGTTATGATGCGCTCTTTGAGAAGGCGTGAAAATATATCATCTAAGTACGCAGGGTTAATCCGGTAGCCATATAATAGGGGAAAAGAGGGTTGTACAAACAGGAATGCCATCCTCCACCGACGGATTCGTGGACAAAGGGTGTCGGTGTGTAGTAGTCCGCCAACCCCGGCGAAGCAGATAATGCTCGTCGAGCTCTGGTTATGGGACGGAGCAATTGGGAACTTTGGCGACGTAGTAAAGGCGATAGTATTGACGACGACATAAGGGCGGGTATGTGAGTATTCGGAGGTCGTGAACGAGAATATGGTTTAGCTGTGGTTGAGAGCCGCAAGAGAGTTAAGATTGGGCAGTGACTAAGCAAGATCACGTGCATTCACGAAATTTTATAGTCAATATATCATTTCCATCATATCCCTTCGTCTGTTCCCCGTAATCACAACATGTTAGGCCCACGACGGCGCCGTGATAGACACAATTTTAACGAAAAACAGTACACTTAACTACCTTATAGAGCAATTTTGCGTGACAAGTGGGTCAATCTTGCACCGCCAGCCGACGTTGCAGTTAGCTTCTACAATTTGTATGGTGAGCCACCAATTGCCATGTCGTGAAAACACACGAAGGGATATCAAGAACTAGAGACGGAATTTACTGTTCGTACTTTACCCACAACATCGAAGAATACCATTAGTTAAAGTAGCTTTATTTGAAAATTTTATGGCTTGTATGAACATTCGTTGAGAAATTAGATTTGTGCATAGTCTATCACTCTGATCCCCAAATTTAACAGCCATGATCAACAGATTGGGATATTGATTGGTTTGATTTATAACTCATGAATTGTGTGCAGCCCGGAGGTTACATGTATGTATGTATGTATGTCAACAACAGGTTGGGATATGGCTTTAGAGCCTAGAAGAATTCATATGATGATCATTATAACGTTGTTGATTTGAGCAGTTTATAAGTGATGCATGAGGATCTCCTAATATGTCGTAATCAATGAACAATTCTTTAACGTTTTACACTTCATATACGTACTGCATGTATACTTCAAGCACTCCATCCACCTTTCTTCACCTTGACATCCGTGCCTATGACCAACGCAAGGGCTTCTTCTTGGGTCGAATTGAACAGACTCGAGAGGGCCGTATTAATGCCATTCGTCTTGAGGTCCCCCGCCAACTTTGCCTACATTACATGTACTGTACTTAGCCCATGCCCCCAACATGAAGTTATACCGAAGGTCCAACCTCTAGTTCAACATAGACGGCATATATACATGTCATTAGCTAACCATTATATCTTCTCCAGAGCTACTTGGTGCTAAAGCTCGGTATTGTAACTTGATAGAAGAATATGCGAATCTTGGCCAATAGTGTGGCTAGACAGTCCAACACTCCTACCACGTACTAAAATCTGATATCATGTAATCTTCGGTCTGATGTGAGTCACGTGACCCATGACCGTGTAATGCGAGTGAGAATGATTGCGTTAACCGCATGACTCAAGTTTATTTGGCGTGATGGTATTCCTGGTGACGGTACTACATATACATGTATACAAGTGGTTTGCGGCCTTCGGCCGGTACTACATGTAGATCAATCAGTCCAATATACAGGCAAGCCGCCTTGCGGCTTATTTTCTCTATTTGCCTGTCAGTCGGGGCTCTCAGGCCGCTGCGCGGCCCTCGACCCCTCCTGGCAGGCAAAGTCCATTACTATATCTGCTCTGGTCGATATGTGCCTTTTCTGATCAGTGATACCCCCCATATATCAGTGGATAGGTCACAGTTCAAGCTGCAAGTATCCCTTTAACAGCCACCAAGCCGCTAAAATCGAACTACTAATCGATTCCCAGAACCAGTTGAAAACCTATTAACAATCTAACACCACTCAGCACAATACCCTATGTTCATATCCAACACAACATGTTTCAAGTGAAACAAAATCCTCTCTCAATGAGCCAATCAAAAGCTTTTAAATGTACATTGCATATGCAGGTTATAATTATATACTTATTAGATATTGTCCTGGCCCAGCCGGATCCATACAATGCGCAGCTCCGATCCGTGGCTTTAGTCATTGTTGGCTAATTTTTGGTTCAAATCCTCCGGTTGCTTGATCAATTGACCGGCTTCGTTTGAGTTATAAATTAAACTACATCATATATAAGAGGCTTAATTAAGGAAAGCTTAAGTTACCGGGACCTGAGCTCAACCGACACCGTTACCGCAAATCTAGTCTGAAATCGATCAAATAACATACTGTTTTTCTTTTTTTTCTCATAATTCATTGTGTTGCCATCGGAAGGGTATTTTGAACCCTCGAAGGCATTACAGACCCAAGCGCAGCCGTGAATGGTAGTTTAGCACTTTCGCATAATATCAGTATCTGGTATATGCCAAGTCCGAGTGACACTTCCTGATCATAGCAACCAATTACATAATCCACCCTTGAACAACGCTCCAAAACTCTCCACAACACACGCGCGCACAGATATCCCGCCATGGACTTTGAAGATGACACCAAGCGGAGCTTCTATGGGCACTTTCTTGAGATGCAGACAGGTACATTCATAAGTTAACATATCCGCTAGAATATAACCCATGCTAATCCGGCGCGTAGCTCTCGAGGCTCAAATCGAGAATCTCCCAGGCGTAGACGCCTCCGTGCGACCAGAAGCTATAGACGCGTGCCTAGCGTCCATAGCGCAGCTCTCGGGCGTCGTAAAGGACGCGAGCTCCTACCTGCCTGCTTATGACCAGCGGTCGTACTCTGAGGTATGCGAAGGCCTTTCTGCCTTTCTACCTATACAGGTGTTCACAGTTGGTTGTTGCAGACAATCCGCAACCTCTCTGAGAAGCTCGCAGAGATGCGACGGTCTCTAGCACCGAAACAGAAGTTCTCGTTCAAGAACCGCAAGAAGGACACCAGCGCGGGCATCGGCGGTGCTGTCAAGTTCTCCTCCACACACAGCACAGAGAAGCCTGCGGCGGTCCCAGCCGTCCCCGAGGCCAACAACCTCGTCATATCCCAGCAATCCGGGAAAAACCTACGCCCCGACCCGCCAGCAGCGGCAAGCTCCTTCTCATCACTGCTATTGTCGGAGATTGAGGGATGTGTGGTTTTGTTCCCAGCAGGACAGACATTTTTCAAGAGCGCGTCTGTGAAGGGCATTAGCAGATCATTATTGTTTCTCGGGGGCGCGGTGAATGGGCCGTTGCATGTTACAGGATTGAGGGATGTAACCATTGTGGTGGCATGTAGACAGCTGCGGATGCATGAGGCGGTGAATGTGGACCTGTATCTTCTGTGCACGTCAAGACCGATTATCGAGGACTGCAGTGGGGTTAGATTTGCGCCATTGGGGAAGGAGGGCTTGGGGGAGGTATGGGAGGGTGTTCAGGGAAATATGTGGGAGCAGGTCGACGACTTTAAGTGGTTGAAGAGCGAGCATAGTCCGAATTGGACGGTATTGCCGGAGAGCGAGAGGGTGAGTGCGGAAAGGTGGGAAAAGGTTAGGGAAATGGGTCTAGACGAGGGATTGAAGGCTTTTGTTAACAAGAGTACTACTTCGTAGGGTTACTAATAACTAATATATTATATTCTTAGAACTATCTACATTACATGCAGATTTTTGATGCAAACAAATTCCATTCCTCAGAGCTGTGGTTGGTCAATGATAGATACGACCTACATATTATCACAAACCAAAGCCCGCCGCATGCATGATGATGATGGCATTGACACTGATGTGCCGCGCTGCGTGCATCCCGCTAAGCGAGCGGTATTGTGCTTGTGTAACCATGAAAATTTACAACCTTGGCAAAAAACTGCCCACACCATGTAGTGGACTAGATCGTGCTTAGTGCGGCGAATAATTTCTTTCCGCTGTATGGAGGTGCTAGCACTGGGTACATACTCTAGATCTCTGTCTGTCTTCTGCCCTGGCCCCCGCTCTCCCCTTCACTGAACTGTGATGCTGAGGAGCAGAAATCGCAGGCAGCTCAATCGCGAGTAGGTAACAACTCAAATAATATGCTCTCTCTTGTCCGTTCACTGCCGCCAAAACATGGCGGCCGACATTGCTATTTGCCCCAACCCCGCCGCTGGTTTGCTACGAACAATATTGAGAACCTTCACCGCCGCAATGCCCGGATGTCCATGCTCCATTCTCTGCCCGCGGGAGTAAGAGGATATGCGACTAATACTGAAATTGAGAAGGGTAAAGCGGAGGAGAAAGAGGGGGAGGGGGAGGGTGAGAAGAAAGGTATGGTTTAATTACATATGCAAAAGCTGCAAAATAATGAATACAAAACACTTATACCTCCGCTCAATAGACCTGCCTCGCTTCAATGCTCTCGGCGTGCAACAACTCTCTCGCAAAGTCCATTCCCAAGTCTTCTCCGGTGAGCCCGCCCCGCCGCCGCCTGAACTCGTGGAACTTTCCATCTCCCACTTGAAGCGGCATGGCCTCTATGGGAAAAATACCGACCAAAACCCGCCCATCTCCTTCGACCTGCCGCCGCTGCGTGGCACATCAGGAACGCTCGATGAGCATTTCTACCAGCTCGGATTGACCGCTTCAGATCCCTACCTGAAATACGCAAAGGAGTTTGCCGGCGTCGACCTTCAGCCGCCGCCGCAGCCAGGAACGAAATGGAAGCGGTGTAGCGGGTGGACCATGTATGGCCGCGACGGGAAGGCAACGCAGGTCGATTATCCAAAGGATAAAATGCTGGTGTTTGATGTCGAGGTGCTGTACAAGGATTCGCCATTCGCGGTAATAGCTTGTGCAGCGGGGACAACGGGGTGGTATGCGTGGGTGTCGCCCTGGATCCTAGGGAAGTCAGAGACGGATCGGCATCTAGTCCCGCTAGGATCACCGGACTCCAAGCGTATTATCGTCGGTCATAATGTGGGCTATGACCGCGCGAGGATCAAGGAGGAGTACAGTTTGAGGAAGTCTAAATTTGCATTTTTAGATACAATGTCACTACATGTAGCGACAAACGGGATGTGCTCGAGACAGCGCCCAACGTGGTTAAAACATCAGAAGTTACAGAAGATGAAGGAGGGGACGCCGAACATGGATGCCATGTCGCAGGATACGGTGGATATGCTTCAGCTGGAAGAGGAGGAGGAGGCGTGGATTGCGCGGAGCTCTATCAACTCCCTACAAGAGGTAGCGCTCTTCCACTGCGATATCAAAATCGACAAAGGAGTGCGCGACCAGTTCGGAATCATCAACAGAGAGGGGGTCTTGGAGCAACTCGATACCTTACTCGACTACTGCGCGGCAGACGTATCGGCAACCCACAAAGTTTACCAGAAGGTCCTCCCTAAGTTTCTCGAGGTCTGCCCACATCCCGTGAGTTTCGCGGCGCTGCGGCACCTCTCCTCAGTACTCCTCCCCGTCGACAAGACCTGGGAGGACTACATAAAGCGTGCAGAAGATACCTACATAGAGACCTCAGAGGCCATCAAAAACCGCCTAATAGACCTCGCAAATGACGCTCTGGCACATAAAGACAACCCGGAGGCATTCTTAGAGGATCCGTGGCTGCGACAACTAGATTGGACTATACCGGAGACTAGGAAGGTCAAGGTCAAGGGCCAGGTCAAAGGCGAGGTCAGCGAGCGGCCAGCAAAGAACCAAAAAATGCCCGGCGTGCCCAAGTGGTATAAGGATTTATTTGCGGCCGGCGAGGCGGGAAATATAAAGATTAGCGTCAGATCAAGGATTGCGCCGCTACTACTAAAACTTGCATGGGATAAGAAGCCGCTGGTATGGTCGGATGTATATGGGTGGATAGTAAGTGTGCCGGTTAGTGAGAAGGCCGATTACGAGGACAAGCCCCTGGTCAGATGCGATATGGGTGAAGAGACAAATGAGCTTCTAAATAATGATCAGGAAAATATCTACTACAAGCTCCCGCATAAGGATGGACCGACGGCAAGATGTGTGTCGCCGCTGGCGAAGTATTATCTGAAATACTTTGAGGACGGAATGCTTTCCTCCCCGCACCCTCTTGCGAAGGAAGCATTGGAGATGAACGCTGAGTGTTCGTATTGGATCTCGGCGCGGGAGAGAATCAAGGGCCAAATGGTGATCTACGAGAGTGACGTAGAGAAAGGCCACCTGACACAAGGGATGACTAAGAAGGACCAAGCTCAGGATAATCCAGAGGTGGGGATAATCCTGCCGCAACTTATCCCTATGGGAACGGTTACGAGAAGAGCGGTAGAGAGAACCTGGTTGACGGCCAGTAACGCAAAGAAGAATCGTTTAGGCTCGGAGCTTAAGGCAATGATCAAAGCACCTCCAGGGTACGTCTTTGTAGGCTCCGATGTAGATTCACAGGAGCTCTGGATTGCAAGTTTGGTGGGAGATGCGCAGTTTAAATTGCATGGCGGAAACGCTATTGGGTTCATGACACTCGAGGGTACAAAGGCTGCCGGGACGGATTTACACTCAAAGACAGCAAGTATCCTGGGAATCTCCAGAAACCACGCAAAGATCTTCAATTATGGAAGAATCTACGGCGCTGGTGTCAAGTTTGCCTCAGCTCTCTTAAAACAATTCAACCCCACCCTACCCGACACCGAGGCCGATCAGACGTCACAAAACCTCTATAAAGAGACTAAGGGCACGAAAACAAAACATACACTCATTCACGACCGTCCCTTCTGGCGGGGCGGAACCGAGAGTTTCGTCTTCAACAAACTAGAAGAGTTTGCAAACCAGGACTTACCTAGAACCCCTGTTCTGGGAGCAGGTATCACGGAGGCTTTGAGAAGAGAGTATTTGACTACAAATGGATTCATGCCGTCGAGGATCAACTGGGCGATTCAGTCCTCGGGTGTGGATTATTTGCATCTATTGATCATCGCGATGGAACACCTTATTGATAGATTCATGCTGAGGGCAAGGCTGGCAATCACGGTGCATGATGAGATTCGGTATCTAGTAAAAGATGATCATAAATATCATGTTGCGATGGCGCTTCAGATCGCAAATCTCTGGACTAGGGCAATGTTTTCGCAGCAAATGGGCATCGAAGATCTTCCGCAGGTACGTTTGCATCGTATTGAATTCATTGACAGTAGTGTTGACTAACAAACTCATAGTCTTGCGCATACTTCTCCGCCGTCGACATCGACAAGGTCCTGCGTAAAGAAGTGGACATGGACTGCATCACACCCTCACATCCGAATGCTATTCCCCCAGGAGAGTCCATTAACATGACCAAACTCCTCGATACTCTCAAGAAGGGTGGGACTACATTCTTCACGGATTCACTCGCACAGGGGCGGCGCCTGAACTCAAAGGAGCTAAAGGATGAGGAGTATACCCCGCGCACCCCCGTAATGGAGCAGCTCCAGGGGGGGGCCAATATACCCTTCCTCCAAGCACAAAACGCCGATGACGAAGAGTTTCGGAGGCTTGTCAGTGAGCTTAAAAAGAAATACATGTTCCCGAAATACAAGAACGCGAAACCTTCTCCCATGGAGGATATGATCTGGAACGCACCGCCCGTGGTTGCAAAGACATACGAAGAGACTCACGAAGCGGTCTCCTCGAGCGTTGAGGGCCTGAAGTGGAAGCCGCTCCCAACAAATAGCTCTTCCCGCGCTAAGAAGCCGCTTGCAATGTCGCTGGAGTTCAAGCTAGAGGTTCAAGAGGCTAGAAAGCAAATGGCAGCCGAATCCAGGAAGTTGAATCAGGTCAAATCCGGCACAAGCAAGCTAGCTGTACGAAGAATCAGGTCAAATCCGGCACAAGCAAGCTAGCTGTACGAAACTACCTATACAAAGGTTAAAAAGTACATGTAATGATATGCAGGTGTATATATTTTTTCTTTCTCTTTTTATCTTTCTTTTGTTTAGGGTTGGCATCTTATAGGGCGTTTATTATATTTTATCTTCTTTTTGGTGTTTTATAGGATATTCTAGACGAAGGTGGCGGATGGTGGCGGTATTTACGTTTCGTTGAGCTATTTTGTTTGGGGAGTTGGTTCTCCGGGAGCAGTTAGTGAGCGCCAGTTACTTCAGGAATCAAAAGTTTCTTATAACATTTACCATTATTATTCATCTTCAACCCTCTTTGTTTAGGTCATGTAATATCACTCGGCAAGTTTCTCCGACACATATACGCCCCTTTCCATTTTTATTTTTTATTTTTTGGGCGACAGTATTATTTGGGCGTCCTCTAAGAATCGAGGCAAATTATCTCAAGCCATCCTGGAACCAAAGCTCAGATCAAAACTGAAAAACAGTTTCCGTGTGAACAATCATTTCCTGCCAAGACCTCACTCTAAGTCATATACACAGCTCCTTTAGGAACTGTCGCGCAGGCATGGCATTTTGCGTTTGGGATACTCATAAGTATATTCATTTGTGTCCCTGCAATAGAATTTTGGTTTTTATGTCAATCATTTCACGACCGGCCTCCCCCAAACGCACTTATGAAATTGATATCCCTCATAACATATGGGGTCGCAAGCTAGGCCGGCTTAGTTCCAGTGTTGGTTCTCACTCACTACGCCACACGAGAATCTCTGTATGCTGGGAAGACTCGTAAATCCATGGCACCGGGTGTAGGGTTAGGTTTGATTTTTCTTCTTTTTTACACTAAACTGCCTTTTGCTATAAAGATCAATAGGTCATGTGCAGCGAATCCAAGCTTGTGATGGGCGTCTCTGGTAGACTGGTGCCATTGACAGGGAGTCGTTCTAAACACACAGCGCGGCGCCACTGAAAGCCAAGCCGAGTGATAGCCTATGACTGCACCCGTCAGTCACGAGAACTCTAGCAAAGGAGGGACATAGGCTGGCATTCGGATTTACCGCTTCTAACCAAGGCCCATCAAAAGCCTATTCTTCAAGTATATAGCTAGACATACACACTGCATGCTTATATTCCGGCGGCGACATTTACTAGAGAAAAGAGAATAAATAGGCTGGTGACATATATACATTTTATTACACCCTCCCTGCGGGGTCTGCTCTGCTCTATTTCCCCACGGTATCCCTCGCAACAATCGCCTTCAGTCCCGCACACGCCACACCCACGCCCCAGCGCACCGTCGCCGTCTCCGCCTCCTCCCCCGCCACATCCGTGCCCTTAACATACTTCCTTAGAAAGTACAGCACGCTCCTCGCCAAGTCCACGTTCTCCGCAATCCGCATAAACACATCCATCACAGCCTTCTCATCCCTGCCGCCCTGCCCTGCCGCCGCCGCCGCCACCGCATTCCGCTGCGAGTGCAGCACAACATTGATAAACAGCAGCTCCAGAAACGTCCTTGTCCGGCTCTGCAAATACGCCATGTTGAGCGTCTTGAGCACGTCCAGCCCCAGCGCGCCCTCCGCAATCAGGCTGCCATACATACGTGCCCAGTTCACCGTCCTGCGCATCCTGAGCCCCTCGTCCCCCTCCTCCTCGTCGTCGAACGCCTCGCCCGCCGCAGCCCGCCCGCCGTCGTCCTCGCCCATGCGCCGGAAAATGTCCCAGAGGCAGAACGTGAAGGTCATCTTGAGCGACCGCTGGCCGCAGAGCTTCCGCGCGATGAGCGTGTAGTACGGGTTGTAGGAGGCCTCGCTGCCGCAGCAGTGCACGAGCACGCGCGGGATCTCGGGCTCCTGCTTGCGCTTGAGCCGCAGCTTGAGGAGGCGGTTGTGCGCGTCGGTGTAGTCTTCGGCGGACATGATGGTCACGAAGATGGAGCGCCGGACGTCGGTGTTCATGCGCTGTTGGCGGGCGAGCTCGACGAGGTCGGTGATGGTGCCGAATTCGCTGTCGGGCTTTTTGGTCTTCTTTGTGGGCTTTGAGGAGGAGGAGGAGGAGGAGGAGGAGGGGGTGGTGGTGGTGGTTTCTGCGGGTGCGGTCTCGGCGGAGGCTTGGTTGCCGATCCAGGAGGCGCCGACGAGCCACCATTTGCCTTTGGTTTCGGTGTTGCGGATGTCGTCGAGGGAGGCGCGGAGAGGCTCGGTGGCGCGGAGGTGCCGGGTGTTGAGAGAGCCAAGGATTTTGCGCATGCGCGAGGTGGATTGCGATGTTACGGCGGAGGTGGCAGTGGTGGATTTGAGACGGTTGTTCTTCAGGTTGGTGAGCGTTTCAATCATGAATTTTGTGCGGACGCTCATGTTGGCTGTGCCGATTTTGTTGATTGCGGGCTGCATCATGACGACGAGGTCCTTCAGTGCCGTGGGGTCGTCCTGCCGTAGCTGTGTGCCGGAGTCTGGTAATATCAATGTAGTTGTTAGTCCGTATTCTTATAAGAGGTCATAGATACATAGTGGGGAAAACGTACTGCGCACAATCTTCAACAGTAACTCTGTGTTGAGCTCCGTAATCTCCCCCAAAAAGATCCTGATAAGATCAAACATCAGGCCGCAGCCCACAACCTGGAAATTATAGAGCTCGGCCAGAAAGCTCATCAAATTAGTGCACTCCTTGGTCCCTGACGCTGGGTTCTCAATGCCGTTTGTCTTCTGGTAGTGCACATCGAAATTCTCAACGATCCGCTGCACAATGTGCGCGCCAAAGTCGGTGCCTATGAGCTTATACAGACCGGCAACTAACCCGGCGTGCAGGATCATGAACGTGTCCATGAGCGACGACGGATCGCAGACAATGGTGATGAGAAGGTCGGAGAGCGTTGCTGTGACATGGGCACGCGGATTACTGCGGTACAGGGCTTCGATCTCGCCGAGGATGGGGAGGAGGTTGGCTTCGGAGAGACGGTTTATAAGACCCTTGCAGGTGCGTTGTAGGCGCTGAAGGAGCTCGCTGTCGGTTGTGGGTGCGCCGCGGAGAGAGGGGGGGATGTATTTGCTGGTGCTAGCGGCGAATTTTGGGGCTTCGGTGGTGGAGGGGGTGGCGGCGGGTGAGTCTATTGGCTTTTCTGAGGAGGGCTCGTCGTCTTTTATGCCCATGAACTCCTCTTCGTCTTCGTCGTCTTCGTCGTCTTCGGGAATGTCGTCTTCGTCTTCACTCGGGTCCTCGTCGTCCTCGTCAAGGTCCATGCCGTCGAGTATATCGTCCAGCCTATCCTCCTCATCCTCCTCGCCGCTCTCCTCATCACTGATATCCATTTCCTCCGGTTCTGGCTCCGGCACCGCCTTCGCCGTCTTCCTTCTCTTCGCCCCACCCTCCCTCTCGGCCAGAAAGTCCTCGTCCAGCCCTTCCATCAAGAAGTCCAGCCCATCCTCCTGAAACGATGCCGGCAGCTTCTTGCTCTTGATCTTGAGCTTCTTCTCCAGCGCACTGATCTCCGCATCGTCCTCGGCCAGCTTGTCCTTGACCGCCCTCCTTATGTGCGGCCTGCTGCTGCTGGTCTCATCCTTCTCCTCCACCGCCGCCCGTGTTTCGGGCCGCTTCGTCTTCTTGAGGATCGACTTTGGTTTCTCCTCCTCCTCCTTCTTCTTTTTGGGCTTTGCTTCCTTCGCTACCGGCGGCGCTTCTTCCTCGTCGTCGTCGCTGTCGTCGTCGGCGCCGGCCTGCGAGTGGATTGGTTGCGGCGGCCCGTGGTTCGCAAAGTGTATGCGCTGCTTCTTCTTGACATCGCGCTCCTGTCGCCGGCGCTCTTTGCGGTCTGGGAGACGCTTGTTCTTGCCGCCCTTGCGCCGCGAGTTTGCTGGGTTGTCTGTATACTAGAGGTCAGCCAGGGAAAATTGAATTGAATTGCGACACGGCATCGAGGTTGGTTTGGGGGGGGGGGGAATACCGAGGCCGAGTTCTTGTACTAGCTCCCGGGGGAGGCGGGTCGTGCTTGTTTTAACTGGACGCGGCATTTTGGAGGCGGGGGAGCGGAATTGGCTGTTTGGCGGGTCTGGTTGGAGCGTGCGAGTTTGGTGGGAAAGCTGCGAGAAAATTCGGGGGTTAGGGTTGGGGGGGGGAGGCTCTGCGGTGGGGCTAGTGCGAGTAGCTAGTACGGAACGGGGTAGCGTGCCGGGGAACGTTAAATAATGTAGGCTTAGTCAGTTGGAATTTGTGAGCATGGATACACCTAACCCTACGTACATTGGCTGGCTCAAGTAAGGAAATGAACTGAAAGCCAGCACCACGCCTGGTGCAGTAGTCACCAGGGCTGTTACCTTAGTTCTTGAGTGAATCAAACCGCGCCGGGTCGAAGGTTCGATTGCCACCTTGGGGGAGGATGTGCCTCATTACCACATCCTTTTGTCCCCGAGTGGAAATTACATATTTTTATGTGTCTTATTTGTATCCCGCTGCTATATTTTGATGTTTTTTTTTTGAATACTAGAATTAAGAACATCTCCAGGCCACGTTTAGCTTAGGATCATCAAGGTCATCATCCACAAGTAGCTTCTTTCTCCCGGGACAGCGGGCAAGGCCAGCCTCGATCTCCAGCCCCCACCACTCAGCGCTTCCTCCTGTAGAGAAACCTGAACACCCTCATATCCTAATTTATTTCATTCTAGAGTTTTTTTCAGTTTCTTCCGGGGGGATTGATGGGAGATAAGAGGAGTACGTGAAGTTTTTTTTTTTTTTCACAGACGGACAAATAGATTAAAAGAACCATGCCACCTTACCATGATACAATATAAAGTACTACATTACGTGCACCTCTCTAATAGCACAAAAGACCAGTTGTCATTAGGACACGGGCATACATATTTATAAGGGAAGCGAGGGCAGCCCTCTCCTCTTCTTCTTCCTCTTCATCACCAAGTGAAGGAGTCATCTATCAGCCTTTCGTATTACTTCATGCCGGCGAAGGCGAAGAAACCGGCCTATGGAACCAAATAGCGTTTCCTACGCATAGGAACATCGGTGCATGTCAATTTAGCCACGCCGGCGAGAGCATGATGCTAGCCGAAGAGTGGTGGAGCGCTCGACTACGGACGATGTTGACATGATTGTGGTGATAGTTTGTGGGTGGCTAGGGCCAGGGTTGAAAAAGTGTCCCGAGTGAGAGATCATGACTTCAACCCCAAGTTGCGTTTGAGTTTATATTGGCACGATAGCTTCCCATCACATCCCTTCACATCCACCAATTTCAAACTGAATCCATTTGCAAAAACAAGAAAAATAATTACTTTTTGAGCCCCCCCCCCCCCCACAACCGGAATTTACAAAGTTAAAGACAATACGCAACGACGAGTGATAATACATGATCTATCCACGAATAACAAGGCTCACTAGGGCTTGATCTCAAATAGTCTTACACTTCCTGCCTCGTTCCCGATGGCCACCATGCCCGTCTCCTTGCCGGCAAAGGCTACGGTCGTGACTTTGCCCAGCGGCGTTTTGCTGGTGGGCCAGTTCTTGTATACCGTGCAGCTGGGAAGATGGACTGCAGGCACACATGAGTTAGCATTATTCCAAAGAGCTATGAAAAGAAGAAGAAGAAGAAAAATAAAAGACTCACTCATCCTCAGAGCATCCTTCTTCCCCCGACTGGCCATGCAGAGCACCTGCGCATCCGGCGAGAACTCCAGCACGCTGATCGCCGTCACCAGCTGCTCCATAGCCCTCATCGGCTTTGGCCCCTCCGGTGTCCCCACCGCGCCCACCGCATTCCCACCAAACGAGAGCTTGCGGTCATAGATGTTGACGATACCGCTCTGGGAACCAACCGCCACCCACCTACTACCGCCGTTCGCCACCACCGTCGTTGCAAACCCTCCCTCGTCTCTCCACCGGGCCGTGAATGCGCGCGCCACAACATCATACTCCCACAGCTCGCCGCCCTTATTCGCAATCGTCAGCCCGGACCCATCGTGGTACCATGAAACGTCCTGGACCCGCCCCTCGACGGCGGCCAGCGCAACCCACTGTAGGGTCTTGGCGTCGAGAATGTTGACGCGCCCTTTCGAGCCGAGGATGGCCATGAAGCGGCCATCGGGAGAGAGCTTGAACCTCTCCATGCTCTTCTGCTCCTCCTGATGCCCGTACACTCGGGTCACCTTCTCGACGGCGCCCGACTCAAGGTCCCACACATGGAAGTACCTTCTGCGGCCACTGGCAAAGACACGCTTCCCGTCTGGGTGGAACCAGGCACTGTTGATCGGGGTGCGGCGGATATGCAGCGACGTCGCCGGGGGGTTGACCTTGCCATCAATGTGGTGCAGGCGCAACGTCGAGTCGAAGCCGGACGAGAGGACCAGCGGGTGCGAGGGGTGGAAGTGCAGCGCATTGATGCCGGACTGGGAGCCACCGCTGTGGTTCGCGTCAGTGAGGCGCGCAATGTTGAGGACCTCGGGCTTGAGCTTGCCGCTGGCTGCAGGCCTGGTCCAGTTTTGCGTGCTCTGGAGGAAGTCGGAGAGCGGCGGCGCGGTGAGGGCGGTGTTGTCGTCGTCAATGTCCATATCGGAGCCCGAGGAGCTGCTGGACGAGTCGCGGCGCCGGCGCTTGTGCTCGGGGGAGGGGGGCCTGGCCCAGTCGGGGATGGGGTAGACTCGCTCGAACCTGTGCGCTGGTCAGATTTTCTTCTATAGGTCTTGGGAGAGGAATGTTCTTACTGGCGCCGCAATCGCCGTGAGTATTCGTGCCCGTTGACGAAGTCGTCCATCTCGGTTTCCCGCAGCTTGCGGCGCTGGTTAACAGACGCAAGTGAGATAGTCAGGCGCTCATCATCGCTATCCACCCAAGCCGCCACAGCCTCCCCGCCCTCCACATCCACCCCCGCCGTCTCCGCACCCTCCTCGTCCTCACCACGAACCGCAATCGTCCCCGCGCCAGGTCCCAAGCCCGCATCCGTGAAAAACAACTACACACACACCTCCCCGTCAGCCAATTGCCCCCAAAACCCACACCACAAACAGCAGAAAAGAAAACGAACCTCATCATCCGCCAACGCCGCCAGGTCCTCCCCAGGCCCGCCCACACCTTCTTCTGCTCCCCCCTCTACAGCATCGTCACCCCCCTCGTCGTCGGAAGAATAGTACTTCTCAAGCGCACCCGCGTTCTCGCGCAGGCTCTGCTGGAAGCCCGATAGGTCGCCGAAAACGAGCTTTTCGAGCTCGAGCTCGGCGTCGTCCTTTGGCAGCGGTGTGCGGTCTTCTTTCGGGGGGCGCTCTCGCACAGCAGTGGTGGGTTTACGGGATTTCTTAGCCATTTTGTGTAGGAATTGGAATTGGGGGTTTGGTAGGAATTGGGGGTTTGTGGGGGTTGGTGCTGGGTGCTGGGTTTGGTGGGTTTTGGGAGTTTTGGGAGGGTCGAAAAGTTTTGGTGGGAGCGAAATTTTGAGCCTCGTGCGGCGCTAGGCTGCATTGGGGGTTTGGAGGGTGGGATCATGGGAGAGCACTCGGTGTGTGCGGTGTGCGTCACGGGTGGTCACTCGGTCGTTTCCACCGCAGAATCCGCACACTCACGATGGGCCTGTAATTGTAGTAGATGACTGATTGGACTTGTACATAAAAGACAAATGATTGATAGTAGTATTCTCACTGTATCTTACCCAACCCCCATTTACACACACACACAACGCAACAAAACACATCTATTAAGAAAACAAAACCCCAAACTTTTAATAAATTATATACAGCTCTAATTACCTCTACCTCTTCTTCGTCCTCTTGTACTCGTTCGCCGCCGCGCCCTCCTCCGTCTGTATCATGGCCGTGAGCTTCGCCATCTTGGCATGGTACTCCTTGCTCTTCTTCTTGTCCTCCTTGAGCTTCTCGCGCGCCACGAAGCTGCTGTCCTTGCGCAGCTCGCGCAGCGCGCCCTTGCGCTCGCGCTTGTGCTCGGCCTTGAGCTTGGCGAGCTGCAGGCGCTCCTTGTCCGGGTCGTAGGAGCGCTTGTCGGCGCTGTAGGACTCTTCGAACTTGGGGATGAAGGTCTTGATGGGCAGCGGCCGGTGGTGGTGCAGCTCGAGGGGGCGGCGCGTGTGCGTGGCGTGCGCGAGGGCCGTGGTGAGGGTCGCGAGGGTGGATTTCAGCTTGGTCTGGAGTGCAATAGTTAGCTTAGATTCTGTAAGTGTGAAAAAGGGGGGGGGGGGGGGGGGGTGAATGAACCTTGACTTCCCGACTCAACCTCCCGCTACACTCCCTCCCACCCATCCACGCCACAACCTCCGCTGCGGGCCCAAACACCTCACCAAACGCCTTCTTCCCGCCCCACAGCGCCGCGAACCCCTCTGTTAGCGATAACAACGTGCACAGCAGCACACACCGCGTGTCCTCCTTCTCATCCCCAAAGATGTCCGCAAACGCCATCTTCCGCGCGCCCCCCACGTGCGCTTTCGTGATCCGCAGCGCAGAGCTATCATGGTACAGGAAGTTCCCCGGGACAGGCACTTGCGGGACCGGCGCGAGGAGGGAGAGGCCCTGCAGCACGAAGCCGATGGCCTCGGGCACGAAGCGCCGCGAGAGCTTCTGGTACTGCAGGCAGAGGGTTGCGAGGTATGCGCCTGTTGATAGGCGCTGCAGGGTCGTGGGCGGGGTCTGGGACAGCCAGCGGGCGAGCACGATTGTGGCGGGCGTGACGACCTGGTGGAAGTGGTCGGACGTGGGGTAGATTGTTGCCACGGCCGCGAGGAGGACCAGGTCGGCGGGTGTGAGGTCGGCGCGGTCGTGGGCGGCTTGCAGGTGGGTACGGAACGCGTCTGCGACGGGGACGGGGTGGGATTTGGACAGCGCGTGGAGGTGGCGGGTGAGTGTTTCGATGGCGGGGAATGGGGGGGTGGGGGTGGGGAGGTTGGAGAGGTGCAGGATGTGGGCCAGGAGCACGGGGGCGAAGACGGCGAGCTTGGCTTTGTTGTCGGCGTGCAGCTTGGGGTGGTGCAGGATGCGGATGCGCTGGATTATGGTTGGGTGGTCGCTGGGCGGGATGGCGGCGGTGATGGCGAGCAGCTCGGCGGGCGTCTGCGGGCACGGGTAGGTGTAGGCGGGCTCGGAGGAGGAGGGCGCGGCGCGGTGGAGGGCGAGGGTGAGGGCTCCGCTGCTGCTGCTGCTGCTGCTGCTGTCGCGCGGCATCAGGTCGGCGAGGAAGTCGTCGTCGCCGTCGTCGTCCTCCTCCTCGTCGGAGCCCGCAGCAACCTCGGCGTCAGAGTCGTAGTCGTCGGAGAACTCGGCGCCGCTGCCGTCGACATTTCCATCCTCGTCCACGTCGACGTAGCCGTCCTCGGAGGCTTCGGAGACCTCGGAGACCTCGTAGTCGCCGTCGAGCAGCTCGTCGGGGTTCTCCTGCGCCTGCTCGGCGGCGGCGGCGTCGGGGATGCCGCGCCCGAGGCCGTACTCGGTGGCGTCGCCGAACTCAAAGTCGTCGTCGTCGGCGGCGGCGGCCTCTTTGGCGGCGGTGCGCTCGTCCTCGCTGTCTTCCTCGCCGCGCATGCGGCGCTGGCGGGCCTCTTCGAGCTTGCGCAGGCGCTCGCTCTCCTCGAGCGCCTTCTCCTCGGCCGTCTTTGTGCGCTCGGCGGGCTGCGAGCGCTTGTCGTAGACCATCTCCCGGACACGCGCGTCGTACTCGGCGTCCTCCTTGCCCTCCATCTGCGCCAGCCTGCCCGGGTTGATCTTGCCGTCGTCGTCGTCGCCGCCGGCCTTCCTCTCCGGCCGGGGCTCGTCGCGGCCTGGGATCGGCTCCATGTTAGCGCCCGTCCCCGGGGCGTCGCCTCTGATCACCGGCTGCCGTCCGAGGAGGGCCCAGATGTCCGACATCTGCGCGTCGAGCTTCTCGCGCTCGTCCTCGTCGTCCTCTTTCGCCTTCTGGCGCTCGTACTTGTGCAGCTTCGACTTTGCAATGACCTCCTTCATGACCTCCGCCTTTGACTTTTTGCGCTCCGGCTTCTTCTCGCCGTCGCTGTCCTCCTCGTCGTCGTCGCCGCCGCCGCCGCCGCCGCTGCCCGTGTCGTTGGGCCCCGCGTCGGGGTCGAGCCGCCGCTTCTTGCTGAGCCGCCGCTCAAGCATGTCGTCGTCGGACGCCAGCATCTCGTTGCCGTCGTCGAAATCGTCGGCGCCGAGGCTCTTGCCAAAGTGCGTCAGCTGGTCCTCGTCGCCGTCGTCGAGGTTGAAGATGCCGCCGCCGCCGCCGCCCCGCGCGCGCTTCTGCTTCTCCTTGGTGAAGCGCTCGAGCATCTTTTCTTCGGGCGTCATGGTGGGGTCGTTTTCGCCGAAGCGGCGGTCGACGATGCCGCCGGCTTTGTGCTTGCGCTGCATTTCGACGAGGAGCGTGCGTTTTCTCTGTGGTAGCACCATTATACCAATTAGCCATCTTCAATCCACAATCCACAACCCCAATTACCAATTCCCAATTCCAACCCCAATCCCCAATCTCCAATTCCCAATTCCAAAATCAAAACTCATAGAACACATACATTCTCCTCCCCAATCTGCTTACTCAGCCCCGGCCGTCCCTTCGCGCCCTTGATCTGGCCGCGGCCACTGATGCTATGTTTCTCCCTCGTCGTCTTGATCTCGAACGGGTTGAACTCCTCGCGGATGCTCTGCAGCGCCACATTGCGGTCCAGGCGCTTGGTGGAGGAGCCTGCAGCGGCCGCTTGCTGTTGCTTGGCGCGGACAGAGGGCTTCTTGGATTTTTGGGGGCCCGTGATCCCCGCGGTGCGGAGAGACGCTTTGAGGCGCTTGAGCTGCGATTCGCCCATGGTGGATGTGGTGGGGGTTGGTTTGGGGGGGGGGAGTCGGTGGTAGCTGGTGGAACTGAAATCGAAATATTGAAATTTTGGAGTGGCAGGGGTGCGGTGTGCCAAGAAGTGTAGGCAGGGTAAGTCGTGTGCTGTTGCTGCTGTGTATTGTGGCGCGTGGCGGTAGTCAAGCCACACAATGGTGATGTGTAGATACAAATTAGCGAGACGACAAAATTAGGGTTAACATATCTCTCGGTGATCAACGGACGTAGCATAGACGAACACTTAGATTACACGTACTCGCAATTTCACAGCGCTTCCGGACGCAACTGCTATTGCATGCCATACAAAAGATAGCCTTGGCAGGTTTTTTTCTGTGTATGCGATAGCAGTTGCGTCCGGAAAGCTGTGGAATTGCGAGTAGTTTACGTCTCTGTCACTCTTAGACTATCATCCCCTCATCGATCCCTTCGTCTGGTCCCGGTAATCACAACATGACGGTGTCGTGATGGACACAATTTTAACGAAATACAGTATTCCACTACCTTTTAGAGAAATTTTGTATGAGTAGAACGCGGGACAAACGAAGGGATCTCTCGTCAGGTTTGCGTTCATCGTTGTTTATGATTCACGTAGCTATGTTCTGGACTATGTAGACTCTAGAGAACACAAGAAACAGCCTGCGAGGGAGATGCAGCACGGTGAGTGATTACCTGTGACGCAACAGAGGCGCTAAGATAGCGATCTCTTTTTTTTTTTTTTTTTATCAACGACCGCAACCCCACACCAAGATACAACCACCACAACCTCACCCTCACCCACAACGGCCCACAGATCCCAAACAATTCACAGGCCAGAAAGAAAAGAAGAAAAAAAAAAATATAGCACAGAGAGACTCTCACCCACACTCACACACCACCCCCCATCATGGTCTCCGCGGTGCACTCCCACCGCCCCACCATCAAGGCAAACAACAAGTCCTTCAAATCGCGCCATGCCACCAAGTCCTCCATCCGAGCCAAGAACAAAGGTACCTACCTCCCCCTCTCCCTCCCCCCCCCCCCCCCAAAAAAAAAAAAAAAAAAAAAAAAAGCACCATCTAACACAGTCCACCCAGGCAAAATCGAAGACCCCGACCCCTCAGCCCGCAAGTCGCCGCACCAGCAGCTGATGTCCAAGCTCGACCGGCGCAACAAGGCGCGCCAACTGCAGCAGAACAAGCACAAGGACCTCGTCAAGGAGACGCGCATCTTCGACGGCCGCAAGGGCGCGCCGCGCATTGTGGCCGTGGTCCCGCTGTGTGAGGACGGCGATGCGAGGGCGGCGGTGAGGCAGTTGCTGGGGAGCTTGGAGCTGGAGGGGGATGTGCCCGAGGTGGGCAGTCTGGTTACGAGGTATGCATACACATATATACACTATCTCTATCTCTAGCTACTACTGCGGTATCTATATAGGTTTATCTTTATCTCATGCTTACTTACTGCCCCAGCGTCGAGCGCTTCAAGCAGAAGCTGCAATGGCTCACCCCCGCCCGCGACCTCCTCCCCACCCTCGACGCATGCAAGCTCGCAGACTTCGTCGTCCTCGTCCTCTCCGCGCAGCAAGAAGTGGACCCCACCGGCGAGCTCCTCATCCGCAGCATCGAAGCCCAAGGCATCTCCAACACCACCGTGATCGTCCAGCACCTCGAAACAATCGACCCCCCCAAGCGCCGCCCGGATGTCAAAAAGTCCCTGCACAGCTACATCAGCCACTTCTTCCCCACCATCGCAAAGGTCAACTCCCTCGAATCCCCGCAGGAGGCGTCAAACGTCATCCGAACCCTCTGCACCCAGCACCCCAAGGGCGTCCACTGGCGCGACGCCCGCCCCTACATCCTCGCCGACGAGGTCCGTTGGACTGAGTCCGACGGCCTCGCTGTTGCCGGTGTCGTCCGCGGGAAGGGTCTCAATGCGGACCGCCTAGTCCACATCCAGGGCTACGGCGACTTCCAGATCGAGCGCATCTGCGAGTACCCCACCGCCCCCGCCGCCGCCGACTCCACCGACTCCATGGCGCTCGACAACACCGAGTCCGCCTCCGGCGGCGCCGTGCTGGCGACCCCCACCCCCGCCCAGGACACACTCGAGGACCTGGCCCCCGAGGCAGAGATGCAAGACATCTCTGACGCCGTCTCAGAGGCGCCCACAAACATGACGGACCGCCGCGGCGTCCTCCTCGACGACCACCACTACTTCGACGACGACATCGACGCCATCAACGTTCCCTACGAGGCGCCCCGGCGCCTCCCCAAGGGCACCTCCTCCTACCAAGCCGCCTGGATCCTCGACGAGGACAGCGACGCCTCGGACCTCGAAGACGAGGAGGATGTCGCCATGGTCGACGACGCCGTCGACCCCGCTGCCCCACGCCCCGAGGACGGCGTCGAGGGCCTCGCTGGGCCCGCGATGACGGAGGCTATGACCGAGTACGGCGACGACAAGAGCGAGATGTTCGTCGACCGCGGGCCCGAGCAGGAACTGGCCGAGATCGAGGCCTTCCGCCGTAACCGCGGCAACGCACTCGACGAGGACCGCGAGTTCCCCGACGAGATCGAGCTGCACCCTAACGTGGCTGCGCGGGAGCGCCTTGCGCGGTATAGAGGGCTCAAGTCGCTGCGCTCCAGCAAGTGGGAGACGGAGGAGGACAAGCCGTTCCAGCCGGAGAACTGGGAGCGGCTGGCGCGGATCGGGAATTATCGCGCCGTCAAGAACAAGGTTGTCAGCGAGGCGCTGGTGGGCGGCGTGGCGCCGGGGACGAGGGTGTGCGTGTACTTAAGGAACGCCCCGGCGGACGTGGAGAGGGAGTGGAGGAGGGGCGGTGTGTGCGCGCTGTATGGGCTGCTGAGGCACGAGCATAAGCAGGCGGTTGTCAACCTCTCGCTCACGCCGAGCGGCGAGTATGCGGACGCCGTGAACGACGGGCAGACACCCATTAAGGCGAAGGACGAGCTGATCGTGCAGGTGGGCCCGCGGCGGCTGGTCATCAAGCCGCTGTTCTCGCAGGCCGGCGGCACGGGGAAGAACGGCGTCGCCAAGTTTGAGCGCTACCTTATGCCGGGCCGTACGACCATTGTGACGGTCGTGGCGCCGGTGTGCTGGGGCGGGGTGCCGGCTGTGTTTTGGCGGCGACAGGAGGGGGGTGGGATGGAGCTGGTGGGGCATGGGAGCTTCGTTAATGTGGATCAGCAGAGGGTGGTCGCGAAGAGGGTGGTGCTGACGGGGCATCCGTTTAAGATACATAGGAAGCTCGTGACGGTGCGGTATATGTTCTTTAACGCGGAGGATGTGGCGTGGTTTAAGGCGATACCGCTGTTTACGAAGAGGGGGAGAAGGTATGTTACTCTATTCCTGATACTACTCCTGAGTTTAAGGGAGATGTATTGACGGTTTCTTTAGTGGTTTCATTAAGGAGTCTTTGGGTACGCATGGGTACTTCAAGGCTACGTTCGATGGGAAGATTAATCCCCAGGACGCAGTCGCTATCAGTGAGTTCTTCTCCATCACTTTCTTTCTCTGTTACATATCCTAACGTTGTGGCAGGTTTGTACAAGCGTGTGTTCCCCCGCGGTTCAGAGGAGTTCCGTGGGTAGAATTATTTTTCATGTGTACATGTTTCATGGGGAATTAGGGAAGTAAAGAAAGAAAAGTTATATACCAAAAAAGAAATCATACCCGGAGTATATTTATGATTCGATTTGGGGGGGGGGGGGGGGGGACTTTGTAAATAGAAACTAAAAAGTTTGGCGTTTGTTTTGCTTGGAAATATACCGAATTGGTTTTCCAGTTTTACTTTTACTTTACTCATCGTAATCATGGGTCTTAAGTTGTGATTTAGGTGAGATTGATAGGCGGGTAAAAGGTAATGATCCACCAGGCGGAAAATCAAACAACCCAGTTCCCTGTCTGTCGTCATGCATCGTCGTCATGGGCAGATCCAAATTTTTTTTTTTTCTTTCAACAAAAGTTTCCAGACGGTTCTCACCTCAAGAAATAATCGGAAGAACTCGCCCCGGCGTGCAATCTCCTGCTGCAAGTAAGATTGGGGGCAACAAGAAAACGTAATTGCCCTTGAAAACGAATCTAACACTTAGAGGTATAAATTTCCCCCAGAGGTCCTCCAAGAGCAGGTGGTGAGCAGGAGGCTCGCTTTGAATGTCACTTAGGAGTAACCCTCGCGTTGGATGTCACTTAGGAGTAAGATGCGCTCCGCTGGGGTGTCTTTTCGGTCTAACACTTAGAGGTAGGTGGTGACGGGACGGTTGCTACCCCTCGGGTTGGTTATCACTTAGGAGTAATAACTGCATGCCGACAACCCCTCCACGCCCCGATGGTCGGTCGGTCCGGTCACGAGTAAGTGCTGCCCCCCCCTCTTTCTTTGTAAAACCTGCTTTTTGCCTTTTTTTAAATTAATATCTGGGAGAAAGTCGTCCTCGTGATCTGTGTTTCACCGGGTTGGCATTAAGCTGTTGTAAGATCATCGGCCCGTTGCTTAGACATGCATCATGCCTGGATGTGCCTTTTGAATCAGTAGATGTCGTCCCCAGCTGTGTCTCTGAGGTTCACAGAGAGATTCCTGTTACCGTGATATGTGTGGGGAGAAGAGAAGAAGTGGAGTGCACTACAGAAGCGACGAGGCGCGTAACGGACCCCGCACGGGAGCCCGCGGGAGAAAGTCCACCCTGGCCATGGCCATGGGGCGGGCCCTGCAGGATCTCTGTGCAAGTAATTGCGTTGATCGTGATTGGGCGATTGTGACACCCCTTCGCCGAGCAGGGGTCGCTTTTTGGGTTATCGGGGGTTATCTATCTGCTGCGGGTACATGCCGGTACCACTTCCAACGGCCGTGGTGGGAAGTGTAACGTATGGATATGGATGGATATCGAGAGTGTAACCTCCATGTAGCCAATGAGAGCTGAGAAGAGAGAAAGCCGCTTTCAACCGGGACTGTTGGATACTTCCCCAGAGCTTCCCTCCCAACTGAAAGCTTTCTTTCTATGCCCGTCTGCTTGGTTCTTCTCCACCCCCCGCGCACCCCCCGTCGTCATAGCTGGTTTAGATACTGTCACGAGACCTTACGTAACTTTGGATCTGTAGAGGTGTATATAACCCTCCGTCTCGCCTCTTGTGCGCATCAATTAGCTACCAGTTTGCCACCTTCTTTCTCACTAAATCAATCTCCATTGCTTGTTGAAACAAACCTACCCACAAAAGATCTACAAAAGAAACAATTCCAAGACCCATTACACAATTGCTCAGGTACTTGAAAGAAGGGCACGTGACACCGTTCTATCTTACTGGAAGCTAACTTATGGGTAGAGATCAGTCAAGATGTCACCTTCAGTTACCACGGATGCTACTGTCAAAGGGAACGGAAAGGCCCCCGGTGTGCACGTTGAAAGCACCGCTCAGGCTATTGAGTACGAGCATGAATATGCTGCTCACAACTACCACCCATTGCCCGTTGTGATGGCAAAGGGCGAGGGAGTTCGTGTTTGGGATCCTGAGGTTAGTCCGTCACATTTAAGGCTTAAAATGCACTCGCCGGTTTTTTTAAATAGCAGCACCCAGGTCCACGGACCTGGGAATGCTACAAGACCCGACAGATTGGTTTAGGGAAGGACAGTGATGACTGACGCCATTGGCTTTGTGCATTTAGGGCAAAGAGTACCTTGATTTCCTCAGTGCTTACTCCGCGGTCAACCAAGGCCATTGTCACCCCAAGATCGTCAACGCGCTAGTGCAGCAAGCTCAGAGGTTAACCTTGTCCTCGAGAGCATTCTACAACGATGTGTTCCCCGTCTTTGCCAAGTTCGTTACTGAGGTATGATCTTAGAATCCCATTAGGCTTTTTAATTATTCCTAGCTCCTTGTATTAAAAGGTGGTGTGTTTTATTAGTACTTTGGTTACGAGATGGTGCTCCCAATGAACACTGGTGCCGAGGCCGTTGAGACCGGTATCAAGCTTGCACGTAAATGGGGTTACAAGGTAAAGGGTATTCCAGAGAACAAGGCTCTCGTCTTTGCCGCCTCCGAGAACTTCCACGGCCGTACATTTGCTGCTATTTCCTTGTCCAACGACCCCGAATCCAGAGACAACTACGGACCATACCTCCCCAACATTGGATCTAGGTGTCCTTCAACTGGCAAGCAAATCCGATACAACAATATCAAGGATTTGGAGGAAGCATTTGAAGCTCACGGAAAGGAGACTGCTGCGTTTTTGGTAGAGCCTATTCAGGGAGAGGCTGGTATCGTAGTGCCAGATGATGATTATCTGAGCAAGGTTCATGAGTTATGCAAGAAGCACAACGTGCTTCTTATTTGTGACGAGATTCAGACCGGTATTGCGAGAACTGGCAAGCTTCTATGCTGCGAGCACTCCAAAGTCCGCCCTGATATCATTCTTCTTGGAAAGGCCATTTCTGGTGGCATGTACCCTGTCTCGGCTGTTCTTGCAGACAAACACATCATGCTCACAGTTGAGCCTGGTACCCACGGATCGACATACGGCGGTAACCCGCTTGGGTGTGCTGTAGCTATCGCGGCTCTTGAGGTTGTACGTGACGAGAAGCTGACCGAGAACGCGGAGGTTCTTGGAAAGAAATTCCGTGAGGGACTTCGCGCAATTAAGAACCCTGCTATCAAGTTGGTTCGTGGTAAGGGTTTGTTGAACGCAGTCATCATTGACGAGTCAAAGACCTCTGGGCATTCTGCTTGGGAGCTTTGCCTTCTTTTGAAGGAGAAGGGACTTTTGGTGAGTAGAGCTCGATATATTACTACTTGAGAGCAAGGCAACTAACAATGTCACGTAAAGGCCAAACCTACCCACCAGAACATCATCAGGCTTGCACCACCGCTTGTCATAAACGAGGAGCAGATCGATAGGGCACTTAAGATCTTTGAGGAGGCCTTGAATGAATTGGTTGGTATTTCGCCATTTCTCGTCCGTGGAGCCCTATCGCTGACGAATAACCAATAAACAGCCAACCTGGAATGAAGAAGGAATCTCCAATGAAGAGAGGTCCCACAAGAATGTCCTCGACGACTAAATTTTTGGTTGCAATTTCCGGCATCTCGTTTCCTTTGTTTTCATAGGTTGGATAAATAGCTAGGGGTTCAACATGGTGTTGTGTTTTCTTGGTCCAGTGCGCCTCAAGTACAGCGGGTAATTTCCAGTTAGATTCCTTTATTTCTGGTCATAAACACCGGCTGGTTCCAGGTCCTGGGGTTTTGTTACAAGGGTTTCTGGGCTTTTTTCTTCAGGTGTCCGGGTTTTCATCACCAACTCTTTTACTTACTCTGCATAAGCATTTGTAAAGGTGTATTTGTATTCTCCTAGTTAAGGGTTTTCTTTCTTGGTTGTTTTATCAATTGTAAATATATTATTCTCTAACGAGTTATGAATCTTATCTTTTTTGGTTATGGATACTCTCCCAAGCGGTGGTTGTTTCGAGTCCAATGATGAAGTCACCACGTCTCCCCTCTAGGTAGGTTAGGAGTGTGACTTGGGACACCAAAAATTAGCTACCTTTTGTCATCAAAAACCCACATTAAAATTTTCAATAAAGGGATATCTAAATAGAGCTTTCTCAGTCGCAGACAGACCTGCAAAATTCAACTCAAACATCCACCTACCACCAACCATGTTTTTCGACGTAAGTCATTTCCCTCACCAACAACCCGACATCTATATAGCTATAGCTAATTAAACAACGACCTACGCAGTTACTCTGCTTTACCATCATTGCCGCTGCCGACATCAGCGCCGCCGTCGGCCTAATTCTATACGCAGATGTCACCTACAACGACAACCGCTCCCGCACTGGGCTCGAGGACATGCAGCCACGGAACCGTGATTTGTGGTAGCCTGGTGGGGGGGGTGCCAATGATCGCTTTGTCGCGTTTATTTGGGCACATACCCCTGTTCTATATGCACTGCTCTACATCTACCCTTCCACACACTCTTTTCCCGGCCGAATTTTTCGGTTGGATCTATTTCTTTAGAATGTATATATATATTTTTGAGTTGATAGATTGTCTGCTAGACGGATATAGAGCTTGGCGGGTGTTTGACTCACGACTCACGGGCGAAACGAAACATGAATTTTGTGGTTAAGAGTGGTTGTACGGAGAAATTGTTTACCCCAACAAACACACCTTTCACACATTCCAGCGACAAATTCAATGGACGATATCACTATCCGATAAGCGTCGGTCCATCTTGTATGGGTATTGACAAAGTCCTCTACTGGTAGTGGTTTTTTGTTCTACGTAGACATCAATCAAAACGTAACTTTAAATTACCCCCCGGCCACCACTCTACAAGTTAGTCAAGTAATCCTCGATCTCCTGGGGACTCAGTTTCCTGAACCGAGGTCCTTTGGCACCCTCAACACCTTCGAATCCCAAAAGGTGGTCGGCTGGAGGACCGACAATACCGATTTCTACGGTGTCTCCGGACATCTCACCCTCAATCTATAACAGTGAGTTAGAATCGCTGTAAAAAGCTTGGGTGTTACACTAGATCGCGGTAGGCTATCGTGGACTTACGGTCTCTTTCAATGTCAGGAGAGCAATGTGGATTGCGTCTTCGAGCTCTAGTCCATCAGCGTAACGCTTCTCGAGGAAGGTCTTTGCAGATGTTGCGCTCTTTCCGATGGCAGTCGCTTTCCATGGGAAGTATGAGCCAGAGGGATCGACCTATGTATGAATCCCGCATCAGCCTCCAAACCCCCGTCTATTCTAGTCAAATTCCCCCCAAGCGCCGTAGCTCACCTGATATAGCGCTGGTCCGCCCTGCCCTGTGCCGGCCGGCTTGTCATCCCATCCGGCAACAAGCAAACTGACACCAAAGGGCCTGACACCACCACTCTGAGTGGCCTCCTGCATCACCTTCGCAACGTCCTGCACCAATATCCTGGTAGGAGGGTATTCATTGTAGATTCGCTTGTAATCTGTGTGCGAGACCTTTCTTGCCTTGTCGGTCAAGACCCGATAGTCGGGGCCCATTCCGGAGTAGATCATGCCGATGTTGGGAGTTATACGAGATATCTTCTCGAGTGACGACGAGTTCATGAGCGGGGTCGATGACTTCTTCTCGGTCGCTAGAACAACACCATTGGTTGCTGGAGTATGTGTTAGAGGTTTTCCATGAGTTTCGTACCGGGAGAATGAATAATAACCTTTGATCCCTAGAGCAGTGACACCTTGGTTTACGGCGTTGAGAGCATATTCTACCAGAATGCCACAGAATCAGCCGCCCGTTCATCTATCCATTTCCATCCACCAGCATCCGAAATTCCATTTCGATATCCTTGATGTCTATCTCCATGATCCCGGAAGCTTCGCAAAAAGTAACATACCGATTTGAACAAGTTTCCCACTAGATTAACACTTGGGGTTAGCTAAGCATTTAAACTCTCGGGGAAGGTGGGGCGATAATACTTTGGAGAGAAGGTTGTGAGGGAGAATGAATATCTGTCGGCCATTGTGAGAGCAGGATGGAGATATCAAATGGCAAAGGCCGAAACGATGGAAGGCGGGGGGATATATTTGGAGATGGAGCGAATGCGTGAGTGGTGGTATTAGTGGGGGAGCTCGAAGCTGCGGCTCGACTTCGCGGTGATGAGTTACCCGGCTAGCATCATGGAATATCACTGGCGCTCGATGTTACTTGGCGGTTGCTTAAATTTATTTATTGCCCGACCGCGGCCAGGCTGGGTACATGTATTTGATGTGCAAGCTGAGGTCATGAGACTACATGAAGCTGTATGTAACCATAGCTGTACTGAACTTTTTCAAAGTTATGTTTTTAAAAAGATTATTTCGACTCGCCACACTGTTCTTTAATATGTCCTTGATTACAGATGAGCTCTAGCTCTGATTACAGTACGAAAAAAGAGGATGTAATAGGTACTGTACCAATACGGAATTGTGCAAAACTTCCGAATTAAATCGGAATCCTAACTATTATACCGTAGCAATACCGTAACAATACCGTAACCCTACGGTATTTTGTCAGATATGGTACTGGATCCACCCGCTTTTTTGGTACTGTAGATAATTATGATCATATTATGAAGTCCTAAACTCTAGATCTTTGGGTATATTCAAATATTGAGAATTCCTAAGTACCTGTATAAGTGGAGAAAGGGCTCCCCACTATTTCTACTCCCGGCTAGCCAGCTATAAAGTAGCTATGTGCATAGGTACTAGATGGCTACAAATCTAGACTCTCAATTGCAAGTCCCATTTGATATCGATCTCGAGAACACACAATTACATTATATGTAGTTAATGTGGCTGTAGCTTGCTAGCTCGTAATCGCTTCCATTAGGCTTACTCGCTCACTATCACAAAGGATCACTCGGAGTTGTCGTAAAAGCGGCGCTTCGCCTAGCAAAAATCACCTACTACACCCAATATCCCTGCAACAATTGTAACAAACTTCAATTTATAATACCTACGACTCATAGCTAAACCCTCTCATCATAATATTACCAATTGACCTAGCTCTAGAAGCAAAGCAAAACCCAAAGCCGGGTAACCCGGAACATAGCGCAGACTTGATAAGGCCTTCCCTGAAAACCTCTGAGAAAAGCGCCATTCAACTCCAAATGCTCCGTTCATCTGCCTCGAAATCGCTCTTGCGATCAGCACCCTGGCTTGTGAAATCGCCCTCAATAACTCGAGGTGTTTTCAAACGATCTTTTGCCTCAACAGTTTCATCTCCCGGGAGTCGAGTATGTAATGCTACTGCCCCACCTGGTATGTAGGCAGTGCACTAATGGCGTTGCGTCTTAGGACCCCGCAGAGCTCGACGAGATCACAACGCTACCAAATGGACTCCGAATAGCCACTGAAGCCCTTCCCGGTCATTTTTCGGGACTGGGTGTCTACATTGATGCAGGATCACGCTACGAAACAGATCGCCTGAGGGGTGTAAGCCACATCATGGACCGGCTTGCCTTCAAGGGTACAACCAAAAGGTCTTCCGACAAGATGCTTGAGATCCTCGATTCGCTCGGCGGTCATGTTCAATGCGCCTCTGCTCGCGAATCTCTCATGTACCAGTCTGCGGTCTTCAATAAGGATGTCTCAAGCATGGTTGGAATTCTTGCTGAAACGATTCGGGACCCGTTAATTGGCGAAGCGGAGGTGTCCCAGCAATTGGAGACGGCGCAGTATGAAATTGGAGAGATATGGTCGAGGCCTGAGATGATATTGCCGGAGCTTATGCATATTGCGGCATATAAAGATAACACTCTAGGGAATCCGCTGCTATGTCCGGAAGATCAATTGACAAAGATTGATAGAAATGTTATTCAGGAATACAGAAGTATATTTTATCGTCCGGAGAGGATAGTGCTGGCCTTTGCAGGCGTGGACCACAAAACAGCTGTATCTCTCGGAGAGCAGTACTTTGGCGATATGAAAGCCGAATCAATATCTACCAAGCCCCTCTCGCCGCTCTCAGCCACCTCCAGCATTCTTTCCAAAATCCCACTCGTGAAGAATCTCTCCACCAGCGCATCGAATTCCGCGGAAGCCTTGTCTTCATCAAGCATCTCGCCACCCGGGACCGCCCCATCACACTACACCGGCGGTATCGTCTCTCTCCCCCCATTCGACGGACCCACCCATCTTCCCACATTTACCCACATCCATATTGCCTTCGAAGGGCTTGGGATAGCAGACCCAGACATCTACGCGCTCGCCACACTTCAAACCTTGCTCGGTGGTGGTGGCTCTTTCTCTGCCGGTGGCCCTGGGAAGGGCATGTACTCCCGTCTCTTCACCAATGTCCTCAACCAGCACGGATGGATTGAGTCCTGTGTTGCCTTCAACCATGGCTACAGCGACTCTGGTCTTTTTGGTATCGCAGCATCATGTCGGCCCGGCGCCGGGCACGCCCTCGTTGACGTTATTCTAAGAGAGTTTGCGTCAACCTTCACGAACTCTGGGTTTTCGGGGCTAAAGAAGGCCGAGGTAGATCGCGCAAAGAAGCAGCTAAAGAGCTCGCTGCTCATGAACCTGGAGAGTCGGATGGTAGAACTTGAGGACCTGGGACGACAGGTGCAGGTCCACGGGAAGAAGGTCGGCGTATTAGAGATGTGTAGGAAGATTGAGGCTCTAGAGGTCGCAGACCTGAGGAGGGTAGCGGAAAGGGTGCTTTCGGGCAAAGTCAATAATAAGGGAAATGGTACAGGGAAGCCAACGATTGTGGTGCAGGCCTCGGCGGATGAAATTAGCAAAATTGGGGATTTGGGGGCGACGGTCAAGAGGTACAAGCTTGGAAGGTAGTGGCGGCTTGAGTAGAGCTATAGACCGGAAAAAGATATAATCAGTAGCTGTAACATTCCCGTGGGGTCTTGGGGGTGTTCTTTCTATTTTTTTTGTGCCTAAAATATTCAAATGTTGAATTTAAGGATCTCCCACTGTACAATAGCAATTAAATTTATGGAACATATTTATACCTCTTCCGCTGTACCTAACGTGCATGTTCTACTTGTTCTATTATTATTTCGCTGCATCGATGGGCTTTCATGTGCTATATCAACGGAACCAAGCTTAGAGAAAACTGTGGTCATGTTTTTTTTTTATCTGCGAGTTGAAGAATTTTGATAGAAGTTCTATGTGCACTATCAAAGGATTCATATATATGGCTAAATAAGGGATGAAATCCTGTCTTCCCTGTCAAAAATAAGAAGTTTAGACCCTAAATCATGCAGAGCATAAGTACGTGTATGCAGGTACAGGTGCTGCATCGTTGCTTGGAAGTCGCCACGTCTAAGTACAGCGTGTAACCCTATATGCACATGTAGACTCCATGGCCATCGTCAAAGAATTGATCCTTTTAAACCACAGGAAAGAAATGAATTGCGCGGAGTGTCGGGTTCCGGGAATACTGAGGATATCACGGGGAAAGCCGGCATCGCGGATTAAAGACGCTCATGTATGCCATGCCCCCTTTTCTGCATTTAGGATCTCGGCAGCACTGTGTATATTGGAGAGCTAAGTACTTTACATATTATACCAACATGTACCTTTGGAGGGGGAACGCCGATGAGAGGCATCACATGGCCACGGTATGCCGGGACCTGATACATGTAGTTGAGCATTCTCATTCTAAGCATCCGAGCAGGGTCTCACTCTCCCGGATTTTCACGAGATCGGGAATTTGAAGCCTCCCAAACAGAAAACCCCCATCGTTCCTCGATCGTGGTTCATCTTTGCTAGAGTCCATTCACAGATGTTGCGCGGAGCCTAGGATCCAGTAAGAATGAGAGCCATGGGTACGAACCTGAATGCTTTCCCCTCTAGTCTAATACCTCTACAGCTGTGTTTAAATAGATCGTGGGAGCATTTGTACGCCACAGTCAAGACTGGTTTCTTCCTTCGTTGTTGGAGATTCTTCTCCGCATCCCACTTATAGGAGGTGTAGGTAGATACTTTCGATTTCTTGGAAAAGGTACCTATGATACATGTAGCTACTGTAACTGGCAGACATTAGCGGACAGTTTAGCAGAGGTGGCCAGTTTAAGAAGGCAAGACATACAGGTGGCTAGCCTACTCTAGTAGTCAGAGGTCACAGCTTCAGAAACCTTCTTGACTTCTTTTTTTTTCCCAAGTCGAGTCAGGAAATTCCACCTTTCAAATTTGCTCAAATCACGGACCCAAAGTTCAGAGGTATGGTGGGAGAAGCCTTGTCACGGAGTAGTTTGGACACCTCAACTTTGACCACTTATAGCTCATCAACCACCACACATATTTTTAATTTTATTAGATAGATCTACTCAGTTTCACCTGCTCTATCATTCTACATACTCTTATTTTTCGAAATTATTCTTCTTGTTGAGTTATAAAAATATTTAGCAGGGACAATGTCGCTTGTATGGTCAAAAAAAGTACTTGGCACGTAATTTGTAGAGTATGTGTTAGTAAGCAAGTCAATGTCGCGGCACTCCGTGTCAAGGTTTACCCCCACCATATTCGCAATGAGATTGTGGAACGCCTCCGGGGAAGTCCGCAACAACATGACCCGCATGCACAACCTATCATATCAAAGTCCTTGAATTCTACAAAGTACTTTCCCCCGCAACCATTATTTGTGGTCCTGCAGCCCACTTGATTGACATTTTTCTCGGTTTGGGCCTTTTCGTGGGTTATTGTTGTGGACCTAGTAGAGTATGGCTATCTCATACCGGAACTTTGGGCCAAATCACTGGGCATCGGACCAAATCCATGGCTGTTGTTTTTATCCCCCCAAACCAGCGGTAACGAGAGTTTGTACCATACGGCCGGTACTCTATTTATCTGGAAGCATCATGAAAATGGATCTGATCCGCCGATCTAGAGCATCTGCCTATCTGTAAGTATACGGTGTTACATAACCTTATAGCTTTCCTTCCAAGCCGGAGAAATATCAGGTGGAGGCTAGAGGCTGGGACGGTAGTGTTTCATGCGACAGCCGTTCCCTTTCAATCGGCTCCTTTTTACCCTAAGTCGTTTAAGAGTGCCCTCTTTAGATCGTGGAGTTGCGATTGCTAGCATATGTGCTGCATACAATCGTTTTTTTTTATAATCATACACAAAAGAGAGCTGACTGGAGATTTGGGGTTGGAGGGCACAAGTGAAACTAGACAGAAGATAAAAGTAAACTGAAACCTCTTGGTTGATATGAGCTTGGCATCGATGCGACGGTCAGCGATGACGGCGCCTTGGGTTCTTGTAGCACACAAAGATGAGCGCTCTCATGTGTGAAGATTGCGTGAAGCTTGTCTCAGTGTTTCTTATAATTGTGAAACTGAGCTGCAAAAAAATATGAGAATAGGCCCCTTTCCCTGATTATGAAGATAAATATGATATTTCGGTTTTGTGCCCTATTTTCACAACAGCTCTCTCCAGGGTCCACAAGAACGTTAGATCTATAGACTTAATAGGAAGCAAACTGCATGTATTTGTGCCGGCTGGACTAGCTATAGGGTACCAACAGCTGCGAAGTACATGTATGTACAGTCACTACCAAGAAGTCTTCGTGATGGCGCACACCACGCCCACCAAAAAAAGGTACAAAGCGACACACCAAAACACAAATATCTTTGAATAACTTCACAACCACAACAGATATTAAAATTCCGTTTGAGATGAGAGCAGGTATAGCCCTCAAGAGGCTCTACGTTTAAGCAAAGGTTAACGGCTGCTATTGGTGTCGAGTTATTTAAATTTTGGTGTATTGCCTTTAGGATTGGGTGCACCTTATGTAGATAGTCACTTTGGACATGGTATAGGTTCACAATCACAGAATCTATTACTTTTGATTAGATAGAAAGTCTCTTGGATACTATATCTGCTCCTGTACCAAACACAATTTTAATATCTTTTGTGGTTGTGAAGTTATTCAAAGATATTTGTGTTTTGGTGTGTCACTTTGTACCCTTTTTTTGGTGGGCGTGGTGTGTGCCATCACGAAGACTTCTTGGTAGTGACTGTACTTACCACCGGTGGCACAGAACTTATTATTAAATGATCTCTAATAAATGATCGTAACTCGGATATAGCTACTATCCGGTTCTCATTTCCCCCTTCTCCGGAACATCTCCAGTTGATCTTACAAAAGAATACTGCCGGGTGCGAGACATGATCTAAGATGCCAAATCATTCCATTAATTGATTTCCATATCATCAGATATCACTCGATTGAGATTTGATCTCATTCAAATGATTTTTGCTGGCACTTCTGCTACTTTCAACATCTGTCTTGCAACGCATTTCAGTGGCATATTATGCCAATTATTACACTTGTTGCCTCAAAGGTTGTCCCTAAACTACCGGTTAGTGCACCACTGGAGAAACAATTACATAACAAAAATGGGGTATCTTGTTGTAAAGGCGCACCTCGAGTACTCTGCGGTGAAGTCGCCACATGCAATTCCCGATTATATTGCTAAACATGCCGGGGGTCTGGGGTATACAACTAGAACCTCAGCACCTCTGCTTTAAGGACGAACTCATCTTAGTACATACTCCACATAAGGAATTTATCTCAAACACCGATGGATGATCATGAGTGTGGAGTCCGGCACAACTCCTGCAGCTGGAAAGTCCTTGAAAGACGAGCATACCACTGATTCTCTCCCATGAAAGACACAAACCGTGTGCTGCGGTTCGATCGCACTATAAGGCGCCTTGTCTAATAACTTGGTAGTATAGCTGTCTATCATGTCTTGGGGTCGCAGCTCAATCCAATTACACAGGTTTAGATGCGTGCAGTTTACTAATTCCTTATCGATCTTGGAAAATTTATACTGATAGCCGATAGTGAAAGGTAGATCTCAGCGACGTCCCTACATGTAGGTACTTATAACAGACCGTCCCGTACTATAGGATTCCCCAACCTTCAAATTGGATCCCTGCACGGTGACAGTGGCACCCGTACCAAACTCTACATGATGTAGATTATCTCGATTTTAGACCCCTGCATCCTGAGTAACTACATGTAGAGTACCGCCATAACTCGAATGGCTAGATCAAAATTACTTCTATGGGAAACTTCTTATGCAGATCGATATCATTCAACCAATCACTCGAATGGTAATATGTAATCCCTGGACGGAGACAGCCAACTTTTCGAGTTTTGGCGGTGCATATGTAGAGTAGAATTGCCAAAGCGGGCGATCCGAGCGTCCTCTCCATACACGCATAATACTGTAGACGCCACAGCGCACCCTATCCTTTGGGAGGAACTGGCCGAAGGCTCTTCGCAATAGGCAGAAATCAGTGCCATAGGCGTACCTTCTCTCACAAGTTGAAACCGAGCGATACTTAACTTGAGTAGGATATAGCCTTGGTGCGCAACGTTTAATGGAGCATAAGATTCAAGAAGTCCCCCACAAAGGAAAAGGGAAAGGAAACACACCGAATTGATATATTCTGGGCACAATCCCTCGTCACCATATCTTCGCCGTTTGGCACCACTGAAATTTTAATGACGGATACGGAGGCTGCTGCTGCTGCTGCTGCTGAGAATGAGGCGCCACTCACGGATCTAGATCGCGAACTCACGCTTATTGCTTGGGGAATTCTTATTGGATTTGGCTACTCGACGGGGTGGAAAGCATACAGACAGACGTCAACAATATCTCGGGAGAAGAGGTATAGGTCACCTTATTTTTGGTGGGTCTGGATGAACTATGTTTCGATAATGGTGTTTGGGGTACTCGCTTGGATCCTTAACCAGCATCATATTAGACCTCAGTTAGTCTCTCCTGCCTTCTTTCTTTCTTTCTTCTCTCTACCTTGTTGATTAGTATTCATTCACGAGACGAAGACACGCGGATTGTCTAGATGCTGACTGGGGGATATGTTCATAGACTTGGGCTCTATATCCCGCTTGGTAAGTTGGCCAGGCATATTGGATGACTTCATCTGAAGGTATTTCTATTGAGAACTTGAACCTAACGTAGTTTCTCCGCTTTCAAAGTTGCTTTATGGGCTATTCAGGTATTTAGCACCTGTCTCATAGACGCGGGATGAATTAAAGTTAATTGTACGTTACTATTCGTCAGGCACAAGCGTTGTTACAGATCAACATCAACCGAATCGAGCTTATAGCTGTTGACAAAGCTTTCAACAATAGAGTACGAATAGGGTGCTTAGCCATAATTTCTGTCTTCATAGTAGGGACATTTAGTGTCTGGATTCCAGGCCGACTTGGGATCTCAGCGAAGTAGGTATTCGGATCAATATCAAGCTTATGCCGTACATATTTTCGTTTTCACGAACGTCTATGGCTATACTACATCGCCCTCTATTAGTATTTGTTTTTGTTTTTCTTTAGAAGTTAGTACTAAGAAACAGATGAAGAATCACACAGATTTCGAAGGTTTATATCGAGGTTCAAGGAACTCTGACAATTCTGCTCGACATCGCTCTGAATACATACTTCATTCGAACCGTAAAGGCAACACTCATCGATCCCGGGCTCGACAAGTATAAGCCAATAGTTAGCCACAACCTCGTGCTTGTGTATTCCGCGATAACAGTTGAAGTAAGTTTGCCCATTCCTATAATTACCTACAGTTACCATCGCTAACTAATCTTTAGACCATCGCTCTGGGCCTAATGTGGCTCCCTGCGAGTCCCTTCGTGTAAGTTTACCCAGATACCAACTTAAGCACGCCCACCAGCGCGCCTCAAACTAATAAAAATACGCACTCGCACACAGCTGGCTCCAATACGGCACACTCGCCTGGATGGGCAAGCTCAACGTTGAGCTTAGCATGGCGGACCTCATCATGAAGCTCGCATACCACACGCCTGAACCATCGTCGCTAGAACTGCGACCAATCTCTCGCGCCGGGTCCGAGCAGATATCAAATATGTCATTTGTGGATTCACTTGCTCCGATTATTACTACTACAACGCTTGTACCGGAAACTAACGCTCCTCACGGTATTGTAGCAGAACCTAGTACCGCCGACGCGCAATCAAGCCAATACCAGTGGGTCGTGACGAAGACGACGGAGATTGTTGTCGAGATTGAGGGGATCGGTAGTGGCATGGAGCTACCAATGGAGCATGATCAGGAGGAACGCAGGTGGGAGAGGGTAGGATACCATGGGCTGATATCGTACAAAGTCGAAATTAGCGCCGGCAAGTAATAATTTGTCTTTATGGGGAGAGGTAGAATGGCGTTGGCGTTGGAGTTGGTTTTGTTTCGCTCTTTTTTGTTTCAGTACATATACTATCAGTTATGCAGTGAGGGCCAATGATTTTTATGTGGAAATTTAAATTTTATTATTGGGACTGGGTCTTGCTGCAGGGGAGCTGGGGAGGGTGGGTCGAAGACTTGCATACATGTAAAAGCTCATACTGTCATTTACTGGGTGCCTCTCAACATCCTATAGCTGATAGTACAGATCTTAAATCTTTATTCTCAATGGCTCGTTGATTATGTTTGGCTTGAAGTTGCTAGGGCTCTTATTCTAGCACTTCTGCATGTAGGGACACATGGTAGTTGCATGATGTGAAAACCACGCGAGTCTAGTTCGCACATTATTGCGCGTCTTGTTCATGTCCAGGGGCAGGAAGTGTATCTCCCCCATGTTTCAACCTTTGGCCCAGCGTTCTCCCCCTGATTAAATTTACGTGTGAAATGGCGTTTTAAGGTTTTACTTTAAGGTTTGATAGCTACTGACTGTCCCACCGGCAGCTGCAGAGTAGCCCACCTGTCATCCACGAGGCTACCTATATGTAGAGTACATGTACATGTATGTACGTAACACCACGCGTGAATTGTGCTTCTACTCTACGTTCGCACATCCGAACTGTGAAACAGCCCCACCTTGTCCTCAGGCAAGACAGCGATCTCAATGGACGACCTACAAGAGAGATAAGGGGAGGGGGGGGGAAGAGTTAGATGACATCGATTGTGTTCGAAGGATTGGGTTACAACCTACATGTAGGAACTCAGTCTAGGTACCTAGGTACATGTAGTAGGTTAGGGGGGCTAAGTGCGGTTTTTACCCACTGTCTTCTGGATATCGGCCTTGATGAACATGAGAGAGAACACCCTAGTTCTGCCGGACGGAGGAATCTACAAAACAGGATGGTGTGCGTGATCATCTGCTCAAATCCATACAGTACGTTCTGTCTGCGCGATGTTGGGAGCGTCCCCTGTATCCCCGCAAGAAATAATTGCAATTACATGCGCCATAAACGCAGGAAAAACAGCATACGTACCTCTCGTTTTCCTGCCGTTGTTCCTTGCGCACGTACGGAAATGGCTGAATACGAGCGAGACTGGGAAGGAGCACTCGGCTTGAGACATACATTTTTTTGGTCGGGTAGAAAGTCGGTTTCCCCAAGCTCGTATCGCTATGCCAAATCAACGGCATGTGCGGGGAGATGGGACCGGTGCTTTTGATTGGTGGAGGGTGAACCTGCTTGTCGCTGGGTGCTTGGAGTAAGTGTGGCTCATGGTGGGAGTATTTACTGTGTAAAAGTTTTGAGCGGGTTGTTTCGGTGGGTATAGAGGTGTGGTGCATAATTGTAGAAGAAACTGTTTCCGGGGTTCGGTTCATGAGGCAGCACTCGCTAAATCAATCACATTGGATCACTCGATGTCGTGATGCAACGCGAAGAGCACTAAGGTGGGTATCCACCCTATATGGAAACACCCAAGACACCCACCATTTCCTTATTATCAAACGAGATACTCGAACCACTCCAAGGGTGCTAGAGATTTCAGTTGTGGCATTGTTATATAATCTTTACTGATAAAAAAATCCGGTATGGGTATGAGACCAACCAAAAGAGAACAGAAAAACAACTAAAAACAACCATACTTGGGATTCAAACCCAAGCTCTTCCCACAGTTAATACCTTTGTCTGGAAGGTAGTTTTTCAGGCCCTACCAGACTGTTTCCAGCTGGTTAAAGGTTAACCATCAGTACCCTAACTTTGGTAAGCCTAGAATTAGTCATAAAATACACGTAGATAGCAGATGTAGGGTAAACACTCGCCGTGCTAACTGGGCATCGTACAAATTGCTTCCCAATACGCCTTCTGTCATAAACATATGTAGTCATAGAAAGGCGCGGCATACGTGCTGAATACAGACGAAGGGATACGTGCTGGGTTTCTAGCAGGCTAACACTTCTGTAGCTAGTGCACAGTGTATGATGAGCTAACGTCATGTCTTTAGGTGAGCGGGTGTTCGCTTCATGCCATACACGTAATCTGTGGTAGAAAACTACAATGCCACGGGTTTCTTTGTATCTCTAGGATACCATCACATCCAATGAAATCCCACGCCCAACCATGATTTCTAAATGCCATAGACAAACCGGAATACAATCCCTAAGGTATCACCGCAATAATTGTTTCCGAATCGACCCCAACAATAGCTGAGCAATAAGGTCGGGGCCACGGACTTGAGCTGAGCCAGCACCTTCCCGCTATCAATTACTTCAAAACGGCGCTAGACTGGTCTATACGAAAGAGGTTGCCCTTCAAGGCGCAGAAAAAAAGTCAATCACGAAAAACCAACTATTGCAGCGGTAGAAGGTGAGAGTAGAGGGGTCGGAGCCAACAAGTTGAACTTCAAAGCCACTATCTCACGCAAGCCATACCATCGCTATATCAATTTACAAGTTTAAAAACCAGGTGAAGCAAGATTCTACCCCCAGAACCCCCATTGTATTCTTTTCATTAATAGCGATAATTAAGACCAAAACTTCGAGCTATGGAATTCTGTAGGTGCGGCATCCTAGTATTTACAGGACAGATCTGTTGCTCTCCATCACGAAACATTAAGCGAGTGGGAAGAAGCCCCAGTGAACCCAACAACGGCAAATCAAAGTACATATATCTCGTATGCAACAACGACTTACGTGATGGAGCTTCGAAGCCCTTTCCAGAACCAACCACCAAATGAAGCTTAAAGAACTTCACTACTCAATCCGAGCGGTAAACGATTGAGAAGGAGAAGAACTCAATCTTAGGGGTAAGAAAATAGGAAGACTGAGCGCCGAGGATTACACTTGTCATACCAAGGGTAATGTTAGAAGTTTCAACAGTCTAGCGTTACTCCAGTGTCTCACTCACTAAGTTGACGTCCAACGTTTGTACTGGTGAGAGGGACGGGGTACTTTGAACCGCTAATGGTCTTCAACGAGCTTCAGCGTTGACTAGTTAGGAACGCCCACCTTCCTCAACACCAATTATTTGTATAGGCCGACCGCAATCACCTTTGAGGTCTTTTTACTTTCCTCATTTTATGCCGAAAATCACGCCTAGATCAGAGAATATCGCCCAGGATAAATTGGAAGCATCATACACCCAAATTACCTGTATGAGTGCCTCAATATTCTGATAGCAAAGGAGCTGTTTTAGCTATTGATGGCAGCATAATTCTGTTAATCAATACCTCATATCAGCGAGTGCAGTGAATTAACGGACCCTTGGTTTGGGCTTATGCTTATGGTTGTTCTGACCCCAGAGAACCGACACAGTTGCAATTGGAACATTAGTATGATCATAACATATCACTCGCTATAGTGCCGATTACATATCCATATCAACTAAGCCGTATTCATCTGGGTTTGAGCGTAGAAGCTACATGTATTTCATCAACACTCGAACCACTGAGGAAGCAACCAAACATTTCATTGATAGACTAACTTTACACTCATCCGATAGAGCTCAACATCTCAACCCATCACTCATCATAATCCTTGTGACGGCATCTTCTCCATCACACCCAAGTAAAAGAATGATCACAAGAGCCGTTCCCTTTTGGTCACATAAGTGAAATTATCTACGTCTCAGGAAAAAACCAACAAAGGATACATAAATATCATCAAACAAAACGCAAAACAAAATTCAATAAGCCAAATATTTTTCAAAGCTCACGCAACGCTTCCAACAATCAACGCCGCAACACCTTCTTCTTCCGCTCTTACTGTAATCTTAAGTGCAACCCCAGTCTTGCTGCTATACGCCATCTTGACCTCGGCAACTACCCGACCACCAGATATAGTCTTGCCAAATAGTTTTAGGTTGTGTGTGGATGTACTGATAGCAACATCGCTACCCTCAAGCGCTTGCAAAGAAAGGGTTTGCGATAATAGCTCACATGCTTCTATTCACTTTGTTAGTAAAATATCAATAATGAAAATATTGAGGGCACATCTCATACCTTGAATTCCTTTGACCCCAGTTCCCAGCGAAAAGGTCTCGGTAACTTCTTCACCTGCTGCGCCGACTTGTTCCCATACATTCCCAAAGCTTCCCGCGAAGTTTGGCACCACATAATCACCACCGGTCAACTCCAAGTCCTCAACCTGGTACTCATCTTCAAATCCTTGGTCCTCTGGTTCGCCAGTACTAGGATCGATCTCCTTGCTAGTGAATTTGAGAACGTTGGTGAAGGTAGCAGTGGCATAATTGCTCTCTTCGCCAATGCGCTTGAAGGCTACATAGATAGTTCCTTGCTCATCACTGCCCAATTTTGGTGCTGGAATAATAAAGTCTTCCTCCAAACTGACACCTCCCTCACCATCTTCTGGATCCGAGGGGGTAGTAATCATCGATACGTCTTCTAAGACAGTGTCTGTAAGAGTATTCTTGACGTTGAATTGAAGAACGATATGTTCTTTGAAGATATGCTTGACTGCAACAACAACATATTCTGTTTCGGACTCGGTGAGCTCGACTTCTCGACTAGATTTCAAAACAGGGCCATAAGGCTTCAATTCCGGAACCGCAGCCAGTTGTTGTATATACTTTGCAGATGCAGCCGCGGCAGATGTGACAGCCTCTGCTGCAGCGGATGATCCAGCCGATGGACGGGGCGCACCAGAAGTGGGTGCTTTGAGGGTTGGCATTGTCGTGGAACGCAGTTTGAAAGAGCGATCCTCAGCATCGGCCTCAGCACGTGTAACAATAGGAATGGAGGAGAGGTCGAATGGTTGCGAGAAGGTTGATGCGTCTCCGGTGACATACATGACTAGCTGGTGTTCGAATATCGGTAGAGAGAAGGAGGATTCGTTCTTAATAAACCTCTCAGCCACCTCTTCGCCATCCTCTTGCTGAATTAACCTCAGATTGAGGGCTGCCCTGTCTCTGACTTCATCATCTGGATCATCCAAGCATCTGG